ACACCAACAACAAGTCAGAACAGTTTGCTTGGAACACGGTTCGTGGATCTCGATTGGAGCAGACACACGGGAATCCGCCAAATTGAATTCTGACCATGTTTGCTGAATTCTTCCAGCGGAAGGAGTCCGTCGTTCCATGCTTGACAGTCACTTCGATTGGAGGACTGCCTGCAACCATTGCAGCGAGGATGAGCCTGCGTGTCCCAAGCTCAAGGTTCTTCAGCCCAAGGTTTCATTCAACCGCCGTGCATCTTTTGATTCATCGCAGTAATGCAGGATAGTGGAACCTCGTCTCCATGGGTTGACATGGTGGCAAAACTCCGCCGTGGTGTCCAACAGCCAGCCTGTCTGCCAACAGCAGAACAGACATGATGCTGGCATTAAGCCCCCCCCCGCACATTACCCCCGCGCGGAGAGAGAATCCCGGACAGATGGCACAGCAAATTTCAGCGGGCCTCGTACGTGCGGAAATTTTGTTATATGCACCTGCAATTTGGTATCCAATATTCCGTCCTGAACCAAGGTTGGAAGCCGAACCGAGATACAGGGCCGGGTTAGCATTTCGCCGGCGATAACACGTTGCCATCTAGTGTATTCTCAAAGACGTTATCAGCATTTATTATGTGCCTGCTCAGCCCCGTCCAAGCCCTCCCTCGCGACTGATTACGCCTTCTTTATTCATCTCATTCTTTGTCGAATTATTTGCGGCTCAAGATACCAAGCTGGCAAAATGACTTTATGGGACTGTATTGTGGTCGGTGGCGGCATTGCCGGCTCCGTGGTATCGAATAGGTTGCTTCAACAGGACCCAACCTCAAAATTCTGCTCGTCGAAGCCGGCACCAACACCCACGCCGTCGAGAACATTGAATGGATTGACATGAACAATGCCATCGGTGGCGAATACGACTGGGGGTTCTCTTGTGTTCCACAAACCCATCTTGACAACCGGGAGATCGTATCCCCAGTCGGTAAGGGGCTCGGGGGTGGCACAATTATCAATGGAGGTAAGTTCAAGAGTTTTGTCGGCTCGATGTTCATCATCTAACGACTGAGAAGCTGCCTGGGCCCGCGGCCACAAGGTCGACTACGACATTTGGGCTGAGAGAGTTGGCGACCCAAGATGGAGTTATGAAGGCCAACTTCCGTATATGAAGAAGACTGAATCGCTTTTTGATAATTTCACCAACCCCCTTTCCCACGGGCACACTGGCCCTGTCAAAGTTCAGTCACCAGGATCTACTGATCATGTTTTCCCCCTCCGCGAGCCCCTACTTGAGTCCTGGAAAGAGCTTGGCATCGATGCGCTTCCCCAGCTGGACAACAATGCCGGGGACAACGTTGGTGTTGCAGATCTCCAGGAGAACAGGGATCAAGGCAAACGTCAACTTGCCTCGCTCGTGTACTCTCTCAAAGGCATCACGGGTTTGACCGATAGCTTGGTCGCCAAAGTCCTTGTGGAGAAGCACCCGAAAGATGGTCACCTCGTCGCTCGCGGAGTCAGACTTGAGAATGGGACCGAGATTTTGGGAAGAAAGACCATTCTGTCTGCAGGCGCGTACCGCACGCCACAGATCCTGATGCTTTCGGGGATCGGCTCTGCGGAAACCTTGAAGAAGTTTGATATCCCGATCCTTCTGGACCAACCAGCAATTGGCCAGAACTTCCACGATCATGTTCTGATCCCTACGATCTGGCAATTAAAGGACGCATCTGCGAGATACGCCAAAGAGTCCGGCAATCCTATTGTCAACCAGTCTCATCATGCAATCGGGGCTTTCATCGACTTTATAACCGTCACTTCTCTCGAGAAAGAAGGTTTGGTTGTTGCCATTGCTGAAGATGAGGGATCGGTCCCGGATCCGACTGTGCACCCCTTGCTGAAGCAAGACCGCGCTCATTCATCTCACTTACTTCAGTACTCGGGGGTTTCAGCGGATGGTTCAGCCGTCTTGATGATTTCGGTCGTCTTCATTATTCTGTCCGAGGTTCTATCATTATTCAATCAGCCGATATCAAGGACGCACCACTCATCGACCCCAACTTCTTGGGTACTAATGTCGACCGTTAAGCTGCTCGGGAGACCATCAGACGCAACATCAAATTGCTGACGTCTGATGAAACTAATTAGGGAAGAGAGGTGGTAGCTGGCGAGCTGGCGGCAGAGCCGTTGACAGTGAACTCTACAGACGAACAGATCGATGCTCGGGTGCGTGAGATGGCAGCGTAAATGACGCTTTACTGCTGATGAAGACACCTTTGCCTAACATATCTCACAGGGGATGCTACCATCCTGCGGGCACAGCCTCCATGGTCACTGTTGTGGATACAGACTTGCGCGTGATTGGGGTATCTGATCTTCGTGTTGTTAATACTTCAGTGTTTCCCGTCTCGGTTTCGGCTAACTTACAAGTGGCTGCCTACGCCCTGGCAGAGCAAGCTGCTGAGATAATTGGATCCACCATGAAGAAGTGCTAAGCTGATCGCTAGGATGAGATGGACATACACTATGATATGTTTCGATAGGCCTAGGCGCCTTGATAGAGACATCACTCAAATCTCAAGCTATCCCAGTTCAGTTCAATGCAATGTAGATAAAATTTCAAAAGGCTAATTTTGTTTGATTAATATGGCAAGTGCCTATAGCCTAAAGCCTCATGTCCATCGTCGAGTTCAACTCTCCAAAGCGGATGTTGCTGAACGTCACTTCAGGGTTGGCCACGATCGAAGTGATGACCGAGGGGTTACCCTCTGTAGCATTGCAAGGGCCGTTGTTGCCCTGGTCAAGCCACTCCATGAAGGTCGAGTCATCCCACCACAAGCTCATGGCCAAAACCATACCACGCGACATGGCACCGCCCATGCCCTCCATAGCACCCAATCGCATAAAGTCAGAGGCACCGGTGGCCTGGCAGTACTCGTCGTTCATGAAGTTGATCTTCGGAGGTCCCTCGATGTTGACAACGTTGTTCTGGATGACCTTGCCGTCCTGGACGTACATGCGGCGAAGCTCCTTGAGTTTGCCATTCTGGGCGGGGAACTGGGTAACGACGGTGAACTTGCGGGTGGTGTCGACCTTGTAGTCGGCACCGCGGCCGTAGAAGTTGGTCACATTCACACGGTTGGCGTTCCAGGCGCAGCCGGACTTATCGCAAACGCCAGCCTTCTCGCATTCCTCGCCGGTGCACTGGTAGAGACCGGGCTGGCTGCAAGGGTGAGGGGCGATGTGAGTTGCACGGGAGTTGGCCTCCCAGATGTCAAGCTCGTTGCAGCAAGAGCCCTTTTGCTCAAAGTTGCCCTGATTTTTGTGTTAGTAATGCATCACGTCGGGCAAGGAAAACAAGGGGACTTACAACTCCGTTGATGAAGGAGGTCTTGAAGCACTGGGCATCGCAGTAGCCAGTGCCCCACGCGGGACCAAGCTTGTTCAAAGAGCTTGTGTTCTTGCCACCGTCCGGAAGCATCTCGGACAAGTAGAGCGCGCTGTTCATGCCGCAGGGCAAGTTGACCATGTCGACATCGAAGCTGAACTCGGATCCCGTGAGCTGGATCATCTCGTAGCGCTGCTTGTTCTCCTCCAACAGGTAGATGCGGGGAGAAACTTTTTGGTTGTCGGCATTGAACATGGTCAGACGGACGTCTGTGCCGTGGGTAAAGACGCCCTTGGTACTGTAGTCGGCGATACCCTGAATATGGCAGTTGGTCGCGCACTCCTCGGGAGTGGTACAAGCAGTGGAGTTGGGCGGGTTGTTGCCGGTGAGGCAGGTCACGCCGCTCGAAGTCTTGATCTGATGCTGACTCGAATCGACAACGAGGTAGTTGGTCTTCTTCTGGCAACCATCTTTGACGGTGCAGCGGAAGGTTTCGATCTTGGGGTGTTGATCGGTAGAATTGCCAGGCGCCTGACCGGAGACGAGGCTGGCGAGAAGAAGAGTAGCGGAAAGAATGGAAAGCGCCATGACGGGCAAAGTGCAGATGCTGAGTTGGTCAACAAAGTGCGAAGAAGGCCAAAAAGGAGTGACTTGAAGTTGAGAGAAGCGAAGCTTGTGCCGAACTAGAATCATCTGAAGTCCCCGGCGGCAGCAACGTCGAGCTATATACTTTTGATGAACAGCATGACCGTCCCATTCGAAACCGAACAGACTCTAAAATCATCAAACTGTTTCAACCCGTCAATTTGGGTTCGGAGACCCCATGAGGATCCATCTGGAGTATTCCGACAAGCTTTCAGGGTTCGCTGGTTGATTGCCTCAGGGGCTAAAGGGGCCACTGTGACTAAATGCAAGGGGCTTTGGATGTGACAGCAATTGCGGGCAGTAGCCTCAATCTAATCTATCTATCAGAAGCGGCTCAAGTAGGACATGTGCAGGAGGAAACTTTGGGGACAACGATGGCAATCGCGGACATTGGAGAATAAGAAAGGACCGAACGGTCGGGGATGGAGCATTGGGCGCTTGGGGGCCATGATACCCGAAAGGTTGTCAGGGACTGCCTGGCCTTTATTTCGGCAAAGTGGGATGAGAACCAATACTTCTACGGATGAATCCGTGTCTATCGCTCCCAATTGTCCCAAATTGGTGTTTCCTTCCCACAGTTTACCGAACAAGCGCGATTTAAACTTTCCTCCTGTAACAGAAAAAGGGTTTCGCAAAACTCTATCGTTAACGAAGCATCGCCTCGCAGGGTCACCTACTCTAGCGGCATTATATACACGAATCAGATTTAATCTAGTCGTTGACAACTATCCACGCATCCCACACTCGCCGGCGGCTACATCGCTCAAAGCTCAGGTAGGTGTGAAGTCAACTACCCAATCTCCGTCCCATGTAGTAGAGTAATAACTTCCAAACAGGAGATCATAGTTCGGGCGTTACACCGAATCGCTCGCAGCGAGCCCGAATACTCGGTACGAAAGGGTTGATGCTGCCAACTATACATCTACTCGGGTGTATAACATGACTGGCAAACGCGGGCATATCCAACTATGGCGTTCGTCTGTCCTATCTTCGGCCACCTGTAGAGATCCATTATATTGCATCTTCCATAGCTCCTACTCTATAACGAGGATCCATCATACAAGCTCAAAGACTCGCCATTTAGGTAAGTAATCTTACGCTTAGAGTTCTCTGCACGATAGCCTTCGCTTCTTGATCTACGCGGCACGCCTACTCAGAACTGACCCTAGCTCCCGGCTTGGATGCGGATCTGGCTTATGTCCCGGTATTTGCGGCGAACTCGGATCAGCTCGATGTCCTGACTTAGCATTGCTGATGATAATTGAGTTTCTTGGCTTGCGGATAAATTACGTGTAAGTTGCTAGTAAGGTAGGGCCAGGGGTTTGTCACGCTCGCTCTCCTAAGTCCCCGTTGGTGCTGTGGAGCCCGCAATGTGAGCGGACTTTGCTAGTCGCGGCGGCTCCGAGCTGCTTTTTCTACCTCCGGGTGTGAAAGTGGAATGGCGTAAACATGTGACTAGAGCGATATCTCGAACATGGTGAGCACAAGAAAATGCCAATGCATACCTGATTAGACGGTCTTCTCGCTCCTGAGCAGATCAAGAGGGCTGTAAAGGTTGAACGCGAGAATTGATAGATCCTGTGAAAAATTGCCGAGCTGCTGTGACACCACGAGTCAGACACCAGCTTCGCCAAAGAGTAACAGCTATCGAACCTGGCGTTTCGTTTCGAGACTCTCGGATCTTCACATGCATACGCAAGCATGCTTAATTCGTCTGAAGGCAAGGAAAACTGAGTCAAACTTCTTGCAGTAGGACTTCTGTCGATTTTCTTCTACGCCGACCAAAGACAATGAGCAGCTGCCTCCTCCTGGAAGTATTCAGAACGTCAGAGTCCTCGTTTCTTCTGAAGATCTACATGTGAAAAGCATGCATTCGGTCACCAAGTTGAGAAGCCAGGTCCATACAAGTAAAGCTCTTGACTTAGGACTTAAGATGCCAATTATCGCGATTATCGTTGCATGGAAAAATACAACTTTCAAACACAAGGCAATTATCAACGCAGCATAGCTATGTATACTTATACTATATATCGAAATACAACGTCGCAGTAGTTGAACAGGGGTAGATACAACCAACATGTATGATATGCTGGGGGATCATGCCTATCCTACCTCCGTAAAGACTCGGTAATACGGGCGATTCAATCAAGTCAACTACCACACCTACGTTGAATATCCTGAACATATGAATCCAGTATCGTTTGACGCCTGATTCTCTCCGTGAGTCCATTGATCATCTCGTCGTTGAGATGTCAGTAGCCAGTCAGGTTAAACGAATGGTGTCATTCCACTCTTGATGTTAAGGACACAGACTTGAGTGTTTTCTCCCCTGCATCGATATGCTTCTGCTAACGTGACTAAAACACCCGCAAAAGAGGCAGCTTCTTATGGACTCAGGCCGAGTACTCCATGTCCCGTCGATGATTTCTCGACGCCCATGTCCGATGCCTAGATGTCCGTTTCTTGTCTTGGCCGGACGTTCCTGGTCACTCACACTTTTGAAAGAGCAACTAGAATTCTCCAAGCCATCGATTCTCAAGCGATTTGAGGTTTTCTTTGCGAGCTTTGCTTCCGCTGCCGTCATCGAGACTTCCGCAAGAAGGTTGGTGTTGCCAACTTGCTGCTATGATCCACAGGGACGAATACTCAGAAATGCACTTGGAATCCATCTAGTCTTTGAATCTTCTTCTGCATGAAGTACTTTTCACAAGAAAGACCAAGCTGAGTGAAGTTAAGAATGTCCATCACAGCGATGGTTCGGCAATGTTACCCAAGAAACAATAAATCAGGGCACTTAACCTAGATTGGCGATCATCGAGTCGCAGCTGAAAAGTGCGGCTGAATCTCCGTCGCTTGGCTAGATCCCACGTGATAGCCTCCTGACAACCTCTCCATTGGGTCTAAGCATCGAGACTCGTGGCCTTGATGAAAACCAAAACCACAATACATCATCCCATTTGCCAGTCGCGGCTTACATGCTTTGAATCATCGGTCTGAGCGGATTTCTCCGGCAAGTAATCTTTATTGCCGCTGTCATCGACACCGTGAGAGTTAGGCACCGAATTCCAGGCTCCTTCCACCGTGATCGCGAAACTCCATGTCACTGAATTCACCGGATTGAAGCCGATTAACCAGCAAAGAAACTCGAAAATGGCCGCTCGGTATCAATACACACCCTTCTCCACCCCAAAATCGATCCGCCTCATCCGTCTCGTCAACACCACAGATAAATCCTCCCCCCTCGAATGCTCGTTCGAAGAAACCTCCCTCGACAACCCAGTCTCATACGCAGCCCTCTCCTACACCTGGGGAGGCGAACCCTCAAACGTTCCCCTGACAGTCGTGAACACCACCACTACCGCAACCCGAAACTCCTCTCAGCAAATAACCCAACCCTCGCTGATGATAACTCCAAACTGCGCCGCCGTCCTCAACATCCTCCGCGGCCCACGCATCCGCGACCTCTCGCTCTGGGTCGACGCCGTCTGTATCAACCAGTCCTCCAACGATGAGAAGAGCGTCCAGGTCGGCATGATGGCGGAACTCTACGAGAAGGCAAAGTACGTCTTTGTCTGGCTGGGCAACGAGTGGGCGCCTGCTTCGGTTCTTGCGTTGTATAAAGGTGTCCCGAGAGTGAAAAATGATCAGGAGCGAGGTGAGTGCCGCCGCGGCAAAGGATCTCAATAATGTGGGATGTCTTTGACTTACACAACTTTCACATGACCGTATTCCCCCTCTCCGCTTCATGTCACTGATACTCATCCACAAACAGTCCTGGACCCAACCCTCCTCTCCAAAATCCAACGCGCCCCCTACTGGCTCCGCGTCTGGACCCTCCAGGAAGCAACCTACAGCAACGCCTTCGTCCTCTGCCTCGACGGCGGAGGTGAGGCCCTCTCCAACATTCTCCAGAAGTGGGGCGACGCCCATAAAAGTCACCCAGACCCGAATCAGCTCGCCATCAACATGCGCCGGAAGATCATCACGGCCGTTTCTACCGCTGCTACTACCGCCGATGCTGACGAGCGAAAAGAAGCGGCGGAGATTGCTGCGCGACGCGGGAAGTTGGACGTCTACCAGCTGAGAATGCTGCTGTACCTACAATCAACGGAACCCCGTGACAAAATCTACGCCCTTCGCTCAATCTTTCCAGATACCTTTGGAAAAGTAAGCGTCGATTACACGGATCCCGTAGAGAAAGTCTACCGCGAGGCCACGAGGCAGCATATCCTGGGACAGAACAGTCTCACCCATCTCCTCCTCCTCAAAGGAGGAGATGCCTCGATACCACCGTCATCATCAAGATCAACTTCAGCAACAAACACTCATGTCCCCCGGTCCCAGACCTCCCCTCCTGGGCCCTAAGCTGGAACAACCAAAACACAGACGGTAGAATTCTCCTCGACGTGCCTGCATCATCATCCCGCGGCAGCAAACCCTCCTACAGATTCTCACCCGACGCCCGCACGCTCTACCTCAAAGGCAGGACCGTCGCGTGCGTAGGCGACCGCATCAGCCCCAAGCTCCCGTTATTCGACCTGTCCTTTGTTCTAGCAGATAAAAAGGAAGAGTTCATCGCCTGGGTGGGTGATGCCAGGCGTATTTCCCAGGCCTTTCTCTCAGACATCTTGTCACCACCAACACCGCCGCCCAGCGACACAAGCAAAGAGGCGCCTGCGGAAACAACCGAAAGCGATCACGCAGACGCACTACAAACCTTTCGCAGCATCCAAGCCCTCCTCGTACGCATTCTCCACGCAAACCCACGAACACAGCCCGACGCCGCCTCGCTACGCGCACTCTCCATCCCCTCAGAGCTCGTAGAGGCAGTAGCATCACAAACACCCTCCGCCTGGTTGAAAATCGGCAATATCACCGCGGCCATGGGCTCGGGCTGTATGTTCCTTACCACGGAAAGCTGCTTCGGGTTCTGTGTCTCGCAACCAGAGCCAGGTGACGAGATCTGCGTGTTTTCAGGGCTTGATGTCCCGTTCGTCGTTCGATCGAGGGCAGGCGGGTATACGATCGTCGGATATACGGTCCTCGATGGGGTTATGGACGGAGAGGCGTGGCCTGATGACGAGGGCGAGTTGGAGGAGTGGGCGTTGGTATAGATGCTTGGCGGAGCGTCACGTCAAACCTTCAGTATCAGGACCATGAACAGCCCACGATACCGAGAGATGGGCATCTCAAGTATGCTCTCCGATCAAACACGGGGAAAGCAGAAGGCAGGAGGGTAAAAAAGGGATTACATGTATCCATATCCATCAACCCAAGCCCAAGCCCGGCCCTCCCGGAATCGGCACCGGTAAGCTGCACCACTTACTCAGCGCCACCCCGGCGGATCCACCAGAAAACACAACCCTACCTTAGCTTCGGACTCAAGAACCTCCTCTCCAAAGTCCGAAATATCTCGATCTTCGATCGCCCAGTAGCCCACCTTCTCTTGAGCCCCCAGCCAAGCCCACGCCAGGATATGCCATCCGCGTTCCCCTTGCATCGCGCATCCGCACCCGGTCCTGGGAGGTACCCAAGCTACCTACATACATACCTTAATCTTGAATCAACGTCGTCAGTCCGGGGTAATCACATCAATGGAGTCCATTCGGAGAATAACATTTAGACTCTCTTGTGTGTGGATCTGGATGCTGTTGACGGAATCTCGATCACCACGTGGTTTCTTTCTCACGATTCTGTGAACAGGATGCCGTGTTTCCACCATACCGTATTATACGGTTGGTAACCCGACGTTACCCATAGCATTTTCACTGCAGCTGCGAGTATTATGTAAAGTTATGTTGTAGAATATGAATATATGAACAGTGAACATTAAGACAGCAGACAGCTTTTATCTAGTCTATGAAAAGAACCCTCCAACGCCGAAACAATGCATTGATGCTGTGTCTAATGCAGGGCGCTTTCGCCCGTCTCCGCCATAAATTTTTGGCAGTTGAGCAGTGTACGAAGCTGATCGCTGACCTCCTCGAGTCTTCCAATGACCTTCTTGTTGCCATCGACGAAGCCCAAGATGGAGTAAGGAATGCCGGTATCCTTGCAGAATTCCTTGACAAACACCTGCGCCTTGCGGAGATTGTGCCGAGGGACGCGCGGGAAGAGGTGGTGCACGGCCTGGAACTGAAGACCGCCGTGGATGAAGTCCAACCACGCGGGGCAATCGACGTCCATGGTGGTGCGGAGCTGGCGCTGGGCAAAGGACTCGGACTCGCCAAGGTCCGAGGTGGACATACCCCAGTGGGATAGGGTAATCTGAACGTGCAAAGGCATGGTGATGATGTGAGAGACCAGGACGAAGGCGACGCGAATGGGCCAGGTGGGAAGCGTATTGAGAATCAGACGCCAGCCAAAAATGTACCAGAAGCAGGCCATGAAGGCGATTTCAGTCGGGCGAATCCACCAGGCCTTGGAGGCTCCAAGGGAGGAAGATCTGCGGGACAAAACGTGGAGCCACGAGAGAAGGTAGAGGTTGAAGCGAGCGATGCCCATGACGGGGTAGTAGGTGTACGCCTGGTACTTGGCGAGAACGTCGGCAGCGGCATCCCAGACGAAGACGAAGCCATCGTAGTAAGTCGACTTGATGGACTTGAAGAAAGAAGGGCAGGTGGCGAAGAGAGGGACGTTCTGGATATCGGGATCGTGCTCCTGGGACGTATTAGTGACAGGAATCGGGAATCGGTGAAGACTGGGCAAGACTTACAGGCTGGTTGGTAATGAGATGGTGGACATTGTGACTGCTCTTCCACCATCCCATGGAAAGGCCGCAGCAGAAGTCGGCAACAAAGAGGCCAATGAGGGTGTCAAAGGTGAAGTTGTGGGTGATGGCACCGTGTCCAGCGTCGTGGGCAGAGAACATGATCTGATGCCAGAAGAGACCCAAGAAGCAAGCTGAGGTCATGTACCACTCATAGTGCAGAGTAGTGAGGAAGAGGGCGAACAGAGTTGAGTATCTGCACATCTCTTTGCCATAATCCAAGTAGGGGCAGTCATAGAGGCCAGCATCCTTGATACGTTCATGAAGCAAGCGGTACTTTTCCTGGATATCGCGCTGAACAGCAGGGTCGAGAGAAGGGTACTCGTCGAGATCCTTGTTAATGTTCTGTTGGATGGACCACTCGGTGTACTGGTCGGCGGTCATGCGGCTCCGGCCCGACAAACCGGGGCCGGCGGCGAGGGCATCGTCGGTTGGGTCTGCAGGTGCAGCAAGACGACGTCTAATGCCCGTCTCAGTCTGGGGTTCGGGCTTGGTCTCGACCTCTGCACTGCTGCATTCGGAAGTCAGGGACGTGCGGGAGCTCCCGCCAGATACATCGGAGACAGCATCGTCAGCGGAGTCATCTTCATCGAGATCAGACGAGGGGCAGTCGACGGCAGCGTCCGTGGCATCTTGTGCAGTAGCACCGCCAGCGTTGGGTGCAGATGCGGGTGTTGTGGTCTCTTGCTTGGTGTAGACGCCGCCCCTAATTGGTGGTGTCATGTTGATCCAGGGACCCGCAGGTTTCCGGCCGATCCGAAAGGCCTTCATGGTGTTGAGTGTGGCAGCCGAATGGTACCTGTCAAAAGCGATATGTCAGCACACTAATTCCACTTAACGCATCAATAACGGAGTCCGAATGTCCAGCGAATCCGAAATATTAATTGGCACTTTCCCCCTTCTCCCACTATTTGAACCATGTGGGAAAATAAGCTTAACCAGACTTCTGATTATATCTCGGTCGCTTTCGCATTCCCGGATGCTTCTTTTTTCCCGATGTCCCACCCCTTTTCAGATTATTTATCCGAACCCACGGGAATGACGGGGGCACGCCGCATGAGGGTCCAGATTCGGAGGGGGTTCTCAGCCTCAAGCTGAAGATGGTGGGAGGGGGGCAGATGTGATGCACCCAAAGGTTAATTGGACATGGAAGGTAAGTCGAGCCTCTTACACTTTGATCTCGTCGGTCGCATCTCTTCCAACCATGTGCAGGATAGCCAACTGGCCACCAGGATGCTTGCCCATCCACCCGTCGAGGCGAAGAACCATTTCGTCAAGAATGACGATTGTGCGTCCATCTGCAATCATGCCCTCCACCTCGCGGGGGGTGATGATTCTGCTATCACGATCCATTTTCGCAATTGTGTGGATGGTTTCGTTATTCGGTTACAGATTTGTGCCGTGTAGCCAGATTTCGAATTCGTCGAAGAAAAGAAAGTATCGACGATTGTTCTGGTGGGTAGTGGTGACGAGGTTCCGTCAACGTGGTGAATTCGAGAGAGCGAATGCTGCGAGGCAGGAAGGGAAGTTGCGGTCGAACTTGGCCAAACGAACACAAAAGCCCAACCGAACTCAAATTATCGCCGCACAATTGCGTACGAGGTCGATAGGCAGTTGACGTCCAATTCCTCCAAAAGGATTTGAAGAAGGAAAGAGGAAGAATCGGTTCGGTGGTGGTGAACCTGTGTAGGTGATGGTGATGCGCCGGGGACAAACCGGTTGGTTGAAGGTGGGCGATGCGGTATTTTACGTATTATCGACCTTGGCTTGCTTGGGGGTGGGCTGGCTGGCGGCAGGCAAGATGCGCAGTGACAGGAAAGCTTCAGGACCCTGTCGGACAGCTTTCGGTTCGGGATGGCGAGAAAGAGAATTTACGGCAAAGGCGAAGCAGTCGACACTCGTGCCATTTTCAGATGAGAACAGACGACATGGACATGACCTGGGAAATAGGAAGATGGAGGGGGGGCAGGCTCTGGATAAAGGGCAGAACAAACGAGCAAGAGTCAAGAGACGGGAGAGACAAGAAACGGGCAGACGGGACAACGGGCCAACGTAACAGGGCGACGGGGGTGTGAGGTGAAAGGAATACTGGATGGATGGATGGATACGGATACTGGGGGAGGAGGAGAGACGAGACGAGACAAGAACATGAGAAGAAACGTGGATGGAAAGGAGCAGCGCAACGGGCAAGCCGCAAACCAGCTCAATCCAGGAGAGAGAAAGAGCAACCAGCACCCAGCAAAAGCACCAAGAAAGAACCACACCAGACGAGACGAGCAAGCGGCGGCGGCAAAGATACCAGGGACGGTACGGTACCTACTCCGTATACCCCGTGGCTCATCCCCGTACGAGAGTAACGAGGAGCAAGCAAGGCGCCGACGTGGAGCATGGAGCGTAGAGCGTGGAGCGAGGCGAGGGGGGCCCAGGTAAGGTGGTTCTTCAAAAGATTTGTGGATCATCTTTTTCCATTGCATCCACACCCACTTGGTTCTTGGATTCACCACCAAAAGTCAACCCACTGCCACAAGTGTGTGCGGGCTGCTGCTGCTGCTGCTACTCATAGTGTGAGTGTGAGAGACTACCGTCGGTCAAGGACAGCTTGTCTTCGAGTTAGGCAGGTCGAAACAGTGCGCGTGGGTTCTTGGTGGAGGTGCAAGTGACTGGATGGGGACGGGATGGATATGGGGGATTGGGATTAGGATGGGACATGGGCCATGCCATGGGCCAAGGGCCATGGGGGGGGGGAGAGACTGTGGACATGGAGACTTGACATGGTGCAGGGGGGGCGGAGGGGGAAACCGATGGAGAGACTCTCTCATCATTGAGATGCAAGAAAGTAGTCTTTCCAATCTCCCCGACTAGCTTCCCACTCCCAGATTTCCCGCCAAGACAAAAAGGAACCGAACATCAGCCAGGTTGTGGTGGTTGTGGTTGCAGCCAAGGTATTGATTGTTCAGGTATGCCTACACAGTACAAAGTGGTGTAGGTACTCTGTGAGTCTGTATGCGCGATGGCGTAGTTGTGGACATGGCAATCAGACATGTGGTGAGTGAATAACAATGAATGGGGGTATGAACAGGCAAGGAGAAAGGTAGAGAAACCACATATCTGTGTGTATGAGATTCAACGCTGAAAATGCAGGGCAAAATGAATGGCAGCAAGTATTCGTATGGATACGCAAGTACGCAGGTATGGATATGTACGAATAATAGTATGGACACATACGCGCAAGTTCGCAAAGAGAGAAAAAAAAAAGAATAAAAAAAAAAGATTGAGAGAATGGAAATGGACGCGCCCAGCTCATTCACGGCTAGGCCACGCCCCTGCCCATCTGCCAATCTTGTTTCCCGAAATCCCCCCCCCCTGATCCAATCTAGTAAATTGGCCGTTGGCGCTCTCGCTAGCCCCGGGGGCGCAGCTTGTTGCGTTGCTGCTCTTCTCTTTCTCGCCTCCTGGGAGCTTGCTGGAGAATGGGGGCTGGGCTCTGCAAGGTGCAACTTTGCACCGGCCATTGCCTTTTGCCTCTGCACACGGCAGACAGCAGACAGCAGACAGCAGACAGCAGACGAAACTGACATATGAATGACTGACTCTAGAATGAAGCAATTGTAAGAGGTTGACGGAGAGAGATGGGCGTGTACCGGGGTCAGCGAGTAGGGAAGGAGAAAAATTCAAAAAGAAAAAGGTGAAGGAGCTTATCTGATTGACACCGGTTGACCTTGCACCGGCGGGGGCCTGAGCTGGGACTCTGTGAGCCTTGACAGGACCCTGAAAGGCTGAAACGATGAATATTGGGGTCCTTCTCGAATCATGCACTTTTCCAATGTTGGAGAAGGAGGTGGGTTCTGCCATTCTGGAAGGTCCCTCCTTGCCCTTGCCTCCCTACCATTGGATCCGAAGACGGTACGAAGTGCGCGGGTGGTGAGCGGTGCGCTGTGCGCGTATTACCTGAGCATCCCATTCATCACGGTGGACATGGTGACCCGTGACGGTGACCGGAACACGGCTGGAGGAAAACCGAGGAAAGAGAAGAGCACCTTGGGACCTTCCACCATTTGAACATTGGGGGCCCTTGAATGGGTGAATGGCTTGGCAGGGAAGGGAGGACCGTACTCGATACGGAGAGGCGGGACCACCTTGGCAAGTACGCACTTCAGTACGCGGGTGCAAGTGCGCCGCAGGCTAAACTCCTGCCGCGCCATTGCCCATTCTCCTTTCTCCAGACTTGCACCTTCCAGGTTTCTGGGGCCTCGCGTTGCCCTTTCCCTCATTCACCTAAGCTCCTCCCCAAGTCACTTTCCAACAGTACAAGACTAAGACCAAGACCAAGCAAGTGCACCCCTCCGAAGACTTGGCGGCCGCACACAGACATCTTTGCATGTCGTACCTGCCACCTCGCGCCTCGCAAAGAGTAGAAGAAAGGAAAGAGCGAAGGGGAAAAAAAATTGGCAAGAGTCAAGAACCCTCAGAACACGCGTCTTGAGTGGGAAGTGCGACAGGAAAGAATGGGGAACAAGTGGGACGAGGACCCAGGACCCTTGAAACTCAATTCCACCGTCCCGCGAAAAGACACCAAGGACACATTGATACAAAGACGGCACCTGCTCTGAGAAACTAGGAGTGCGGCGATTGTGCCGGGAATGGCCCTTTCACTCGTCGAGCCTTGACTCTTGAGTATTGACTAGTCTTGTATCCCCTCCTCCTACGGTAGACCCGTTTCCATGGTTGAGTCTTGACTTGACAAGTCCAAGTGTGGGTGGGATAAGTACGAAGTCAAACCTGGTCCAAGTTCTGAACCTGCGGAAGAATGTTTCTAGAAATGCCGCTCAAGCTCTGGCTAGACCTCCCACCTTGTCTCGACCCTCTCGTCTTGGGTGCAGCCTTGGCCGGGCTTGTGTGTGTGTGTGTGTGGCAGTCTTGGTTGGAGCGGCTGTTTGAATCGTTTGGCCCAATCGTATTGTCTCGTCTCTTGGTTTCCTTGGTTTTTCTTTGACCTCTGATTGCACATGGCAACTTGGCAAGCCGCAAAAAAGACATTCAGAAAGAACTGTTCCTCAAAGGGAACTGTTTCCCTCGGCTACTGTACGCGGTCCCGTCCACCCCCGTCCACCTTGGTCGCTTGCCCCTCCCTAGTCCTTCCTCCCCCGTGCGAGGTGGTGCCAGGTGGTGGCTCATTTAGCGAGCCGAGCTGTTGGGGCGGAACCAGACAAAATTGGCCCGAGGGAAATGGCGCGCCTGTCAAGGCAGCGCCGCAGGGGAGGGAGGGGCAACTTGGGCAAGGGCCAAGCCAGGGGGGGGGGGGTTCGGAACTTGGAAAGCCACAAGTTGACAAACTTGCCGAGCGATGGGTCTCTGTTCGAATGTGAACATGCTTTGATCTTCAAAGTTCCCACGATCCACCGTTATTAACGAGCTCAACGTACGGAAACCCGCGGGAAGATTAATTGATGAAAGATGGTCATAATGTCACAATCCGACATCAACCGCAACTAAAAGATGATTGACGGGGGCTTAGTGGGGCATCTCGCAAACCGAGGTATGGAGCAGGAAAGACGGAAAGAACGACCACAAGCAACAGGTAATCAGCAAGCAGCAAGCAGCAGGCCGCAAAACGGGAAACACCGTAATCATCCAATGGCCAGGCTCCAGCCTCTTGGCTAACGGAAGTTTCCCCTTGGCGCCGCCGACTGCGCCTCGCAACGACCCCACAAAACGTCAACTGCGAACCCGAAGCGGGAGGGGATTGATGGATGACGCCGACTTCCTCTAGGTAGTCCCATCATGCGGCATGCCTCTATCTACTATCTACCCGCGGTCTCGCTACTAATCTCTACTGCGTACTACTCATCTATCTAACCTCACATCATTGCAGTCTACTATCATGTAGGCAGGCTATGCTCGTACTGCGTGAGACGTGGTTCGCCGAGGGGCACAAATCTCGTTCCAAATTGACCTCTTAATTGAGCGTCATGTCGCAGCAATCGCCAAAAACCTAACTGCTGGGGTGCTCCGAGCTCGTTCTAACTAACTTTTCACCAGCTTACCTATTTTATCTCTTTCCGTGTTTGCGAGACGAATGAGACGAGGCACAATACACACCAAACAATTGGCATCCCATCTTTTCGGGTACGGATAGGTGACTTTATTCCTGCAGGCTGGCTGCACTGCACTTGCTGCAGGCCTTCCATTGCGGGATGGTGGCTGCATCCAATTACCCTTCATGGTACACCTACACCAACACATCAGCAGGTTCCTGATAAAGGACCAAGCTGTGTGCGTCTTTTTCCCCGATTCGTTTCTATTCGGCAACAAGAGTTTCCAGACTTTTTCCACCGAAGCTCGTGCCAGCCAGCGTTCCAGTGCCTGCCTAGCGAGGGGGTCAGCTCGGAAAGAGCACTCAGCTGAGTATCTCGCAGCCGAGGTGTGTGTAGGCCTTCAGCCAGGTGGTGATTGTTGGCTGAATCGCTTTTTGCCGTCTCACGTATCCAATATCCCGGCACGGTGACGCTGCATTTGCAGCGTCGCAGGCTCGCAGCAACACAAAGTTTGAATTGAAGAAGCGGGAGCGGGCTGGAACTGGGATAAGCTGCCATGCCTGTCATCCCAGAAAATCTACACAACTTCGAAAATGAACCCCACTTAACAGTCACAACTAATGGCCGGGGCACAGGGGTGTGGTGAGCGAAGCGGAAGCCATAAAGGAAAATAGGTGCGAGCCTGGCGAGGTGCCATCGCCAATGGAGTGCCACAGGAAGAAAATGTAGGTACCCGGAAGCAAGGCCGCGTACGTAATATCCCGTATCCATGTTCGAGACCGTTGGGTGGCACAGTGGCTAGGTCTGTCATGGGGCTCGCCCACCCGCGGGTACACGAAAATTGATGGGAAAGGGGAGGAGGGACTTTCAATCAGGGAGAGGGGGAGTACTTCTTGGGAGAGTGGGGGGCGTCATATGGATACAGCAAAAGGTATTCGGCCAATTCTGCCAACTCCCAAGAATATCTCAGAAAAGTGGTACGGCCATACGACGATCTCTATGCAACTTTTCAAACTTCCTAGTCTCCCTTCACCGTCGTGTTTCTTTTGACACTGTGGGATAGCCACATTTGATGGAGAATAGAAAGAAAGTAAAGGGGAGAGAAATAGCGTCATTGGTGTCGCAGGAACAACACAAGGACGATCCGAATAGGCGGCATGCAGAAAACACTGATGCCCAGTTGGAAAGCGCAAATCCCATACGCGTGATACGACCGAGGGAGGCAAAGGAGGGTTGCCAATACGCAATAGCGGAGACTGGCAGACAGGGGTTTGGCTGTTCCGTCTGGCAAAATGGCACATGAATCCATGATGATGTTCATCTTTCTCCTCAGCTCTTATGTCCCCTCTCTCGCTATACTCATAAGCTCAAGGCCCATTGGTCGTCGAGAAAGCGGTGGCATGCTGGCTCCAGCTTTTCTGTCTCGTCAACTCCTGCTGATCGACTTGGTTCTAACGAGCCGTAGACTGTAAGGTAGTGTAGTTCCTGCGGCGTCATCCAAGTCGGATGGGTTAGGGGGCCGCGGGCATGGCATTGGCGCGTGAGCCACGGGAAGCTACTTGAGGCTAGAGCTTTTCTGCCACTTTGGAAAAAAAGTTGGAGAAAGACATGCGCGATGGCACCTACACTAGACATGCCAATTCCCAGCCTTTGAATGTACGCCTTTCCCAGCGTGGGATTGGCGCGCAGAGGTTGGCGTGTTGGATACGACACTAAACGTGGTTTCTGGGCCTGGACCCAGAATTCCGTCCGATTGAGATTCGAGTCTGGATGGACCAAGATCAAGGGGCCTGGGGTCGCCACTCGGCAACCGTTTGATTGGTTTTGCAGCAACGGCCACCACAAGCGCCCCTTGCCCTCTCGGATTAATTCGCACGATCTCTCGTGAACCTCGGATTAACCCCGGCTGGGTCTTTCCCGTCGAATCTGGACAGCTCCACTCGACCTGGTGAGTATTTGTCCTCAGGCATGCCCTTGTCTCTCCCCAGACGTTGAGCCTGCTGACTAAGGTTTCAAGCTGTTTCGGTCGCCACCGCAGCTGGTCACCATTTTTCCCTCACGCACACCGAATCGCCCGGCCGAGTCGTCTAATAACTGGTTATCACGGCACGGCCGACGTCTACGTTTGGCAAGATGAAGCGCAATATCCCCCAAAAAGGACCACTGTTCTCTCGAATCATTCCATCCTTCATCCCGATACCCGAATTGATTCATCTGCTCGCCGTTTGACCCTGAACATCTTCTCACTGCAAGAAACAATAATTACATCAGATGGAAGAAAAAACCGTACTGCCGTGAAACTAAAGCTGACCAGGCTCAGAAACAATCGGTCTTCGTCCGAGTCACGTGGAGTGAGATCTCTTGTCATCCCGTCTCCGTTTTGGGACGAAGAGTAAGATTCAGACGCGGGCAGATACCAATCTCGTTTTGTTTTGCCTCACATCAAGACGATCCAGGGGAGTGTGTACCAAAGAATAAGAACAAAGGGGAAAAGGCAAAATCCCGTCGGAACGAGCTGTACACGCGAACATGAGCAAAGTTTGAATCTGCATTATCACCCAGTTTGCCAAAATAGCATCCATCTAGTCATCGTTGAAGGGAGAAACCCTCCCTCCCTACCGCGGAGGCCAGGGTCCCCACTTCCGTCCAGACCCTCACGGAACCGGACAGTTGGAAGTGAGCGGCATCGGACCGATCACCGACGGCGTCTTCAGTAAACCCCGGGTCCCCGAATAAGATAAACCAGTGCCAAGTTGCACCCCGCGCTCCGCCCACCATGTCCGCGTATGAGCGTGAATGCGAGCACAGGTACGACTACGAACCGCTCTCAGCCACTGGCACTGGCAGCGGCGGTGGCGGTAACGACAACGATGCCTTCAGGCTGCTCCTCCTCGAGCCCTCCGCCGCCCGCGCAGACCAACTCAGGGGATCCCTACGCAACACCACCCTCGCCGCGTGCGACTACGACCTGATTGACCCGTACACAGCCCTGTCGTACGTATGGGGCACCTCAGAACGGGCATGTCGGATCCGACTCGTCGACGGCAGCGGCCGTGAGTACCTCTTCGCCATCACGGCCTCGCTCGATGACGCCCTGCGTGATCTGCGCGACCTCACGCGCGTGAGGAGGGTTTGGGCGGACGCTCTCTGCATTGATCAGGATAACGTCGACGAGCGTAATGCGCAGGTGAGGTTGATGGGGCAAATCTACTCGACTGCCCACAGCACCGTCATCCACCTCGGCCATCTCACGTCCGACGTCACTGAAGTGTTTTCTGTACCCCGTGATTTCGCCCCCGAGCCCGGCACGGATAACGGCGAAAGTACCGCCGTCGCCGCGATAGGAGAAGGAGGGCCTTGGAGCTTGCTTTCCAAGACGTGGTTTGAGCGCGTCTGGGTCTTTCAGGAGCTTGTCCTATCGAGAGATCCCTGGGTCCAATGCGGCAGCAGACGGATACGATGGCGCGAATTCTGCGCCTTCTTCCTCGATGGTAGAGGCCAAGGCTCGTCACCGAGGGTGCAGAATGACGGAGAGAGGCGGCGCGTCCTGGCGGATATGAACGCGAGCTGGGCCAGCCAGTCGAGGCTCCCTCTCCACCGCGCCGTTAAGGCGCGTAGAGGCCTGGGCGCCACGAACCCGGCCGACTTTGTCTACGCGACGTTTGGCATCATTAGTGATCTTGAGACTGTTGAGCAGTACCTGAAGATTGACTACAACATGTCAGTTGGGCGTACTTTTGGCAAAGTTGCCCAGTATATGTTCTACGAGCTCGGCATTGAGCAGATGGTGTTTCACGTAGACGACGCTCCCGCTTCGAAACGAGTAGATGGGCTCCCTTCCTGGGCACCCGATTGGAACCTCGAAGCTTCTTACACCAAGAGAAATCCGCTGTGCATGGTCCAGGACAACAGCCTGAGCCAGGTCAGAGTGAAGAAAGAGGTCCACCATGCTTTTACCGAGTCTGCGAATGGTGATCTGCCGCTCGTTTTGGGGCACATTGGCATGAGGGTTGAGACGATCGAGCACGTCGGCTGCGTCATGCCTGCTGGCCTGCAGAAGTCGCATCTGACTGCAGACTATGACGCCGCCAGGTCAGAGTTGATGGGCATATATAGAAATGCTTACGCCTCGGGGGACAGGTTCGGTCAGTATCGACACGTTCCACTAAAGGGCAAGGAAGCGGAGCATGAGCGTCTCTGCCAGGCCGTCGGAACTATATGGGTCGCGGCAGTCGAGGACTTCCACAGGCAACCATCAGTTGCCGATTCCCAGCCGGGAGGAGATAACGACTTTCTCGAAGCCCTCGCGCGTTGGCTGGCCTCAGAAGCGAGCAAGCAGCGCGAATTCGTGGGCTCAGGCACAAACGGCATCATCAAGCGCCTCTACGGCTACTTTGCCCGCACAGGCGGCCATTCCGACCTCGAAGGCAGGCGACTAGCCTCGACGGGAGACGGCAGGATGAGTATCGTGCCGGCGCAGGCTTCGGCGGGTGACGTGATTGCGTATCTCGTGGGCAGCAACACGCCCGTCCTGCTTCGTTCAAAGGACGCTGGGGTCCACGGGCCAGAGATTGAGCGTATGTTGTTGGAGTCCCTGAGACAGCCTGGATGTGGCGTTGTCACGATGACGAATGAGCAGAAGGAGCAGGAGCTGTGGAGGGTTCCTGAGCAGGGCGATGTCTCGGTTGAGCACTTTTCGGTTGTTGGGGAGGCGTATCTGGATGGGCATGTGGGCTGGGCTTTGAGGTATTTGCCCCAAGAGTCTAGTATGCGGATATTTGCACTGCACTGAGTTGCGTGAGCGAGACTAGCTAGTGGTGATACCCAAGTATTCATAATTGTATTCCATGATTAGATGCAAGTTCTCATCAGGCAACATCCAAGACTTCTCTAAATATAGACTCCCGCTCAGAGGATGAAAGACAAAACAGATAGGGGTATCGTAACATATCCAAGGACTCAACTAACACCAAGGGCCGGCACCGGCCTAAGCTCCGCGCCAGCCTCACTTCACGACCGCTTTCCAGTGCGGTGCATTAAGAATCAAAGCCATCAACGACCCCGAAAACAAGGCAGACACAGGCACGGTAACAAACCACCCGAAATAGATCCACGCCACGAGCCGCGGGTTTATCGACCGCCAATCCCCATTCGCCAACCCGACCCCGACCGTCGCGCCGGCAATACACTGCGTCGTCGACACAGGCAGCGCAAGTTTCGTCGCCATCATCACCACCACCGCGCTTGCGAGCTCCATACAGAACCCCCTACTCGGTGAAATCAGCGTCAGCCTGTTTCCCAGGTTCCGCATGACGTGGTACCCGTACGTCAACAAGCCCAGCACTATAGCCCCGCCCCCGAAGCAGAGAATCCACACCGGCACGCCGACCGACGTCTCGATGCCCCCCGTGCGCCAAATGTCGTAGGCCGTCGCGAAGGGCCCGATGCTGTTGGCTACGTCGTTTGCGCCGTGGATGAAGCTCGCGGCGGAGGCGGTGAGGATCTGGAGGACGCTGTACATGTGTTCTGCGCGGTTGTCGTAGTGCGGTGCGCGGGCGTGCATGTCGGCGATGTCCCAGGAGAGTACGGCGTTGCGCTTCTGCATTGTGATGACGTCTTGTTCTAGGCCGCGGAGGAGGAGGCGGTTAAGGCGCCAGGTGAGGACGGGGAGGCTTGTGTTGGGTCCTGGCGGGCGAGGTGGGATGTGTTCTGATGTGGAGGAGTAGGAGGATGAGGAGGGCCGGCGGGTGGTTTCTGTCAAGGCTGATGTTGTTGATGTTGCTGCTGGAGTTTGAGGGGGTCCGAGCACTGGCAGCGACTGGATAGGTTGGTCGTCTTTGAAGAGGTCTGAGGGCGTTTGGCTGCTTTGTATTGATTCTAAGAGGGTTTCTGAGGCTCTCACGTAGGCGAGCTCGTCTGCCGTGAGGTGACCGCGGTAGTAGTCTTTAACGTTGACTCTCCGTACTCCGGCTGGAGGTAGTGGTGGTGGCGGCCGGTTGAGGAGCCAGGGACCCTTCCACATCATGAGACAAGTGAGCTCCCAGTCTTCGTTGACAATCTTGCGCCAGAGGTAGGGTAAGAGGAAGAAGGCTTGGAGGAGCATCGCGCCAGTGGCGACGGAGAAGACTGCAATGAGGACTTGGGTTGCTGTGAGTTCAACCTGGAGCTGGACGCCTTTCCAAGCTACGAGCACTATACAGCGTGTTAGTCTCGGTGTGAAAGAATCATCACTATTCTCATACAATGGGGTAGGGGAGCGAAACGCGAGGACTCACTCGTCAACGAGCCAAAGGTCAAAAAGGTGTACAACGGAATCGTAAAGAAGGCATTTCGCACAGCATTCGCCTTGGTCAAGACGAATCTCTTCGTCACCAGAAACATCACCGCCCCGAGCGCCCCGCTCAACCCCGGCGCAACAACCCACGCCGCAAACACCTGCGACACCCCGTCCCACCCCCAACTAACTTTCGAGATACCCACGCTCGCCGTCGCGGCGCCGACAAGTCCGCCAATAATGGAGTGCGTTGTGCTCACGGGCAGGCCGTTGCGGGTAGCGATGCTGAGAAAGACAGAAGAGCCAAATATGGCACACATCATGACGAGAAGAAGAACGCTAGGTTGGGCGGTGTAGAGGTGCGGGTCGATGATCTTGTTACGGAGAGTATCTGTCACGCGGGAACCGACGGCTACGGATCCGGAGAATTCGGCGACGGCAGCAATGGCCATTGCTTGTTTCATTGTGAGGGAGCGGGAGGAGACAGACGTCGCGAATGAGTTTGCGACGTCATTTGCGCCTGGATTTACATGATCAGTTGTATGTGGATGGGCAGCTCCATCGAAGTTCTGCAGCAGGTCTATTCTTGCACAGACTGGTAAGACATACCAATGTTCCAAGCATCGAGAAAGGAGAAGATGGTGGTGATGGCGAAGATGTAGTCATATTGATGCAGTGCGGCGGCCATGATAGCTCGCCGGGCTTTAGTCTTTAGCGGTTCGCTCGTGGAACCAGTACAAACTTAGTTGGTCTCGGAACCAAGACTCAGACGGCCGATGCGGTATTATCGTCGGCTCCTGGTTTTTCGGCGAAGCCCCGTCCTGTAGACATGTTGTGCTAATTCGATATCATGCTCGTCGATGATGGTGATGCTAGTCTTGATAACTCATCAGGAGGCGGCGAAGATCTGAGACAGAACCCTTCTATGCTAGTAGGAGGAGCATGAAGTCTGGGTTTTGATCAATCACTTTGGTTGTCGTTTTGTACCGCCAGCCTGGGTCAGATGGTTATATGGGTTCACCTTGCCGCAAGCCGAGATCGAAACGGGACTGGGGCCCTCTCGCATCATTCGACATGGGAACTAGGGCAAAGGCTGTGTGCTTGGCCAGCTTCAGGATGAGCTCGAAGAGGTTCCATGTGTGCAGTAGCTCTTAGGTTTCGCAGGGGACGCTGGCTTTGGCTAGCAGCCGTACATCGAATGTGGTCGAGGTTTCTGTCCCGGGGCTGGGCCACGAGGCAGGGGAGACGTCAACGACAGGGCGGATGGAGACTCTGTTGTGGCCTCTCCTCCACCACCATCTTCAAGATAGTTAACCAGGGGTTTGAGACGGCCGGAGCTTGCGGATGCGACGATGTGCTCGGGATGCACCTCGTTGTGGACACCGACGGATATGCAGGCTATCAGACCCCCACGAACTCTGATTCTGGTCATTCTATATCTCGAATGTCAGCATGGCATCAGGCCAAGGCGAACATATAGTATTTGTGTAGGCGAGCTGCAAAAATGAAGACGGCAACTGGCCGCTCGTTGAAAATGGGCCGAAGGGGAGCTGCGAAGCTGATGATGGATGCTTGGCGACATAGAACTGGGTAGCCAATCTACGGCCGGTATTGGGGCACGGTGTTTAATGGTTCGAAGAGGCCAGGCCCCACCAACAACGTCGCCTGCCAATGTGGCGTTTTTCGTCTTAAAAGAACCACCCTAATTATCCCGCGAGGTGTTCGTATTGCCCTCCTTTTGCGGTTGGGGCGCCTTCAAAGCAGTGTGCTTTACATTCGTCGATGTCTGTAGTGACCTGATTGCTTACACCTGCGCCTCTGTGCCTCTAAAGATAGTGTAAGCCCCCCGGCGTGGGGCAACCCCGGGCATCCGGCGTAACAGCGGGGCCGATACCAACTGGCTACCTTAGCCAGCACCGCGCATCGTGATAGAATGCTCGATCAAATCTCCATAGGACACAGCTTTCTGGATGCGTCTCTGCTCATATACTTCCAGGTAAATCCTTTGTGTGTTAAAGGGACAAAAGTGATGAAATGGCGTCGCATATGTAAGCTTTGGAAATGCTAGTTCTAAGGAAGCAAGATGAGTATAGCTTAAAAGGAAAGCTATGGCAGAGGACACTCCAGGGTCTAAGAAATGGTTGGTTAACTTATGCGCTCTGCTTGCCTAAGTTTCCGATCTGTTATCCTACAATTGTGGCCTCTCACAAGACGCCAATCAGCTGCTCCAGCAACAGCAGGGCGGAGCATGAGTACGACGCCATCAGATTTCCAAGTTTAAGGTTACCCGTAGGCCCGGAACGGACGCCTCACCTGGTACCTTCTCAAGATTAGAAGGTCGTCCACTCCTTCATGAGATTATGTTCTGAAATTGGCTTCTGGTCGTCATGGAGTATGGCCATTTGCCGGAAACAAAATCGTGCTTCATCATCACCAGTCAGACTAGAAAAGAAGTTTTTGTTCTTCACTGTCCGAACATACTCAAAAGTTGAATTTGAATATATGAGTACGACAATAGACTTCATACGCCCAAAGAAGAAAAGGTATTTGTTTTCCGAGTCGCTGTTCTCACGGCACAGAAATTCGACATTGTTTAATGATAACCGCCACGACTGGTCATGCAAAGGAAGTTATTCGAGTGGAAACATTCTCTAATTCAACGCAATGGTAAGTTGGACCCAGGAGTTGCAAAATCGTCATCACTTTCGGCTGGTTAGTTGAAGACAACGACATGGGATGTTTGACATTATCTTGACAATGCCCGTTTTAATATCTTGCCTTCGCACTTCGTCCACATGGATCTGACATATGGGTTAGGCTCTACTATAAGATAACTGATTGTACCAAGAACCAAGGACAAACAGCCACGACCCGGAGGCCTTGGTTGAATAAATCAAAGGAATTGCTAAACCTGCGATCAGCCAGAGCTGTGGTCCGTCCACAGAGAATATTAGATAACATCAGAGATTGATTTATTCTCGCATTTGTCAGCGAGGCATGGACGAACGTACAGCAGGGCAACTCAGACCGTTGTTCGGCTTTCGCCTTGAAGAAGTTTCCGTGCGTAAGCACACAAATTACCCGCCTTGCGAGAATAGTCAATGGATCTGTTTGAGCATCGCTAGGTTTTTAACGCCGTAATATCCGTAAGGAATCTGCTAGAGGCTAGAGCACAATATTTGCATCTGTCCCAGCCGCTGGGAGTCGGCCTCGGTGCTTATAATGGACCGTCGCCGAGTCGCGGTAGTGGAAGGAGGAAGGGGAGCGATTATAAGTAAAGTAGGCCTTGTTCACGAAGCCTCAGTGGGCCTCAATATCGGCTCATGCTGACAAATTTGGAATTTATGGTAACCGTTGTACATACCTCGGTATCCTCACAAGGATATGTCGCACATTGCCGTAAACCCAGGATGAGGAAAAAGTCGAGTATTCTTAGAATCGTATCTCCCACGACTTTCTCCAATCGGAAAACTTAGGCCTGGTTTCCTCCTCTCATTCGCATTTGCATTTGCTAAGTCTTGGTCAATTTTGTACAAGAACCCGTAGGTACATGTTCGTCCATCCCCGTTGCATATATCTTAACCATGTTTATAAGAAAACGGCTCAATCCGACTACGAGCTCATACGCAATGCCATTGCCATATTTCCTTTGGCAGTGGACTCGAAGAACTACGACTTGCTCTCTGAGGGATTTGCTCCAAACGTCGTCGTCGAGTACCCTGAACCGATAGGAGTTACACGCGGTGTGAAGGATCTACAGCAGGCTCTGGAACATGTATTGAAGGGCCTCGAAACACATCATGCTCTGTCGACACAGTCTATCAAGCAAACCAGCCAAACGAGTGCTGACGGTACAACTTACTGTATGGCGGTGCATTTTGGCACTGGGAAAGCAACTGGACGTCAGGTGACTGGCTGGAGCCATTCTCAAGACACACTGGAAAAGGGAATTTTTGATAACCAGGAAGGATGGCGCATTACGAAGCGAAAAGTCCATTTTCACGTTCCTCATTCTGCGGATGGATCGCTTCTCGGAATCAAGGAGAATTAGCTGTCATACTCAAGAGAAAGTAATGATACTACAGCAGCCACGGCAACTTGCCCACAATTTACCAATGCATCGTGCTTTCTGGCTCACTATGTTGAGTTGAGCGCGAGTTTGAAGCATAGCTTGAGCACCGCGTAGTTGGACTGTGTCCCGCATTGTGTGGTTTTCCTTGAAAGCCTGAACCTGTCATTGAGAACAATTTTATACGCCTATAGAACCGGCATAAACCCACCAAACCACGTTGTAGCATCCATGACTTCTCTATCAAGTTTCCAACGTACCTAAAGTAGGAAGTTCTCCTAAGTAGTTGGGCTGCATCTGGGCGCTCTTGTTAGCCGGTCTTGACTAGAATATGCGATTCAGGGTCCTTGCTGTTGGTGTAAAAACTTTACCCCGAGTGCCTTGAACAAAAGAGGCTTCGAGACTCATCGCGTCTCGGGGTTACCACGAAACCCGGCTTCCCTTCAAGGGTTAGCCACTTACTACTATCCCACCGGATGCGAGTGGAATTTAGTGCATACGTCTCCAGTTTGCCCTGAATCGATGCCTTTGTTGACTTTATGGTTCGTGGGAACAATTGAAGTAGGGTCAAATTATCATGTTCATCCAGTCAGCTCCTAGATGGCATCGACATGAATCTAGGTATTTGCAAGGGTTAACTCCCTGATGTTCGGCCATAAACAATCTCGAAATAGAGCAGAGGTAGAGAAATATTCAATGCTGATGGAATGAAGTCATCTAGCAAGTGGTGGGATAGTATTCGTCAGTAAAAGTACGCACACGCGGACTAATTTCGACTGAAACCCGATGGGAAGCTGCTCGCCCTTTGGCTCTATCGTGAGGACCGGCATCATAACTTCGCGCTTACTGACAATCCGATGATCGAATCTTCCAACGTAGTAGCAAGGTGGGTATGGTTGTCGTAGTAAAAGTCTCTTTGCTAAATGCGTATTCGTAGGTGATGATAAAGAAGTCAATTCTCTCCAGGACGACACTCCACCTCAACCTTGATCAACAACCGTTCAATACCTTTCAAAGAGCAGCCTAGATCTAATCCTCTTCATTATGTTACGTCTAAGCCCCGACGATTCATTCCATTTCGAGCTGTTGCGACTTCTCGCTCACGCAACATACGGAGGCGCCGACGTCGGCGAGGTTCTTGCTATCGCGTCAGAAATCACCCCCGGCGACTTTGAGTCATTTCACGATGCCTTCGTCAAGCGTGCTGATAGGATTCTGGAGCAAGCAAGCAGATTGACGAATCCGGTTTAATCCGTGACGCCATGTTCCGAGCATCTACCTATTACAGAGCTGCCGACTTTTACCTACACGGTAATTGGGAAGACCCTCGCATCCTGTCTCTTTGGGGCAAGCAGACGGCGTGCTTTGACCAGGCGATCTCTCGGTTGCCTAGTCCTGGTTGTAGGAGTGCGGTTAAGGGGCCGGGCTTCGACATACCTGTCATTCTTTTCCCGGCACGTGGACTGCCGACAAGAAGCTGCCGAATATAGTCCTAGGCAATGGCTACGATGGCTCCATGGAAGAGATGTACCACCAGTACGGCGCCGGTATCCTAGAACGTGGCTGGAATGTTCTGTGCTACGACGGCCCAGGACAGATCTGCGCACGCCGCTATCAAGGAATCGGTTTCACGCACGAGTGGGAAACTGTCGTCTCTCCCGTTCTTGACTTCCTGGAAACATTGCCAATCGTCAACATGAAGCAGATTGGGATCGTCGGAAACTCGATGGCAGGATTACTTGCCGCCCGCGCTGCTGCTTTCGACCACCGCATTGCTGCGGTATTCAGTATCGATGGATTATTCAATCTTATGGACACCCCTGTCTTCGATATCGAGAAGGGCCTGGCTCGATACTCGGGAGTCCAGGACTTTGCGGCAGCAGAGAAGATCTTCACGGATCCAAGTGTACCAACAACAGCTCGCTGGGCCCTGTCTCATGGCTCTTGGGCTTTCAAAGTCCGGACACCGGCAGAGTACCTGGAAAAGGCTTCTCATTTCAATTTGAAGGATATAGCGGACACAGTTCAGTGTCCTATATTTGTTGCCGATGCCGCAGATGATCACTTTTTCAAAGGACAACCCGAAGCGATGCGGGGTGCTTTGGGTAACAAAGCCCACTACGTTGTATTCACGGCAGACGACGCAGCAGGCGACCATTGCCATGTGGGTGCTGCAAGGTATACAAATCAGGTCATGCTTGACTGGTTTGAAGAGAAGATCATCAGAACATAGGTCGGGATGGGCTTTCGTGAGCTCTTTGACGATGAGTTGTTGTCTACTGTCGGGCTAGCCAGTATGCAGACAAGCCGACGTCTCGAGGTCCCTTTAACGAGGACTTTTGTTGATGTTGTTTGGTTTCTTTCCTGGTGGCTTTAATCTATTGGCTGCAACGCCGGAATTGTTATGTCAGGTGGTAATCGCACGTTTCAGATGCGGTGATGTATTTCTCGACATCTGTGAGATTCATGTTGCGTCTCCCCCCAACCCTTTCCTTAAAACTAGTAGTGTTGTTACCACCTATGCCCTATTCGGTAGTAGGAATTCTGGCCAAGAATATAACTGGAAGTGAACGCACACGATCGTATTGTTCTGAAGAAATGTACTTGATTTCCCATTCCAATACCATTGGCAGCAAGATGCTAAGATGAAACGAGCCTCGTACTGCCCATAAGAATCCCGCCCTTCCCTAGATAAAGATCAAATGTCCTGTAGGAAGGTACTCAACATAGCACAGCCTCTAGGCGTCCGAATGGCACTATCTACCTTTTCAACAGCACCATTGAGTTCATATTTCGTAGTAGTCCTCGCCACAAAGGTGCGGCACTAAACCCGTGTGTGGCTTCCCAGCCCGCTGGGGCTAACCAACGATGCCCTCAAAATCACTCACGATAGTTTGCGGAAACCCCGGTATCAATACACTGTGACTAACACATTTCTTCTCCCTCTAGGACGAAACGGCCAAGCAATGAGCATCAGGCCACACGGCTGACTTCCACTCACTCAAAAGCTATGGTTATTCTTCATTAACCTTGACGGCTTTCGAAGGCAATGAGGTAGCATGTGATTATACAGTTGCGGTCTAACCCGGTTGTCACGATCTAAGAGTACATACATCGTCGACCGCTATCTCCGAAACCAAGGACTTGAAGAACCTTGACTACCACCATGACTCCATCAAGTCACGCTCAAAGTTTTCCTCCTCGTAGGATCAAGAAATAAAAAGCCAGGCCATCTCCTGCTTCTTTCTCCATTCCTTTCTCAGTCTCACCTCAAACAAACACAATCCACTCTCTACACTTCATCCCATTCTCAGTTGATGACTGCGGCGATTCACTCACTTTCCACTTCCGCCTTCCTCATCTTATATCTCTGGCTCCCCTACATAGAGACCCAAGATTAGTCTCAGTTGCGGCTCTCTTCTCTTCACAACCCACCTTAACTGCTATTACAATAATCAACATGCCTTCTATCGGAGCTACTCTTTCCTCTGCCCCAAGGGCTCAGGGGAACACCACAACCACTCTCCGTCGCATGCCGCTTAGCAATGTCCCTGTTTTCAACGAAGACAGCGCCATTCGTGAGCAGCAGCCTTTCAGTAGCGACGACTTCACTATCTTCTGTGATGACGAAGACAGCTTCACTTCTGCGGAGCAAGGACCATCCAGTAGTGGAGACTTCACCATCTTCTGTGATGACGAAGACAACGCTGTTTCTGAGGAGCAACCACCTTTCAGCAACGATGACTTCACCATTTTCTGCGATGAGTCTGAAGAGAAATTCCGTCCAGCCAACGGGGACATCAATATTGGCTTTGAAGACGGATCGAGGTACACGATCCCAGAACTGCAAGGTACCGTCGGCGTCCTCCAGGAGCGACACCCCAACATCATGGGCAGAGCAATCGACCACAACAGACACTACGGTCGATTGCCCGCCACCATGACCAAAGAGCATGCGTCTGGCAACAGGGAAGTCTCTGCATCCCTTCATTATCTCCATCCAAACCCCGAACAGGGTGCCCCAGGCCGACACCTCACTCCCGAGCAAGTCGAACGCTCGGCTCGCATGCTCTCATTGGACAACGCCATCGACCAACTTCACGATCCGCTCGTCTACGAAGACCGACAGGTTCTTCGACGCATCGTGAGGCTGCTGGACATCCGCCGCCAAGAGCTCTTGAGGTACCGCATTAGCGTCGACGAGAGTTCGCCGGAGGTTGAGCTGCCTGAGACCGTTGACGACATTGAGGACCTTGCGATGCAAGCCAGTGTCAGTTTCAATTACCCGTTTGTTCTCCGCGCTATTGAAGCCATAGATACTCTTGCTCAGAGTGTCTGGTTCTGCAATGATGAAGAACAGGAGTCGAACAAGGAGAACATTCCTCCTGAGCTCATGAATTAAGATGCAAAGGAGGAAGATGATGCAGAGTATCAAGGCCTGCCGGGGAGGACAGATAATACAAAGGGACAAAGACAGGTGCTCAGGCTCTACAATTCTTGGCGACTACGGAATGGAGTAGTCTAATGATATCACGACAGGCATATGAGATATGAGCAATGAGACATGGCTAGATGATTACACGGGGGTTTGGACATCGAGCGACTTGGATCGCTTGGGGCATTTAAGCATTGCATCGGCGTTTGAGGATTATCAATCTTGAGTTCATAGACGCATGATCATAATAGTTGCGCCTCACAGATGACAAATTGTCCAAGAAGATGCTGAACAAAGTAATTGTGTGTCTGAGTTGTCAACTGAATGACCGATGTGAAGTTGAGTGAGACATTCACCAGTGAGTGAGTACGTATCTTTGGCAGGGTCCAAGCGCCGTTTCCCCCGAGGACCCCGCACTAAGCCTCTTCAGGCAAAGACCGCTGGCAGGTAATCCCATCCTGGAAATTGATGCTATTGTTTGCCTATTGTTTTGTGAGGGGACGAGCTTCGCAACCCCGCCAAGTCACTTCTTGTCCGGCTTCACCAACTCCATCCCATTGTTCTTGTCCGCAGAGATTCGAACCTCCAGCAGTCAACACAGTTCCAAGTACTGATTATTCTTTGTGATTCCCAAATCTTTATTGTTTTTCTCCAAGGTATGAGTCTCCTTTGCCTTTCAATGCATCCCAGTGTCACCTCATCTAATTTTGCCCCGCCTCGAATTTCACTGACCGCCTCCAGCAGACCGCAAAGTCGATTGCAATATGTCAGACAACAAGGTCTATCGCGCCAGCACCACGGCACCTGTCAACATTGCCGTTGTCAAGTATGCTCTACCAAGCAACAGCTGTATAGTCAAGAAGTCTTGTTACTAACAAACATAGGTACTGGGGTAAGCGCGACCCTAAGCTCAACCTCCCCACCAACAGCTCCCTCTCCGTCACCCTCTCCCAAGCCGACCTCCGAACCCTGACGACAGCATCCTGCTCCGCCTCCTACCCCGATGGCGACAGCCTCATTCTCAACGGCGAGGCCTCCGATGTCTCGGGCGCCCGCACACAGGCCTGCTTTCGCGAGCTGCGCGCCCGCCGCGCCGCCCTCGAGGAGAAGACCCCTTCCCTCCCGAAGCTCTCCAAACTGCCCCTGAAGATCGTCACCGAGAACAACTTCCCTACCGCCGCCGGACTCGCCTCCTCGGCCGCCGGCTTCGCCGCCCTCGTCCGCGCCATCGCCGACCTCTACGAGCTCCCCGAGTCCCCCTCCGAGCTGTCCCTCATCGCGAGACAGGGCTCCGGCTCCGCGTGCCGCAGTCTGTTTGGCGGATACGTCGCGTGGAGAATGGGCGACAAGGCGGACGGCACGGATTCCAAGGCCGACCTCGTCGCCGAGGCATCGCACTGGCCCGAAATGCGCGCCCTGATCCTGGTCGTCAGCGCGGCCAAGAAGGGCGTCTCGTCGACTTCGGGCATGCAGCAGACGGTCGCGACGTCGGGCCTGTTCAAGCAGCGCGTCGCCGAGGTCGTGCCGAAGCACATGGGCGAGATGAAGGAGGCCATTGCCAAGCGCGACTTTGAACAATTCGCCGAGGTCACCATGCGCGACTCCAACTCGTTCCACTCCTCGTGCGCGGATACCTACCCTCCCATCTTTTACATGAACGACGTCTCGCGTGCCGCCATCCGCGCCGTGGAGCAGATCAATGCTGCTGCTGGAAAGACCATTGCTGCGTACACTTTTGACGCCGGCCCGAACGCTGTCATCTACTACCTTGAGGAGAACGCTGCTGCTGTCGTTGGTGCTTTCTCCCCTATTTTGGGATCCGTCGGCGGATGGAAGGAGGGCGCCAAGGATCTCAAGTCCTCGGTGGCCTTGGACGAGACTGTTGCTGGTATCATCCAGAGTGGTGTCAGCCGTGTTATCCAGACTGGCGTTGGCGAGGGCCCGATCAAGTCGGACATTTACCTTGTTGGCGAGGATGGTGAGCCGGTTAAGCGATAATGTGTTCAGTCCCTTGTCTGCGGTATCTAAACAAGCTTCAACTTGCTCAAAAGTTCTCTTTATGCGTATAGAAACACCTAATTAAATACCATTTTAAATTCCCGCTAGTATTGGCGAACTTGCTGTCAGTGAAGCACAGCAACGGGTGAATATACATCACCAGTGCCATCTTTAAATTCCAAGTGGCATGCCTCGTCGGCTTTGAGCCAGCCAAGTATGGCGCAGAGGCTCCAAGCATCGGCACAGGAACAAAAGTTGTAAACCGAGATGGGCAAGATACCATGAGCTGGCTTATTACCAGTGCCTCTGAGACTCTAACTTGAGAGATTGCTGGCTGACGTATCTCAAGGCAGCATTTCCACATCTTCAAAGTTCTCCCTTTTGAACACCTTCGATGTTGGACCCACTTTTCTCATTCAACCTCACTCCTGCCTTCCTGCCACATCGCTCTTTCCTTGGCCATCTCTCTGCAAGATTTCTCAAGTGAACAACAAACCACACAAAATGGCAGGCGCTAAGAAGAAAGAGATCCTTATTGAGGAAAGAGATGGAACCGGAAGAATAACCCACCGTTGGCTGCACGACACCGCCTCGCAAAAAATAACACAAGTGCGCCAGTCTCAGCAAAACACCATCCCGACTCTCACCACGGCCCTCACAACCTCAACGACAGCCGGGCTCGCCAACATGCGTCAGATTCTCTACGATGCATTCCTGCCAATTGGCTACCCGGACTCGGTGACTCCTGATTACATTGGCTACCAAACCTTCGATTCCCTACAGGCCTTCTTCTCTACAATCACCGGCCTTCTTGCCAACCGGGCCATTCTCCAAGGCCTCGGAGTCGGCGACGCGTCCTCTTCCGCGACATACGCCCTACTCCTTACAATCCTCAAGGATGGAATTTCACGCGTCGCCACAATTGTGTTCGCCTACCGCTTCGGCCTGGTCATTGAGCCAGAGTGCAAGAGATACCGCTACCTCGCTGATATTTTCAACGATAGCGCCTTCTTCCTCGACCTCTTCAGCCCCTACTTTGACCCATGGACCAAAGTCCTCGCCCTCGTTCTCGCAGAAGCTCTCCGTGCCATGTGTGGCGTTGCTGCCGGCGCCAGCAAGGCCGCTCTTTCCAAGCACTTTGCTCGTCGCAATAACCTCAGCGAGCTCAACGCGAAGGAGGCATCACAGGAGACTGCTGTTGGTCTCGTCGGCCTTCTCGTGGGCTCCATCGTTGTGCGCTACGTCGAGAGTAGAGAGGCCGTTTTTGCGCTCATGGTAGTGCTCGTCTTTGTTCATCTCGGCATGAATTACCTCGGTGTCCGCTGCGTCCAGCTCAACGTCCTCAACCAGCAACGTGCCACGATCCTGTTCAAGCACTACATGCAGACGAAGCAGGTTCTCTCCCCCGCCCAGGTCGCCTCACGCGAGAGTATCGTCTTCTGGACTCCCGTTATCAAGGATCATTGCGGGGAGGTCATCACCAAGATTAGCTTTGCCAAGAGCTATGCCCACGCCATGACTGCGGACCTCAAGAGCGCTCGCGTCCGCTTTGTCACGCCCGAGCAGCAGTCTACCGAGAAGGGAGGTCAAAAGGCTCATCCAGGTTTCATTCTTTGCCTTTGCGAGAGAGGAGACATCGCTACGATCAGAATCCTACTCTTAGGGGACCGGTCCCCCACGGAGGCGAACGACATCAACACGCTCATGGCGTGGTACTATGCCACCGTGCTCGCCCACGACAGAGCCCTGGCTTCGAAGACTGGTAGTCAGAAGCTGCTCCACGGCGCTATCCCCGTGGACGAGATTGAGATCGGCGAAAGCACCGAGAAGAAGTTGGACTTCAAGGCGCTTGAGGAGGCGGGCTGGGATGTCAACGAGACCAACCTAGACGCCTTTGCTCCGCGTATCACCATTGGCTTCGAAGACAAGAAGGAGCTGTAGTCTGACGGAATGGATAGCAGCTACGAAGGGACAATGGTTGGCTCAAGGGAAACCTGGCGTTTGGGATGGATGACACTCATGATGTATGATTCGTTGATGATACCTGTGACCCTCTCTTCGATCTGAGGCAGTCACTTTTGCAAACAATTCAATTCAATGTAAACTGGATTTTGTCTGCGGTGGAAAGTGGTGTCACACCAACCGATCAAAGGACTGTTTATCTGATGAACGATTGTGAGAAGGAGGATGCAAGCATCGTGACCTTGTAGGCACGACCTTTTCTCGGACGTTCCTTGGCTGTTCGACCAAGCCTTTCTTGTTCTTTCCTTTCCATGTTGAACAGAGTTGGGAGCGTACCGGATCATTTCAGAAACCTGGCATCATTGTGCATTTGCAGCAACATGCTTCCATTACGGAGCTGGTGGACGCAGGAAGGCGTTCGCAGCAAGTTAGCAACAACAACTATTACACGATGTCGGATATGGGGAGGAGAACGCCAAATTTGGATAAAGCAGTCCCGAGCTCGAAATAGCGGCAGCGACGATACGGGAAACAGATCCCGAGGATTATCTACCCCGGAATGGAGACATGCAGATCAATTCGGCTCCGGTCACATCGCACTCAGCCCAACTGGGACCACTTTGAAAGCGAGAAAAGGGGAAAGGCAGCCCGAAGCGCGACAGGGGCCCAGGTTCAGTGTTTCCCAGTTCCTGAAGCGGACCTACGAATTCTTTTCCCTAGCCGCACGAATCGCCGCCAGTGTAGATTGTGTGTGTCTTTGGGGGCTCCGCGCACCGCCCTGCCTTGCAAATCAAGTTATCCAGCATACTATAGCCGCGCCGCCGTTATCGGACCACCATACTACGTAGTCGACGTTCCCTCCTCCGGTGCGGCGGGTGCTCCGTGTGCTATTGCGCACAACCGGGATCGAGTTGGACTGCTACGGATATAGTGAGTGGCAATCCTACAGCGCGATTCGCGCCGGGAATGGTTCGACACCCGGCTTTCGGTTCTTGAGGACGGCAGGCAGGGTGGGAATGGATGTTTTAATTTTTGGGAGCACGTCATCGGCCGGAGAGGGCGATGGATCATGGAAACGTTGGAAGGAAGACGTGCTGGAAAGCTAGCCCTGTCCACAAGTCGCAATTCAGAAACAAATCTTTTATCAAGAAATCTTACGAGGACGGGACCGAAAGAAAAAGTGGTAGGAATCGGAGCCGAGCGTCTCCTCATGTGCAGAAGAGAGCTACAGACGCCAAAGGTTCACCGTAGCCGCCCAACATGGAAGGTAATTCTAGTCGAGGGAAGACTAGTAACAAACAACAGCCCAAGTTGCCCACCAAGACTAAAATCCACAAAAAAAGAGAAGAAAAAAAACGTGCCCAGCGGCCTGCAATTCGCGCCATCTTACCTCGTTAGCCGGGCCGGTAGCCAACCCAGAACCCTTCCAAACCGGCCAGGACCCCGGCGGGAAGGGCAGAGAGACACTCACACAGACACACAGGCACAGCGCCGCACGCGCAAGCGGCGCTGATGCAATGCAATGCAGGGCCCGGGATCCCAAGTCCACTCTGGCCCGGCCGTCTGCTGTAACCTAACCTCTCCTCCCCCAGCGTCCGTGCCGTGGGGGTTTGAACTTTGAGCTGGTCTGTCTGTCACTGTTAGCTTCGCTGTGGTTTGTCCGGCTTGCTGGCGTTAAGTTGGAGGTGGGCTTGCTTAGATCTGGTGGGAAGGGTTTGCCGTGTTGGGCAAAAACTGCCGGGGGGGGAGTGGGAACAGATGTACAGATGTGACAACCGGCAGACAGCGCGCACATTAGCAAGATCAGGTCTCGTTGACGAGGACACCCTCTCATTTCTGTTGCTCGCGTGCTCTACCTGAAGAGAAGCGAAGAAGTTGTGTCTCGGTCGCGGTTTCGTGCCCACTGGCTGGCTCAAGATCATGTCCCGGTCGCCCGCAAAATCGTTCGATGCAGCGCGCCCATCTCTGTCGAAGGGGGTTCTCCTACAGTCTACGAGTCCTGCCCTGTTCCTTTTGTGCGTGAAGAGGTTTCGTGGGTGCTGCGGTATGGATGGACCGGGATCGGGAAGCATGGAGAGGAGGACTGCATATTCCTTGCTAGACAGTTGCCTTCTTCGTCTTATTCACTCAGCTTTCCCCAAAGTATCGCGTATCGCCGGTTCCCCCGGATGTGACATTTTGTCCTCGCAAACCGTTCCCCGGCGCTTTCAGTTGATTGATAATACTGCCAATTCGCCAATGGGTTTGGGCCCTTGGGGTCGTCACATCACCATCCCTTCCCTTCCCCCTTCCTTTTCCCCGCGCGATGTTGATCACTGATCTCCCGAGTCCCAGACAGGCCTTACAGTTACCACTAGGCTAAAAATCCCGAACGCCAACCGCCGCACCGCGGGACACCGCCGGAGACCGCGGCAATTGGCGTCACTCGCGGCAGGGTGCCCTGGGGGTTGGTAGCATGTTACAGTGACAGTCAAGATGGTGGACGGAGTACAGACACTGGACTCTAGGGAGAGACATTGCAGAGTCGCAAAAAAAAAGTCTAATCTCCAGATTCTGGGCTTGTGCCAGAGTCTGGGGAAGTTCAAGGGTGACCACTGGAGCTCGGTTTCGCTCGCACAAAAGGTCGGACGAAAATCTGTCTTGGCGCCTCGAGAGCTTATTGCCCTAGGTGAGGTGGTATGCCGAAGATGCAGATTGACATCTAACTTGCTGAGAATAGACCGGGTTTGCGATGCTGCCAGTGTGACAATATCTGTTCGATGGGTGGGATTTCTCGTCGGCCACGTCAACTTCCAGGTGCTCAAGCTAAAGTCAAGACAAGGAAGGCTCCTGACAGCAGATGTGAAAGTTGCCGCCGCCAAGAAACGGTTTTCAGCACAAGAGACGAAATTGCAAACACACCTCACCAAGAAGGCTGAGAGCCTGAGACGGTGTGTTTTTCACATTCTGAATACGGATATCCGACTCTTGGATTTAGTGTGTGTGTGGACTGTGTTCCCCGTTGTCTCTGTACGATGGGGACATGGAGACTTTTCTGCATGGGTGGAGGAGGGGAAAATGGTTCGATGCCGGTGCCATGACGCGGGAGCTCAGAGATAAGGTGCAATTCACGTGTAAAATCAATGTGTCCCGCATTATGGCGACTGGCTGGCTGTCCGCTGGTTGGCGGCGGCGGCGGCGGCGGTGGCCTGTCACTGAGGTCCGTCCCTCCACCGTTCAGGGCGGAGAACTCCTACTAGTTAGACTTTAGTTAAGAGAGTGATTAATTACTGGACTCCGACTCGACGGAAGAGCGGAGGAGTGACGAAGAGGAGGGGCAGTTGTTCGTTGAAGATTGAACACCTCTAGGCTCTGGAGTTTGGAGTTTTGGACAGCTTATTGCCAACCAGTCAAGATATTCTGGAAACTGGATACACCCGTAACACCCAATTCAAAGACCGACAACAAGGAAGGGATCGGGGACCGCTGGATTCCCACGCGTTCGGGGTTCCCAAATGTGGACGGCGTCTCATTGTCCAATGCCTATGCAGGTCGCCTGCAGGTGGTCTGGGAATGGCGTGGTCGGTCCGACGTTGGAACTTGGGGACGCGAGCCAGGACGCTTGGGGTTTGTGGAGATTGCCTGAAACGGGGGAGGAGCACATTGGACGATTGTTAGAAATAGAGGTTTGTAAGATTTCGAATGTCACTGAGTCGAGTTGGGTCGAGTTGCGAGAGAATGACAGTCCAAGAGCCCAAGAGGAGCTCCCAGTGCCCACGCAACTCATGTCCAAAGCAAGAGGATGCGGGTGAAAGAGAAGACGATGGTGATTCTGCTCAAGTAGCAAACTTCGGTTGAACTGCAACTTCCAAGAGACAATGGCAACTCTGCCGCAGCCGAACCGAGAGTCTCCTCGGGGCTTGCAACTCTAGACACCACAACCAGAGTCTCTAGATCCTCCACGACTTGTTCGACGACGGGAATCACTGCCCGAGGTTCGGGTTTCGGGGCTGGCGCGCTAAGACATGAGAACAAGATTCACTCCCATCATCTGTTCCCCTCCTCATTGCAGCCTTCATCCTGTGCTTTTGGGCTCCTCTCCCTCCACCTCGACCACCCACTACCACCATGGCACCATGCACATTGCAGCGTGCACCGCTAGCTCGGCCTGCCATCCCCTGCCTCCCTGTCCGTTCCCTGTCGCCTTTCCTCCCGATGCCGCCCATCTGGCTGAGGTGAGCAGGCCGTGCAGCGACACCCAACCCAGTGAACCCACCCGCTAACCCCCAACCGAGCGTTGTAACACAGAATGGAACCTTGGAGGAGAAAGAGAAAAAAAAAATCATAAAGTGAGAGAGAGAGAGCGCCAAACGCCGCCGCCAGGATGGTGAAAGTACCTCACAAGCAGGCGGGCACGGCCGGCGGCGGAGGCGGCGCGGTGTCTCTCGGCCTGTGAAAAAAATTCCCCATACCTCTCTGTGCAGTGTGCAGTGTGCAGTGTGCAGTGCTGTTTACTGAAATAAAACGTGTCTGCCTTCCACACCAGCCTTCTCGCCTTCAGGTTCCTTCTTCTCATCTCTTCATTTCTTCCCTCCTTCAACACCAAACCGACCAGATCGCTCTCCTCCCTGCTGATAAAGCTCTGCCACGCGCCAGACACACCCAATTGCATTTCCGTCAAACATACAAAAAGCCACAGGCACCCAAAAGTTTATAACCACCCTTGATACCCGTCGCTAGCGCGTACCGCACACACCCCAGCTTTATCATCACAGGCGAGGAGGAGAGCTCAACCACCAAACTTCTTTTTCCCTCCTACACATACTTCGGCCCACCGCCCACACCAACGAACGAGCTTCGGACCCTTTCGGAATCACCACTCCAACACATCTTTCGAGACGTTTTCCACTCGACTCTTTTTATATACCCTCAACATGTTCGCTACCAGAGTCCTCCGCCAGGCTGCCGCTCACGCCGAGCGTACCCCGAGCATCAAGTTCCTCGGCCGCCGCTCCATTCCCTGTATGTCCACTCCTTAGTCCTCACCAACGTCTGCTCCTACGATACTAACATAATCCTCACCAGCTTCCATCGACCACAGCCCCGCCCCTCACCCAGCCTCGCCTACCGGCAAGCTTCCCGCCAACTTTGGCAATGGCTCCGCCTCCCCCAAGCACACCAGCTTCAGCTCCTACCGTGACCACGCCCAGCAGCACGGTCCGCTCCAGCGCACCATTGGCTCCGGCGTAGGAGGCTCTACTGGCCACCAGCTCGGCTCCGTCGTTCCCCCCTCTGGCGTCGCTTTCGACCGCTCCGAGCTCCCGGCCCGTTTCCGCCGCCAGCCCCTTGACATGGCTGAGATTGAGGCTGTCGAGTCCGGCGGCGCTGCCCTCTTCGGCTGAGTGTGATGTTGGAACGCGAAAACGGAAAATGGAACGCGCCCTTGTTACCTCACGGTTAAGGGAGACATTATATCCCATGACATCCGCGGGCTGGACTACGAAAAAATGAGCGATGATGGCGCGGAGACGAGGAAGAGACGGAACGGGGTGGAGAGTTGGCGAGATTCACAAAAGTAGGCGATGACAACACGTGTGTACGAAACGACGAGACTACAGCGACGGGGGACATCCCACCCTCCGCGTAGGCCGTCGACCACAAAAGCCCCCGGGATTGGGGCCTTCGGCAGGACACAGAACAGTCGGCAATATTGATTCGTCACGGAACAATCGTGATCAACGGCAAGGAAAAGTTACAAAGGCGATTTATTATGGCGGCTTCGTGATATCCATCGCAATGGAAGCGATTCCCGCCCGTCAAGTAAGGAGCTTTGCTGGAACACTATGGGAGTTTTTACTGGGAGTTCATCCGACACCCAAGCGGATACAGGCAACAAAGACCTGTCTCTTGCTTTGGCCTTTTTCTATACCTAGTCTTCAACTTTCCCTTTTACCGTCGACGTCAGGATCCTGTACCGATAGTCTAGACTCGTCACACACACACACCAACAGACCCCGTGCATAAAAGCAAGTTTACTTCAATATCTCGAACCGAAACCCCTCCTTCCGAATACTTCTCGTGATCATGTGCGCCGAGCCGAGCTTCATCGAAATAAATTCCATGTGAAGGTGCCTCCCGAGACTATTCAGAGCGTGTGTAGACCCTGCAGCTAAGGCAATGTAACCCGTCTTTCGGAACTACGAACCAATGCTTAGCAGAAGATGCGGCTTACCACGTAGTTGGCCCGCATGTGATAGGCTCTCTCTCGCAGCTTGGAGAAACGCGCGCCCTGCGTCCGTAGCTCCGGGAAGAGTTTGGGGAAATCGTGCCACGTTTGATTTCCCTTGGCCCATGGGGAAGCAGCCTGTCGGCTCATGTGTTTCTATAGGCGCATGCAGGAGTTATAACTAGGTATCCCAAGGTTAGCTACTAAGCACCTACGCAGCAAGTAAAAACGCAGCTTGGACGTAAAAATCATCCGATTGATTCCTTGAGGCTTGAGCTACCCGCTTCCGTCAATTCCCGAGGTAGCCGACTTGCCAACGTCCACCCGAGCTTGGAGCCTCAGCCACCAATTTCTGCACTGTCCCTAGGTCCGAGGCTTGACGTCGGTTGTTGGTCTGTGCAGAATGGCACCCGAGCGTGTTAAGATGTATAACGATGTTATGAATCTCATTGAAATCAAGGACCGCTTTGCGGCTCTTTCATCTATGAAGTTCCCGTACTCTACGCAAGACAATCAGATGAAAAGAATCCCTGTGACCAACAACTATAGCCGCTCACAGGAGCAGATGCACGGCTAAAGGTCCCGAAGATTCGGTCCGCCTTGTAGGAAATGTGGTCTAGCAAATACTTACACGGTAGATTCATCTACATCACATCTACCTAGGTATCCTTCCTAGCATTGAATGCAGTCTCCAAGTATTCACAGCTTGGAAGTCAACCCCAGCATACCCCAAGCTCCGATGACCATCCCCGACGTGGCTCTAAACACGGCTGATCCAAGCTCACCCTCCCGCCAGCAAACATACCCATCAACTAGCCCAATGTATACCATAAGAGCCATGATGATGTCCACTCCAGGATAGTCTCCGCGAAGATACATGATTAGCTGGACCATTCCGAGGACGGAAAGCCGGGCGCCGTCGAGGATGAAGCACGACTGTGCTATAGGTGACTCTGCGAATCTTTCTGACAGCCCGAAGGACCGGATTCCAGCGTCTCTGGCGAAGAATGGGACGGTGCCGCCGAGGGTGTGGGCTACGGCTACAAATAGTGGGAATAAATGAGGGGATCTGAACTGTCGCGACATGATTGCTTGGAGTTAGACTTTTACGTAGGGTATGAAACCGTAATGGAATGAGATTTCAAGTATTGTATCGGAAAATCCCTCTTCAGACTTTCTTTCCAAAGACAGATCATGTCTAAGCAGTGATGTGATTCGGATTCAATAAAGAGTGAAATGGCTACCTACCTAGTATCACGTGGTAGTAAGCACTAAAGCTCACCGAGGTGGGATATCTAGGGATAGCATCAACAAGCTTGACTCAGGAGATATCTCTGTAGAAGCACCAGGCACGTTTGGATAGCTTGAGCCACAGGTTGTCGGTGGAATATCGGGTTATGGGATCCGGCAGCTTGGGATTTTGCTGACACATCAACTCGCCAGAGCTTCCGTGGACCGTGGCCATCCCGGCGTCATCGGAAGCACCCGACAGACAGTTCCAACAACCAACCGCCCAATCACACGGCGTCAATCACATCATCCCAAAATAAAAATCAACAGATGCGCATGGAAGACGCAGAAGCAAAAGTCTCCACCTAAAAAGTTGTTGCATCCCGCTCGTTCGTCGCGGAATCGTGAATCAACCCCCATCACGAAACCAGCCAAGAACCAACGAAACGAACGCGCCCTCTCCCTTGGGCCTTACGCTGCGCCGAAGCAGAGATTCAATGCGGTTTCCGTCGCAAGACCCCTCCCGACTACGACGCCCCAAGATCTAGACAAACAAAGAAAGAAACACCACTGCAACCCTATCCCCGGGTTCTGGATCTAGGCCCCCGTCCCGCATCTGGTTACCCGTCACGCCGCCAAACCCATCGAGGGGTTCAAAAAGGATCAGATCCCTCCGCCTCCTTGTTTCTCGAGAATTTCGAATCTTGGATATCTCACTGGTATGAACTACGATCTCTCTTCACCTACATGACAAATCTCCAAAATGAACGCCGACCTAGTAGACCTCGTTTTCCTAACCCGCTTCCAACCATCAGTTACCATATCCTCCTCCGTCGCAATCGACTACGAAGACCACCCTCACCACACAATGTCGACCTCCAGCAACGGCGCGGCACCCGAGACGTGCCCCGTCGACCACAAAGCCCGCGAAGCCTGGCTCCAGCACGCCCGCGCCGCGAACCCAGACGCTGCGCAACTTCCTCACCCGCCGCACCCGATACCCCCAGCGCAGGCAGAATCACCACAGTCTCAGCAATCGCAGTCTTCATCATCCTGGACGCAGTCTCTGCTGTCTCTGACGCCCTTCTCCTCTTCCTCGGCGGCGCCGCCGCCGCCAACGTCGACGAGCGCCTCCCCGACACAAGCTCCCGCCGCCTCCGCCGATGCCGTCTCCGAAGTCTGTCCCGTAGACCACAAGTCCCGCGAAGCCTGGCTCGAACAAGCCCGGGCCGCCTCCGCCGCCAACGGTGCTTCAAATCCTCACACACCACACCCCCACCATACTGTCGAAGCCGCACCATCATCACCACAGCCCTCGCAATCATGGACTCAGTCCCTCAAGTCCTACATCCCCTTCACCTCATCAGCAACAACCGCACAAACGAACACACCGATCCCCACACCATCCGCATCCGCCAAATCAGGCCTCGACACCGAGCGTGAGGTCTCGACGATTCCCAGGACAGCGACCTCAGCGTACCCGGGCACCAGCCGCCCCTCCAACCACGAGCAGGAAACGGGTTCGGACGAGGCCACGGGGAACTGGATATACCCCTCCCAAAAGATGTTCTTTGACGCGATGAAGCGCAAGGGCCACGATACCCGCGCGCAGGACATGGCGACCGTGGTGCCGATTCACAACGCCGTCAACGAGAGGGCGTGGAAGGAGATTAAAGAGTGGGAGGCGCCTTATCTCGAAGGCACAGTGTAAGTCACAACTCTTATCATGGGTCTGGATTCAACCGAACCCGTCCATCTACCAGAGAACACAGTAGGAGAAAGCTAACACAAGGCCCCATAGCTGCGACGGCCCGAAACTCCACTCCTTCCTCGGTCTCAGCACAAACATGTCTCCCAAGGCGCGCATAAACACCCTACTGGGCTACACCCCGCCCTTTGACCGCCACGACTGGGTCGTCGACCGCTGCGGCGTGCAGGTCGAGTACGTCATTGACTTTTACGCCGGACGCCCCGACGCACGCGGCAAGCCCAGCTTCTACCTGGACGTGAGGCCGAAGCTGAATAGCTGGGAGGGCGTCAAGATGAGGGCCTTGAGGGGTGTTGGTTTGGCTTGAGATGGAGAGCCTTGGACACCTTTGAGTCTGATGGCTTTTTTCTAGGCGAGATTGACGCTGTTGGGAGTGTATAAAGATGTGTAATAGTGTATAAATATTTGCAGCATTGGGGACTGGCGTATCTATCTTGTCTTATAGAAAGGATATACCAGGGACCACCAAAAAAGAACTACTCAATTTCAGACCATCTATTTCCAACAATGGCAATCATATTGGCTGTAGAGGTGACATTGCGGCCCCAGCTGGAACGGATTCACCCTCGTCACTACCCAAAGTCTGCGAAGGCAGATGTTCTCTGTCACTCCTCCGAAGTCTCGAGGAAACATTTCCACTCCGAGATGTCACCCAAGAATGACTCTGTAGTTTGACTGTGAATCGAATAGTTGGAAATCGTTCAAATAAAGCCGCTCTCTCTTCACTAGTAGTTATCTGGGAAGGTAAAGAGCTGAGGGCTGAGATCCCATCTAAAGCTTTCGTATGGAGCCCCATGGCTTGGAACCCTTATCTACCAAGTCCTCAAAAGTGTTATTCGCACATCATCTTAGCGGGATTCGGAAAAGGCCATCAATAATAAGGAATCACCCACGAAATGCCATTCGCACGTCATCGCACGGGCATTACCATGTGTGGGCATTGGAAATCCAGACGCATTCCGACGCAGGCACGCCCGCTTTCGGTTCCGGTCTCGACATGGACAGCGACAGCTGCAGGGGCCCGGGGGTGACGATCGGGAACCTGTAAGAGCCGAACACCCGCAGCCTGTCTAACGTTAGTTGGCACCACGGCGCCGGGGGTTCGTGCCTGGTCCTAACCGAGACTCCAGTGTATAAAGTTATTTTGAGCATCATTCGTGGAGGACATGATTTGTGGTTATCCCCTCTACGGCGTACCTTGAATGGAAGAAATGTTTGTTAGGTGGCAACAAAATCTACAATACTATTTCGGAAAGGTAGTAGCGCCGCGTATTCAAATGCATGGCTACATATCCCATGGCGTAAGCGTGCCATATCCCCTCGTACGGATGGCTGTTCTTCAGAATTGCCCTAGACCGGTTGTACGCAACCACAGTCTCCATAATGGCGGATTCTAGTATAGACAAGGGACTTTGGTTTAGACTTGAGGCTTGCTTGTGAATATAGTTCCTGACCTCTCCCGCCTTTTCCTCCTTGTAAAATCTACGGAGCCATATGTCAAAAGTCTGTATTGATAGAAGTAATCGAAAATGAAGGTATAAGCACTTACGATAATATGTCGTTGGTCAGATTGATAAACTTGCCCATTTCCGGCGCAGCGGGCAGGAAGCACGCGATATCCGGACACGTCTCCTTGTAGAAGCAGAAATATGTGTACACTTCTGGAAGACCCTCTTTATCTCGAAAGTAGTACGGCCAGCTGACTGTCTCTTTTGACAGGACGATTGTGTGGTACTGTGGGCGAATCTCAATGGCGTTGGAGTTAACAAAGGCTAGAGCGGATAGCACGATCAGGTTGGCGACTATTGGATCGTAGTACTTCTTTGTCATCTTGAGCACGTCGGCGAAAGCCTGGAGCAGTGCCGAGGGTTGCTGTTCTCCCATGAGAAGCCGTGTTTGGAATTGCTCCAGGTCCTGTCCTAGCTCAGCGTTCATGTCGTCGATGATGAAGCCGTACCAGGTGAAGAGACCAATGTGGATCTGAATCTCGAAGGGGTGGAGGGGATACATTTCCTGTAGAAGCAGGTTAACAAGAGCAGAAGGCAGAGAACGGCGACAAATGGCCTACGGCAGCGACAGCTAGTCCGGCCTCAAATCGCATCTGCGAGGCATCGTCAGTTCCGAGGTGGACACCGCTTTGGAGGGCTCTGTCGAGGAGAGATATCCTCAATGCCTTCTTGTCAACTTCACGCGGCGGGACGTATTTGATAGCATTCAGAAACGTGGGGATCAGACACGACAGCGTTTGCCGAAGATTCGTGCCTTGATCAAGGTGATCGGTCTGGACTATCACCGGTGGTTGAAGCATATTGCGATTGTGAAGACGGCAGTCTATCCCGCTGATCAAAGTTCGAGTTCGATAAGATAGGTAATAAGGCCCACCGTAATCCTTAAAAGTCTTTATCGTTTGAAGAGGAGCCTGCCGAGTCATACGGCCTGAATATCACTGATCTGTACGGATACACGGAATGGCCCCCGTCTCTTCACCGCCGCAAAGAGACATGTTGGCTGCCTCAAATCTTCCATCTTGCAGACTCAATGCCCCACGGCATCCGGAAGGAAGGAATCAATGCATCCCAATCACACTTATAGTTTTCAGCTGCTCTTATCATAGGTTGCCGGTGCGAGCTTACGGTCAGCGACGCAGCGCGCTAGCTCGGCGTAAGCCGGCCTAGCCCTGGACGATCGCGATACATGTATCCACTCCTTCAATATTATCATGGGTGCAGGCTTACAAGGGGTACCAAAATGGATTGCAAATATTGATTTTTCTGCCTGCTCTAGAGAGTCTAAAGAGATGCCTAAAATCTGTATTCTTTAGCCAAAAGGCCTCTCCACTTATGATTTCGAGTTGTCCTTGACAAGTTGATATCGAGAAAATGCCTTCTCTACTGTATCAGTCCGCGGTCGCGTTGCCTTGGACACCTCTTGTCCAGTTCCTCGGTCTCATAGTTGTGGTGTACTTGTTCACCACCACCTTGAGATCATGGGCTCGTTTATCGCATATCCCTGGCCCGTTTCTCTCTTCCCTATCTTATTGGTCCATGTTTCGTATCCGCACTCGAGGCTCTCGTGGGTACCTCGAGTACGTGAAGCTGTCGACAAAATATGGCGAGCTTGTCCGCATAGGCCCCAACGACCTGGTCACGTCCGATGTACAGCTCATCAGGCGCATGTCGGCGGCCAAGTCAACTTATGGACGTAGCAGCTGGTACAAAGCCACCAGGCTGGATCCCTACCACGATATGATGGGCAGCGTGCTCGATAAGTCTGTTCATCATGCCTTGAGAACAAAGCTTCAGCCGGGATACCTGGGCAAGGATATCCCTGGATTAGAAGCCAGCATTGATTCTGGTATAGCGGACTTGGTGAGCTTGATTCGAGATAGTTATGCCACCAAGCTCTCCCCGCCAGGAGCAGAAAATGCAGAGATGAAAGGGCTTCCGGAGCAGAAGCCTGTTGACTTTGGTCGACTGGCGCATTACTACGCTATGGACGCTCGCTCAAGGATGTCGTTCGGACAGCCCCTTGGGCTTCTCCGGAAAGATTCAGACGTCTTTGGGTTGGTTGCTATGTCAAACTTGGCCATAGACATCTTGCAATTCTTCACTGATATACCACCTCTCCAGCGGATTTTCACATCGGATCTTGCTCTAAGGCTACTTGGACCCAAAACTACAGACAAGAATGGCTTTGGAAAGATTATGGGGTAGGCCTCCTTGCAATTGCCATGCATTTTTATTTTGTCGCCTCTGTTGGAATAATAAAGCTAAGATGGTTAGACTTGCAAAAGAGCATGTTGCCGCCCGATTTGGTCCTGACAGAAAAGATGAGCCCGACCTACTTGTAAGCTATCAACCGTCACAAGACGACCTAAAGAGGCCTTGGTCGTCCGCTAACACGAATTTCAACAGGGTTCATTCATACGTCGCGGGCTTGATCAGCGCTCAGCACAATCCGAAATCATGTTCCCGATGGTTGCTGGTTCTGACACAGCAGCAAAGGCCATAAAATGGACGATGCACTATATTCTTTCCGACTTTTCTATTTATAAGTCTCTTGTGAAAGAGATTGAGGACGCGATAGTAGAAGGAAGGATATCAGTCCCCATCACATATCAAGAAGCTCAGGAACTACCATACCTTCAAGTAAGTTTGAGGTTGAAGGGCCGCTTTTTCAGTTCAAACTGAAGTTCTATACTAATCATCGTCAAAACCAGGCAATCATATACGAGTCCCTCCGTGTGAAGCCACCTTTTCCTGGCCTGGTGATGAAACAGGTCGGAGCTGAAGGTGATATCTACAATGGCATCAAGCTGCCTCCAGGCACCAGAGTCGGGCACGACGTGACGTCGGCGACCCACGACAAGGGGCTCTTTGGCCAAGATGCTGAGGTATTCCGACCCGAGCGTTGGCTTGAGGCCGATGCTGAGACTGTCAAGTTGTGGAAGAAGCAGACCGAGCTTGTGTTTGGCGCTGGCCGTTGGCGGTGCACAGGCAAGTCTGTTGCGTTTTTGGAATTGAACAAGATATTTGTCCAGGTGAGCAGTTCACCGTGATCTAATTGCATGATTCGTGTGGTTGTGCTAATACTATGCATTAGCTCATTCGGAACTTCGAGTTCCAGCCGGCGGATGCCGAAATGTTTGTAAAAATCTCCGATCGTGGAAAAGTGTAGTATGGAAAGCTGGCAGGTTTCAAGATTGATGTTTAGGACTGGTTCTTGAGATAGAATTATGATACATGACCATAAGGGTTGCGTCGTTTCTGCCTCTAGAAGTTGAATAATACAATGGCGCTCATTGTTGCAGGCGAGACCATTCCAGCACCTATTTGACCCTCAAACTGAGTTCATCGTTTTTGAAAATGGGTGCATTCCGAACCAGATTTAAGCATCTCTACTCCGTGAACACCAACAAAAGTGCCAGCATACCTTGATGGTCATGTCGACTATGCCAATCAGTCATGGCGATTCAGTAAGTCTCGAACAGTGTCAATGTTATTATGTTATTAACTCCCCGAAAATGGGCCAACTCGGTGGTCCGTCCACTTCGGCCGAGATCGGGCATGTTGGTCAAAAATTTGCGCAATTGAATAATAGAAATGCGTCTTCTGCGCCCTGTACTCCCTCCGAGTTGATAATATCCCCGCTGTTTATGTCCAGTCCACAGGTGAATAAGTGAAGAGTGTGGTCCGCTTGCTTGGTGGTTTCGAGGCTGTAGAATATCAACCACCAAACTAAAAACTCACGATGTCTACCACAACCACAGTAGAGCTGGTCAACGCACCGGCGACACCACTGCCGCAACTTTCAGCCTCTACGTCGGTATCATCAAATGCGCTGGACCAGACTATTGTTGTTCCTGAAATCGGTCAAAATGGCGACCTTTCAAAGGGTAAGACCATGGTCGTCATCTCATCAGTGACCTGTATTACAGGCATCAGCTCCCTTCTGGCTGGTATAGTCACTGTTTGCATTCCAGCCATGGCTCGAGATGTTCATCTTGATGGCAACCTTCTCTTATGGTAGGAGCTAGTGCTCAAAGACCTATGTCGTTGTACACCCATTCTAACAGTAACAAGGCCTGCTTCTGTCTACGCCTTGACCTGCGGATGCACACTCCTACTGTCAGGCGCCATGGCCGACCTCTACGGCGCTCGAACACTCTACCTTATGGGATGCTTCTTACAATCAGTCTTTACCCTTGCCTGCGGGCTGGCGAACACGGGAATCCAGCTCATCATGTTCCGTGCCTTTGCCGGAATTGCCATCTCCATGTGCCTCCCCTCCGCCGTTAGTATTATAACACACGCGTTCCCCACAGGCAAGCGAAGAAACATTGCCTTTGCATCGATGGGCGGAGGCCAACCTATTGGGTTCTCTGTTGGCCTCAGTGTTGGTGGTGTGTTCACAGATACGATTGGCTGGAGGTGGGGATTCCACATCGCCGCAATCATCAACACAATCATCTTCCTCATTGCGCTGAAGTGGTTGCCTGGCATCGGCAAGAGAGACCCGGTCACTTGGCACCGATTCAGGACCGAGGTTGATTGGGTTGGAGCGTTCCTGGCCAGCGCTTTCCTGTCAATGGTCTCTTATGTGCTTGCGTAAGTATAAGATGCGCCCTCTGCTTGGAGAGCGAGACCAACTAACAGGGCGTTGACAGTGCGATCACCGATAGCACTCAGGATATCAAGAAACCAGAGAATATCGCACTGCTCGCCATCTCTGCCGTGCTAATCGGCGGGTTCGTTGCCTGGGTCGAAAAACAAGAGCGCTTGGGTAAACCAGCCATTATCCCAAACTCACTCTGGAAGAATCGCAGCTTCACTAGCATCTGCATCAGTGTCTTCATGGTATGGGGTGCCTTCAACGCGACCGAGCAGCTCAGCTCGTTTTACTTCCAATATGTGCAGCGGCTCACCGCAATCGACACATCGGTGCGCTTCCTGCCGGCCCCCGTGGGCGGAGTCCTGGCCAACATCGTCGCCGGTCTCGTGGTCCACCGCGTCCGGGCAGACCTAGCGATTCTCATCGCCGTCGCCCTGGCGTGTCTGTCGCCGCTATTGATGGCGATCGCCGACCCCGCGTGGTCCTATTGGATCTGCGTCTTCTGGGCCATGTTCATGAACGCTATTGGCGCTGACACGTTATTCACAATCTCTAATCTGCTGATCACATCGCTGTTTCCGGCCAAAAAGCAGGCGGTGGCCGGAGGGGTATACAACGCCATTGCTCAAATCGGTAAAAGCGTAGGGCTGGCTTCATCGGGCGCCATTGCGAGTGCCGTGACCGCCCGGTCGAACTTCGCCGACAAGGAGAGCCCGATGGCGTTGTTGGAGGGTTACCGGGCGTCGTTTTGGTACTGCTTCGCGCTTTACGGCGCAACCTTGTTTGTGACGGTTTTGGGACTCAGGAAGATCGGCAAAGTGGGTGTCAAAAAGGAGTAAATAGGAAACCGAGCAACGGGGCAAACGGGTCGATGAGTAACCCTCCCCGTTCCTCCACCACCAGAAGCTTCTCGCTTTGCGAGATGGGCAACAGAGTTTTTAGTGACGCAGCGGAAACTCTGCTTGGCAGCGGACTTTTTCTGCCAAGAGATGCCATCTTAATGCTTACCGAAGTATGAAGAGGAAACCACGTCAACGCCGAGGAGAAAGGGGGTTCTGGACTTCCGCTCTAGTCGAAGCTTATGCTGCGGGGAGATTCCTAGGAATTTGTCGGTCGCTCGGGCGGGACGATCTGCGTTGTCGCGCAGCGCACTACGAGTTGACCTGCAATGCAAGGCCTGACTCAGCGGTCTGATATTTCAGCCGATTGCAGGACCCCGGGACCCGAGGATGTGGAAAAGGATCAAAAAGGGGTGAATCACATCAGTTGAGAATTTGTGAATGTTTCGCCCGCCTCACGTGGAAATCCTCAATGATGCTGAATAATAGTGCACATTCGCTAGTCGACATCCGTAGTTCCATTTGAAATTGAATCTCACATCGATGGGTCTCACATCTTAGTCTTATGCGCCAAACTTCGGTAGCTGCAAAGTGACGTCTACTCGGGAGAGACGGACTCGCAGTTTTGATTAGCTGGCTGAAGACTCTGGCTCAACTTCTCAAGCTACTCAACAACAACTGCCCTGGGTTATGAAAACCTAAACTCCGCAAGACAGCGACAGAAACGATGAGCACCTTCTAGAAGTAAGGGGGAAATTTGATGTCTTTATCAATCGACAATCCACAATCTACAAACTCCGACACAAAATACCCAATGGCTGACAATCATCGGTACCTCGGGGACGGGAGTTCCGTTGGTGGAATGCGTATCCGTACTGCGTTACTGCGTAAGCTTCATTTCGGTGCGCTGTGAACAGCCGCAGCCTTGCCCAGCGTAAATCTCCCGTATGTCTGCCGGTGGCCCCATCCCGATGTGACGCCAGATTTACGAGCAAAGCAGAGATGTACGGTGGGCCTACGCTACAGAATCGCATGCTTGGCTGAGTGCCAGAGACAAAACGGCACCGAACTGGGAGCCACCATGATGCAATCGGAAAACAGCAGGGCGTCTCGACCACAGTTAGCCCATGTTCTGACCGTAAACGGCTTAGCAAGCTTAGCAAAGCCTAGTTTCTGACTCGTCTCTAGGGCCGCAGCGTGGCTCTTGCACCCAAACTGGAAGAGTTATCGAGCCTCTCGGGTCACTCCAAGTCTCCGAGTCGGGGACGGACTGTGATGGCAGACAACAGCCCGCCCGCTCCGCCATCCATGCTGGTGGGAACTCGGAAAGCCCAACATGCACTCCGTGCGCTAGGAACACGCTCGCTTTCTCCCCTAGCTTACACATCTTGTGCGCGACAGTTCGGGGTTAGAGTACTCACCCGGGAGAATGCCTTCATGTCTGGCAAGGGGTGACCTCATAGCCACCGGCCGGCCGGTCGGCGGGAGCACTGCGAACTCCGCACCAACTGGTCCCGGCCGCCTGCTACAGTCGCACAACAAACTCAGAGCCCAGCTGGCTTGGCGGGATCACGGTTCTAGCTCGGTGGCCCCGGGAGGTTGGCCATGTCCGCAAGCGTACACCGTAGATCTGCTTCCACCATGGGTTCTTGATATAATATAGTCATCCGAAACCCATACACCCCAAATACTTTTTTAGTCTTCATCGAATATTCCATACAGCCTGTGAACATCTTACACATTGCAACATACTTTGGCAAACTACTTGAACACCATCACCAATTGGCTATTCGACTAATATCAACAACCTTAATTTCAGCTCATCTGAGCTTCGCCCCTGGTCATCACATCTACAACCATGGAGGACAGAACAGCAACCAGAGGTAGCTACGGCACAACTACTTCTTCGGTCACAATGAACGGAGAACAACGAACATCATCCGAGCAGCCCACCGGTGGCTTTGCTCCCATTAACACGGGAAAGAATGGCGATTCCTCCGATGAAGAATATGGAGACATTTCCAGCCCTACGAGAGATACCCACCGCGACACGATGATGATCGACGAGGAGGATAGGAGGGAACTTCAGAGAATTGCAACAAACCTTTCGCGGCATCAAAGTTTGGCCAGCAACGGCCGTCCACTTTCTTCACATACCTCTTACGGCCAAAACGATCCCGCCTTGGACCCTGCAAGCAAGTCCTTCGATCTTTCGAAATGGCTCCAGGCTTTTATGCGAGCCATGCAGAATGAGGGTATCACCCTCAAGCACGCTGGTGTCGCCTACAAGGATCTCAATGTTTCTGGCACCGGCGCTGCTTTGCAGCTGCAACAGACCGTTGGTGACTTCCTTCAAGCACCTCTCAGAATCGGCGAGCACATTAGTTTCGGAAAAAAGGAGCCCAAGAGGATCCTCAACAGCTTCGACGGCCTGCTCAAGAGCGGCGAGCTTTTGATCGTTCTTGGACGCCCTGGTTCCGGATGCAGTACTCTCCTGAAGACCATGACTGGTGAACTACAGGGTCTGAGCATTGGAGATGAGTCTGTCATCCACTACAACGGCATTCCACAGAAGAAGATGATGAAGGAGTTCAAAGGAGAGACCGTTTACAATCAGGAGGTGCGTTACCACATATCAATACTTTGTTTGATGTTCACTAACAGCGTTCAATTCAGGTTGACAAGCATTTCCCCCATCTTACCGTCGGTCAAACACTCGAATTCGCCGGCGCCGTTCGCACACCATCCAACAGACCCTTGGGTCTGAGTCGCGAGGAGGCTCATAAAAGGGGAGCCCAGGTTGTTATGGCAGTCTGTGGTCTTAGCCACACCTACAACACTAAGGTTGGAAATGACTTCGTCCGTGGCGTCTCTGGCGGAGAGAGAAAGCGTGTCTCTATCGCCGAGATGATGCTTGCTGGCTCTCCCATGTGCGCATGGGATAACAGCACTCGTGGCTTGGATTCCGCGACCGCTCTGAAGTTCGTTCAGTCGCTGCGCCTTGCCTCCGACTTCACCGGCAGTGCCAACGCTGTTGCAATCTACCAGGCCAGTCAGGCCATCTACGACCTCTTCGATAAGGCTGTTGTTCTCTACGAAGGTCGCCAGATCTTCTTCGGCCCTGCCGTTGCCGCCAAGTCTTACTTCGAGCGCATGGGTTGGGATTGCCCCCAGCGTCAGACCACGGGAGACTTCTTGACCTCGGTCACCAACCCCATCGAGCGCAAGGCTCGCCCGGGCATGGAGAACCAGGTCCCCAGAACCCCCGAGGACTTCGAGGCATACTGGCGTGCATCTCCCGAGTACCAAGCTCTCCGCCAGGAGATAGAGCAGCACACTGACGAGAACCCTATTGATCCCCACGGCCATGCTCTCACTGAGCTACGCCAGCAGAAGAACGACAGGCAGGCGAAGCATGTCCGCCCCAAGTCTCCTTACCTCATCAGTCTGGCGATGCAAGTGCGACTTACCACGAAGCGCGCCTACCAGCGAATTTGGAACGATATCTCGGCTACAGCTACATCGGCTGTTCTCAACATCATCTTGGCTCTCATCATCGGTTCGGTCTTCTACGGCACTCCTGACGCTACTTCCGGTTTCTACTCCAAGGGTTCTGTCCTGTTCCAGGCTATTCTCATGAACGCTCTCACTGCTATTTCTGAAATCAACAGTTTATACGATCAGCGGCCAATCGTCGAAAAGCATGCCTCTTACGCCTTCTACCATCCATCAGCCGAAGCCATCGCTGGTATCGTCGCAGATATCCCGATCAAGTTCGTGACGGCAACCTGTTTCAACCTCATCTTGTACTTCCTCGCTGGTCTTCGTCGGGAACCCGGTCAATTCTTCCTGTACTTCTTGATCACCTACATCTCCACCTTCGTCATGAGCGCCGTCTTCAGAACTATGGCAGCCATCACCAAGACCATCTCTCAGGCCATGATGTTGGCTGGTGTGCTTGTCTTGGCTCTTGTCATCTACACTGGTTTCGTCATCAGAGTTCCCCAGATGGTTGACTGGTTTGGTTGGATTCGCTGGATCAACCCTATCTTCTACGCCTTCGAGATCCTCATTGCCAACGAGTTCCACGGTCGCGAGTTCGTCTGCTCCGAGATTATCCCCGCATACACTCCTCTGATTGGTGACTCATGGATCTGCTCGGCTGTCGGCTCCGTCGCTGGTCAGCGTACCGTTAGCGGCGATGCTTTCATCGAGACCAACTACCAGTACTACTACTCCCACGTCTGGCGCAACTTTGGCATCCTGCTAGCTTTCCTTTTCTTCTTCATGATCATCTACTTCGTCGCTACTGAGCTCAACTCCTCCACCACCAGCGCCGCCGAGGTTCTCGTCTTCCAGCGTGGCCGCGTCCCTGCTCATCTTCAGGATGGCGTCAACCGCAGCGTCACCAACGAGGAGATGGCCGTTTCCAAGGACCAGGAAACTGAGGCCAACGTCAACTCAATCCCGCCCCAGAAGGACATTTTCACTTGGAAAGACGTCGTCTACGACATTGAGATCAAGGGTGAACCCCGCCGTCTGCTTGACCACGTCGATGGCTGGGTGAAGCCCGGAACTCTCACTGCCCTCATGGGTGTCTCCGGCGCCGGGAAGACGACTCTTCTCGATGTCTTGGCTCAGCGAACTACCATGGGTGTCATCACCGGCGACATGTTTGTCAACGGCAAGCCCCTTGACGCCAGCTTCCAACGCAAGACTGGCTACGTTCAGCAGCAAGGTATGCAGCTTCTCCTTAACATCGTTTGAATATTCAACTAACATTATCCAGATCTTCACTTGGCTACCGCCACCGTCCGCGAGAGCTTGCGCTTCAGTGCCATGCTCCGCCAGCCCAGGACTGTTTCGAAGGAGGAGAAGTTCGCTTTCGTTGAGGAGGTTATTGACATGCTCAACATGCGCGACTTTGCCGATGCTGTCGTTGGTGTTCCCGGCGAGGGCTTGAACGTCGAGCAGCGCAAGCTTCTTACCATCGGTGTCGAATTGGCAGCTAAGCCTAAGCTTCTTCTCTTCCTTGATGAGCCTACCAGTGGTCTCGACTCCCAGAGCTCCTGGGCCATCTGCGCTTTCCTCCGCAAGCTGGCCGATGCCGGTCAAGCCGTCCTCTGCACCGTCCATCAGCCCAGCGCCATCCTCTTCCAGCAATTTGACCGCCTGCTCTTCCTCGCCCGCGGCGGTAAGACTGTCTACTTTGGTGATATCGGCGACAACTCCCGCACCCTTCTCAACTACTTTGAGGGCAATGGTGCTCGCAGATGCGGCGACGAGGAGAACCCCGCTGAGTACATGCTCGAGATTGTCAACAACGGAGCCAACTCCAGGGGTGAAGACTGGCACAGCGTCTGGAAGTCTAGCAATGAGCGCCACGGTGTCGAGGCCGAGATTGAGAGAATCCACCTCGAGAAGCAGCATGAAGAGGTCGCTGGCAGCGAAGATGCTGGTGCCCACTCTGAGTTTGCCATGCCCTTCAGCACCCAGCTCATAGAGGTCACCGGTCGTGTCTTCCAGCAGTACTGGCGCATGCCCAACTACGTCTTCGCTAAGTTCTTCCTCGGTATCGCTGCAGGTCTATTTATTGGTTTCTCCTTCTGGAAGGCCGACGGTACCATGGCCGGCATGCAAAACGTTATCTTCGGTGTTTTCATGATCATCACTGTCTTCTCCACCATTGTCCAGCAGATCCAGCCTCACTTCGTCACACAGCGTGCCCTCTACGAAGTGCGCGAACGCCCCAGCAAGGCTTACTCTTGGAAGGCATTCATGTTCGCCAACGTCATTGTCGAAATCCCCTACCAAATCGTTACCGGTATCCTCATCTGGGCTTGCTTCTACTACCCCATCATCGGCATCCAGGGCTCCGTCCGCCAGGTCTTGGTCATGCTCTACGCCATTCAGCTCATGATCTATGCGTCCTCCTTCGCCCAGATGACCATCGCTGCCTTCCCCGATGCCCAGACCGCCTCAGGTGTGGTTACTCTCTTGGTCCTCATGAGCTTGACCTTCTGCGGTGTCTTGCAGTCCCCTACTGCCCTCCCCGGCTTCTGGATCTTTATGTACCGCGTGTCCCCCTTCACCTACTGGGTTGCTGGCATCGTGGGTACCCAACTATCCGGCCGACCCGTCACTTGCTCCGCCACCGAGACCTCTGTCTTCAACCCGCCTGCCAACCTGACATGCGGCGAGTACCTGGCGGATTACCTCAAGCTCGCCCCCGGCCAGCTCCAGAACCCCGAGGCTACTGAGGCTTGTCGATACTGCTCTCTCAGCAATGCCGATCAGTACTTGGCCGGCAGCAACATTTTCTATGATGAGCGCTGGCGCAACTTCGGTATCGTCTGGGCTTTCATCTTCTTCAACATCTTCATTGCTGTTATTTCTTACTACCTCGTCCGCGTCAAGAAGTGGAACTCCGGCTCGTCCAAGCCCAAGAAGGAGTCCAAGGGAAAGGAGACGGCGACACAATAAGTTGATGGCCTCAACCATTACAGTTTCATGTTTCATGGGAAAATCATACCAATATCTTAATATGCCATGTTTTATATAGCGAGCGTTGTTTTGGATATCCTCAATCAAATTAGTAGTTTCATAGACTCAATATCTCAAACCCAAAGTTCACGAAAGGCTCCTTTCCGTGACAACCTGCTCTGCAAAACTAGTGAAGTTTTCGAATCCTCTCATTTGATTTCAGTGGAAACGAGTTCTCGGTAAAGCCTTGGGGAGAGTAGATGTTAGACTGCCACCAGGCGGCCAAGACTTGAAGAAATAGATAAGAGCGCCTAGACATCTTCTGTTTCAGTAAGCGCCGCAGATGGGTGGGCCGCATTGCCAAAGCGAGTGCTGGCCATAGCACAGTCTGTCTCCCGCAACCTTTAACAATTGGCAGCTTCTTGCTCATCTTCACATTTCACTCGTTGACCGTTTTCTAGTTACTATATCATCCAAACACGACGATGAAGGCTACACTTACAGGCCGAATCCACTGAGCCAATGGCGTGGCGTGGCTCAAGCGATTCCTAGGCAACAAAGGAACCTTGAGACATTGTGTTGGGATCCGTGGCGCTTGCTGTTGCTGCCTGATTGTGCATGAAGGTGTCCAACAGGATCAAGAACTCTCACCTTCAACATTGAAGAATTATATCGGCTCTTGTGCAAAACGTCACTAACAAACACTCAAAAACACCTCCAACTATTCCAAATGTCTTGCTCTTATACCGGCGATGTTCCGCCACCTCCACCCCGGCCTCTTGTCGAGAAGGCATCAACTCCGCCTCCAGCCCCACCGCCGCCAATCGTGCCCCCGACAGGATCCCCTGAAGCTTTCTTGGTCGAATCACTGATCTATAATGGCTCGCCATTCAAAGACCACTGGGCATACTTTGTACGCTCTCGCGCCGATGATGATATCGGTGTCAAGATCCACGCGACCGGTGATGTGCGTAATGGCTTCAAAGTCGAGGTCAAACGCAGTCATGACCTCACAAACACTTCAGATATCCCTACGAAAAGAGTTCCGCTGCAGTGGGTTGATGTTCAGCACTTTGACGAAAACGCGATGCTCAATAGGGGAGTGGAAGAGATTGATGAGAGGCCTGTTTGCGGTTTCGAGGCCACTGCGTACAAGGCAAAGGCTCCCGGGAAGACTTGGAATGCAGCTAAAGACAAGGTGAGGCTTTCGCTTGACTTCTCCAAACGGCCGCAATTCCTCTGAACAGACCACTTCATGCGTGTATAATTACCTTCCGGGCAGGTCGTCCGAGGTGCCTTTCCGCAACATTTCTTTTTGCCATGCCTTCAAAAAACTTTACTTTACTAACAGAAATGTCAAGGATACGTCTGGCAAAAAGGTTACCGTTAAGGACTGCCAAGCATGGCTGGTGGAGGCAGCGGGCTACCTTGTTTGAAGATCGCATGTTCAGTCATGAAGTTACTGTTTACCTACACGCGATTGAACAGTGATGTCTTAGGCGATCTCTCAAGGTTCTCAAGAAGAAACATTCAAGCTTTTTCCCGGTTTCGAAGTTACTGACTTAGTCAAGGCCCGACTCTGATTATACGTGTGGATACAAGGCCGGACTTAAGTTCACAGAGCAGCGAGCTTAAGTCCATGTCAGCTCGCAGACCGGGGTTAACAGATAATAAAAGTGCAGACTCCACGGACTTCTTCGTTTTCGCGACATCAGTAGATCAAATTCGAAAGCCAAGTTACTCGATCGTGTGGTTTAGCATCCCCCCCCCCCCCGGGCCCCCCTTTCTAAGTGCACCTGTAGTAGCTAGTCATATATATAATCTCTTATTCTCTAACGAGGAGAAGCTCGGAATAAAGTTCACTCCAGTTTCATATTCCCATTTTCCCGACACTGAGCTTCAAGTTTGATTCCTGATACCACGATGAAAGCCCTGACTTTAAGACCGAAGGATCATTCCGTTGCTGTACAAGATATCCCGACTCCGGAACCAGGGCCAAGAGAGATTCTCGTCCGCGTGAAAGCAGTTGCGCTGAATCATGTGGATGCGCTCTATACCTACAAGCCAATTGCGGCACAAGAGTACCGCGTAATCGGCAGCGACTTCGCTGGGGAGGTCGCCCGTGTTGGCAAAGACATCCAAAACATCAATGACCCTCGTGTCAAGGCTGGAGCACATGTAGCTGGCTTCGTGCAAGGCGGTTAGTTGAACAGCCCACAACTTTTAAGCAGACCAGTGATGTACTGACTATAGGTATGTAGCTTGTTCGGTCAATTACCGCCCAGGAGCTTTTGCCGAGTACGTCGTCATTGACTATGACCTCACATGGAATATTCCCATCGGGTGTAGAGATCCAATATCAAGGTGAGCAGTTCCAGTCATTTTTCTTCCTGAACCGCGAGGGGCCACCTCTGTTGACCACTCACAGGCGTCACAATCCCGGCCAATCCCGAAGCCCGTGACTTTGCAACGCAATTCTACAACTATCTTGGATCAGAAGCTCCGTTGGGAAAAGTCAATTTGCAGGCAAACCCGGTTCGTCTGATGCCAGGGAGACTCGAGAACATAGCATCGGAAGGCATCCCGCTCCTTGGGTCGAAGCAAGTCAATGAGCCGCCGAAGGACCACATGCGTCCTATCAGTGGAGAGAAGGTTGTCTATACTGTTGTTTAGGTGCTTTCTTTGAGTAGTCGGCCCTAAATGTAGGCATGTTAGATCTCAGCGGCTTTGAGCTCTACTCCCATGTGAACATTGAAATTTGATCTAAACTTGAATTTGGTGGAACAAGTCGCGTGACTCAGTATTGTACACTCTACTCTATGGATATGAACATCTAATTGTGCTTGAAATATTTACTGAGAAATGTAAAAAAGGAGTGGTCGAATTTGGCCGAGTTGTCCTGAGAAGCAAGAGCCTCTCTACGAGCTCTTAGAAATGAGGTCCGCCGCTCTCTCGGCAACAGCGTACAGGGTGCTGACAAGGTGACCGCACACCTGGAAAGGCAGAACGGAGGCGTCCACAACGCGAACGTTGGCGGTACCATAGACCTTGAGGCTCGCATCAACAACACCGCCCTTCTCGCGTGGCATCATGGCAGCGGTGCCGACGGGGTGGAAGTTGGAACGGTAGTTGCCCTTGATGTAGCTCTCCCAGCCCGCGACATCATCCGCATCAGCAGCGACGACGTCCGCGCCGGGACGGGTCTCGGCTCCGGTGTAAGTGGAGAAGGGCGCGGTGCTGTACAGCTTGCGGATGTACTTTGCAATCTCGACCTGCTCGAGCAGATCCCAGTCCAGCATGAAGTAGTTGGGGTTGATGACGGCGCGGGAGGTGGAGTTGCCGCCGATGTGGACGCTGCCGCGGGCAAAGGGAAGGAGACCCCAGTACTCGCTGCTCCAGGATCCGGAGCCGGCGTTGACGAGGACCTCGGCGATGGGGATCTGGGACTCGAAGATGAGGGACCACTGCAGCTGGAAGAACTCCAAGAGATCCGAGGCGCGGGTGACGTTGCCGTTGACGGAGGCGACCTTTGCGGCGTAGGCGGGGAGGGCATTCTTGATCTGGGCGGCGACCTCGTCGGCGTTGTCGAAGACGTGGGCGACGGAGGGGTAGGCGACGGTGGTGAGGGTGCCGTCGATGCTCATGTTCTTCATGTCAAAGGAGAGGCCGTTGTTCATCTGGTCCTGGAGGTTCTCGCCGACTGTGGGGAGGTCGACGACGGTCTTGATGCCGTGCTGCTTCAGGACGTTGGCGCGGCCGACACCGGAGAGCTCAAGGAGGAGAGGGGAGACGAGGGCACCGGCGGAGAGGATGACCTCCTTGTTGGCCTTGACGATGCTGCTGGAGCCATCGGCAGAAACGACCTGGACCCCATCGGCAGTAGGGAGAGCAGCAGCGTTCTTCCAGGTGAGCTTCTGGGCGCTGGTGTTTAGGAGGACCTTCAGATTGGTGCGGTCCTGGTAGGGGTAGTAGTAGGCGCGGGCGGCATCCTCGCGGACGGCGTTCGCCTGGTCGACGGTGCGGGGGAAGACGGAGAAGCCAACCATGTTTCCGCCGTTGACGTCCTCGTTCCAGGGCAGACCGAGGTTCTGGAAGGTCGAGTTCAGGACAGCGGGCATGGTTCCGTTGGTCTGGCCGTAGGTCCAGCCTGTCAAGAGGGGTCCGTCTTCGCCGTGGACATCGGCCTCGTACTCGAGACGGCCGGCGACCTGGCGCGCAGGCTCAGGAGTCTGGAAGTGCTCGCTTTTGAGGTAGTAGGGGAAAAGAGAATCCCAGTTCCAGCCCTCGTTTCCAAGTTGCTCCCATGCGTCGATCTGGGAGGCTTCAGCGCGGGTGTAGGCCAGTCCTTCGAGGTGTTAGCATCTGTGTCCAGCCTTTTTGAACCGATAACCGCCACGAACCGTTGATAGTGCTGGTTCCTCCCAAAGCCTTGGCAGCACGCATAGTCTGGACTGAGTTGCCGCCGAAAGTCTGGTTGGTCGTTTGGTAGGCAAAGTCGATGTCAGTGCCAAAGGCAAGACCGTATCCGTTAGGGTTGGTGACGTTGACGTTGTCGAAAACTGAGCCACCGGCCTCGATGATCAGGACAGATACGGCAGGGTTCTCTGACAGACGGTTGGCAACAGCCAGACCACTGGTACCGCCTCCGATGACGATGTAGTCGTAGCCATTGCTGGAAGCGTTGTTACAGCGAACAGCCAAGGCTGCTGCTCCGGAGAGGAGGGTAGATGTAGTGAGGAAGCCCCGCATGGCTGTGTGTGTAATGCCAAAGTCTAGAAAGAGTGTAAGTGAGGTAAGGGATTGCAGACAAGTACACTGGGTTGGTTATCCGAAGAAATCCAATGTCTCGAAGGCGAGGGCCTGTGTTTTTATCATTGAATACCGAAGATGAGAATTTGATAACATCGTAGTCAAGATCCAAGCTTCTGAAATCCCTCAATCACGTCACCCGCGCGGATACAAACAGCTACCATCCCCGTTAAACCGGATTTTGTGATAACCCTCCGAGAGCTGACCGAAAAGCTGTGCTCTCCCTACCATTTCGTCAGTGCAATCCATACGGGCCAACTTACTCAAGACTCGGCAGAGTGGAGTACGGCGTAGCCGCAGAAGCCGAGTTACAATTGGGGCTCAGCGGTTCTGAACGCCATTGGCCGGTCGACAACCGCTGAGAGCAGTGAGGGCATATCTGATCGGACCGATGCACCGGTAGTTGGCGGCGCGAGATGCTTATCAACCATCAGAAACCCAACGTTCCTGGGATCTGGAACCCGTCGCTGCGGAAATATCTGCGTAGATCGGCGGGACCCCTGCAGGGGGTTCCTACTCATGGCTCACCAGCATAGCCCCGTAAGGCCAACGAGGGCTGAGCATAGGGGAGAGTGCACAACATGGTGGCGGGGGTTGAATCATGCTCCTGCGACTGATTTGGCAACTGTCGTCCAAAAATGAGGACGGGGACCATGGAAAGCTTTGGCATAATACGTCATGCCCGAAAACGATTGCAACCTCATGCAATGGCGGCCTTTTCATGCTCCAAGTGCTATTCTGGACAGTCGCTTCGGTAAATCTTTGCGCACTTAGTCACGGCGACTAAAATTTAAGCTCAATTGCCAAGCGCATCCGCCGAGTGATGCCCGTCAAGATAGGATATCGCATATGTGGATCTTGGCAACATTCTGCAAGTTCTATCTGATGAAATCACGGGTTTACGGAAATACAGATACAGAAGGTGGGCATAAACCTTCGAAAAAAAAACAAGCAGTAAACGGGCCCATGCTCGCTTTCTAAGCAATCAAGGGAATTAAGGGAAGTTGAGCCCCATGTGTGTCATGCTCGCATTCTGAGTTGGCGAAAGAACAAAGGGCCGAAAACAACTTTTCGAGGTGGGTTTCTTGACTGGGTCTGGACGAGCTACCGCTTAAGTAAGAGAACAATAAGCATTGGATGCTCCACTGACAACAAGGAAGCAGAATCCTTGTTTAAGGAAAGTTCGAGTACATACATGTAGCGAACATAAGACGAACGTGCCTGGTTTATAATATTGACATTAAGCCCGGTAGATCTGAATGGTATAGACGTTTGTATCATGCTCCTCATTGAACGGTGCCAAATGTGTACACTTAGGCAACTTATCCTAAGCATCTACTTTACCCTGTTCTAGCGATCCGCATTCACTGATCGATCATTGATTGATATTCTATGTCGGACTACATCCTTTTGTACAAACATTGGGCTCCCATCTTTCATCCCATAAAACCTACCGAACGGCGGGTGTGATCAGAAACCGGATGGTTGGGCTACACGCTTGGACAAACATGAGGCGTCAAACAAAATGAGGCAGTGGATCTATAGACTCATTGTTGTAGAGCTTGAAGTTAAGTACGCTTCGCTTGAGCTCAATCGTTTGCCTGAGGAGCAAATGTCCCATGAACGCGAAATGGGAGCAGTGGAGAAGGAAAACAATATGTGCAGTCATCTAAAGGTCGTCGCGAGGAATTGGAAGGAGCTCTGAGGCAGCCATACACGGGCCCAGTAGTCTGATAGAGACGCCTGTTCCGGACTGATGAAAGCGACTCCGGGTCAGCGAGAGAATCAACGGTTCTCACGGTGACTTATTCTGACAGTGGTATTCAGTTCTCGAGGACAAGGTCATCGTTTTTGACTGCATAGAGGAGAGATCGTCTTTATGTTGATATTCCAGTCCAGTCGCGATAGTACGTCACAGTTTCTGACACTTTTCCTTTAGTAGACACCGCAGGATCCGCAGGCATAGCCTTTTTGACTATGGATTCTACGAGATTTCTGGAAGGGCAAATCAGGATGTGGCCGACTGCTCGCCCTGGCCATTCTCACAATCCCAACTTCACGCAAATAAAGATGGTGTTCGACCTCTCGAAAACCGCCTTACGCCCGAGCAATCAGTGAAAACCCGAGCGATCATTGAAAACGTAGAAATTCAAAATGAAGAAAGAAAGATGGCGTTCGATCGCGATAGGTCTACTCTATAAGTTAGCATACCTAAGGTGGTAGTATCACTGCCAGCCAAGGAATTGCTTGATACCAAGTTGGCCATTTCAAAATCCAAGTAGCTATTTGTTCTCGTTGAATAACATGCTCGATGTTCTGATACCTTAGAACTCAATCAATACTTCAAACTTACATAGACCCCTTTCAGCTTACAGGTTTTGGCCTTTTCATCTCCCAGACCTTGCTGAAAACAGTAAACTTGACTTCATCCAGATGCTTATCACCGAACCTCTACTTCCTCGACGCAACCTTCTCCGCCAACTTATCAAACTCCCCCTTCTCCATCACCGTCCCCTGCCCCTTGGACTTGCCCGTCATATGAACAAGATAGCTCCCAACACCAAGTCCAACAGCAGCAATAGCAACCAATGTCGGCCTAATCCCCCAAGACACGTTAACCACAGGACCCACGGACGCACCTCCAACACAACAAGATTGCTTTCGAGAATCTTGTCACATGAGGCGGAGATAACACTCACCAGCTCTGTGCGGCACTGCTCGTTGACGGCACAGGTTCCTGCCCGCCGGGCCCACCGAGGTCGCCTTCCTTGGGGTTATGCGTGCTCCAGCGGAGCTGACCCTCGACCCGGCGCGCCGCAGCGAGGGGTGCAACCGTAACTCCTAGTCCAGGTACGGATCGCGCGGCGGCGAGGCGGCGGAGGGGGAGGGACCTTGCGGGGATCATGTTTGCGTTGTGAGGAAGAGTGTACAAATAGTTGGAGACGTTGGTGATGACGAAAGCTCAATGAATCCAGTCTCTCTGACTATCGGATTTCTTCTTGCGAACTTTTCTTATCGGCAGGATGCGTTTTCCGTGAGAGGTCTCAGTGTTGCAAGTCAGAAAGGCTAGACTATGCGATGAAGTTGAATGTTTAGAGGCTGTCCTGCAATTGGACGGTGACGACACCAAGACGCTTGAGCGAATCCGGGAGAGAGGCAGGTGCGTCATAGGTGCATCACCTTCCCCAAGCTGAACCTTTTTAGTATGCCTCCCTTTCCCTTTCCCTTTCCCCAAATTTCTAGGATTGGAAAAGTCGGAGAGAACACGCGTGAAAGCCTTCTAGAACAATTCGATGAGCGGGTTCAGCAAAAGAAAGAGAGATTCCGAACGGCTTATTCGTTGAAGCCCCAGTTCTTACTCTTGGTAAGGTACGATGGGCAAGAGAGGCGCTGCTGTCCATCGCGGATTTCCTGATGCGCATCTGCTTAAGTGACCTTGTGTATGGAGGAAGTACAAAACCAACGAGAGTATGAATTTGGAAAGGATAAGAGGGACGATAAAAATGATGTTCCAGGCATACGGGGAGATTCTGATCATTGGCAAAAGTAAGAAAAGTAGCAGTCGCCAACAGCACTCACACGCCCACTCATCGGGGGGCGGTATGCCGGCCAGGCCCTTCAGCGAGCCCATCACCTCTCCAACACTCCTTCCGCAGGAATTTCAGCCAAGCAGATTCAATTGCAGGTACAAATTTAAATGCAAATTCATGTGCATGTGCAAATGCAACAAAAAAGCGTATAGATCCTGTCTACAGTACTAGATAGTCAAGAAATACCCTATAATAAACCTCTTAGGTACCCTAGAAGAGCATGACCCATAAAACGAGCCTAGACCATCAACAAATAGAACCAACACACTCTCCCATCTGGATAACGCACCCCAAAGGTCCGACCGAGCTCCCTCCGCCCTCCGAACGCACATCGTATTCCCGAACAACAGTCCCTATCGCGCCTCGCACTCGCACGAGATAATCGCACCGAGGTGCCTGCTGTACCTGAATCTCGGAGATGGCAAGGCAATGGATCACCTTCCGAGAGATAGACACTTATTTCTCGATACCGAATGCGGTGAGAAGTTTGGACCAAAAACACCCCGTACTTTCTGCCAAGATGCGCCGTGGCTGCGATTCTCAGTACTGGTATGGCTGGCGTGGGGGTCACCACGGCGCCTGAAGTCTACCTACTACGTATTGTACCAAAGCCCCCAAGTCGGCCGAGGCCACAATTGCAGCGGCACAACAGCCCCTCCTCCGATAGGCCACTCCCCTGAATGATGGTACTCAACAGCGTCGCATCCCGCCCTGAGGCTCTCACCAACACCCTCACACACACAGTTGTCAGACGTTTCAATGCAATCGGAACGGATATGTGTACGGAGGATAGGGTATTATTTCCGTCAATCCACAATAGAGGTAAGAATTGAGAGGTGTATGTGTCATCGATCCATCTATCGATTTTGGTATCAAAGAAAATCAAGTAACGCCACGTCGCAATCATGCCCTTTTCCCTCGTGAATGCAAAAGCCATGGCCCTTTGCCTGGGCCCCATTGATGCCGCAGCCCTTCCCAATGCTATGCTGCTGAAAGAATCGCAAACGAAGAACGCTTCCTCATGTCCCCATAACCCAGATTATCATGTTTCCTTCTGAATCCCACTGTGCCATAAGAACCGCCGTCCTCTCCCTCCCTTACGGGTATCATTCCCCCGCTAATACCCATGAACCCCCAGGGAGTGCTGGCCGGCGGAACCTTACTAACGATGAATATGGCGAATGATGAGCCATGGGAAATACATATCTACCTTTTCCTCACCGCGTGCTCGAGACCCCCCGACTATGATTTGAATAGTACACTGGTAAGCAATGTCGTCCGGGACGTTCTAGGCCAACGCTGGCATGCTCCAGTACTTTGTCTTTGGGACAACTCTGACCTCGGGCGGAATCCAGATAGCCGGAGATACAGTGGTGTGTGTAGACGACCAAGGCGCAGTTGAAGTTGTGGATGTAGACTCAGATGAAGAGCCAGAGGTAGTATCGACATTGGCGACATTGGCGTCATTGCTGGCAGCAGCTTCTGCAGCGGCGGCGGCAGCAGCAGCAGCAGCGCGAGCATTGTCATCCTGCTCCAAAGCCTGATCGATAGCTCCAAGAACCCACGACTTGATCTCATTCAGCGCCCGCCGCTTCTGCGTCTGCTCGCGGTGCTTTCTGCCCGACTCGCCCAGAGGCAGCGCATTGAAGGGATGGAAGCTGACGAGGAGCGTGAAAGTCTTGAGGTTGGGGAACTGCCGGAGGAGACGGACGCCCTCGTGACAATGGCCTTGCACCCAGCAGGGGCGGAGGCCCCATTCCATGGCCAGGTGGCGGAGGTTGGCAAAACAGAGAGCGCTGGGCATGATTGACTGAGCCGGTCCTGTGAATGTGTTAGCCTTTGGGGGTTTTCCTCTTTGTTTGGAGCGTGAGGTAATTGGGTGAAAGGCAAAACTCACCTCTATAGATGAAGAGTGTATCATGACGATAATTCATGTACACACCCTTGCCTTGCGCCTGGTGTCCTCTAGAGAGATGCATCATCTCAAACTGCTCATCTCTTAGACCATGCGGGTCCTGAGGATCGTAGAGCAGCTCGGCACGAGACTCCTGGCAAACCTGCAGGAGCGCTGGGACAGGTCGGTGAAGTCCATAGGCCAAAGTCGTGCTGTTAGATATGCGCTCTACGACAGTGGGCTTGGGCGCCGCGAGACGCCATATCTTTGTGCGGATCTCGGGCGGAAGGTCCTTGAAGAGATGGAATGTGCGTGGCTTCACCTCTTCGGTAAGGTCCAGGTCTACTAGGTCTGTAATGAGGGAAGCGGGCTGTGGTGAGGTATGTGACATATCGTGATGCAGGTGAGCCGTGCCGTTATGCTCGACTGTGTCGTCCATCGTGAGGTTGTGCCCGAACTGCCTACGGGTGTGAATATGTGTGAATGGAACAGGTGTGAAGAGTAGAAGCGTGAGGCTCCTTTGCGTGGGAGAAGAAAATGTGGTAAAGGTTGAAGAATTGGAAGGATTCGGAGAAAATTGAAGATATAAAAAGTCCGGTCGAGGTGCGGCTACTTTTTCAAGGGGAAGGAGAGGAAAGGACGGTGGTGGTATCACTTTCCGTTTCCTCAGGCGGCACTGGGTTGTTAGAGCCGTATGAGGTAACGGGCGAGCGTTGCAGGCCGAGCCTCAGGTCGAAGTCGAGGTGGGATGGAAAATGGAAATGGAAGCTGCGGCAAGGGCGCGGGAAGGTTGCAGGGGCAAGGAACGACGGATATTGGATCCGTAATCTAGAACCACTTGGCACCTCAGGTCGAGCTCAAGATGAGGTGAATATAGACCTGAGGCCTATTCGGGGCCTGGAGCTGTATTCGGATGAGGTGGCCGTGGGAATAAGGTAGCACCAGACCAGAAGCGGTGACTGCTTGAAAAGGTATCTGGGCTGATGATACTATTCGTCTTTGATAAAAGCAGGGGTGAAGTGGAAAGAGAATTGTTTCGTGCCGTGCAGATAAGGCGAGTCCAGAAATCTTGGTCAAAAGAGACTGGCTGCCAGATCTAAGGTAAATCTCAGTGTAAGAGAATCGAGAATTCTGGGCGAATATGAACCGGAACAGGCCCAGCGGTGACTACCTTACATGCCTTACACCGGTGACTACACGCCTCACCTTGAGGGACCTTGCGGTAGAGAAGGGGAGAAATTTTCAAGGAAATGGACCGAGAGTAGTGGCGGATAACAAAATATCATTTCCTGCATGAATCAACCTTTGGCTACTATTACCACCGAGACTGCGACCCCGAGGCGAATGGGAAGCTAATACAATAAGACGCTGAAGAACAAATGGCTGCGAATGAAAATTTCTCGGGTTGGTCGATGGCCGCTCTCTCGCCGCTGACCGGCCGTCAAATCAATGGCAATTGCACACCGTCTGAGGTACCTTACGGAACAAGTCCGCTTGGGCTAATCAGTTCAGCTTCTTTCTCTGCTAATTTTTTTTCCCGCGCCAAGTAGAAAACAATGCAAACAAATGGGCGCCCGGCGGTCAGTGCAACGCCGTTGCAGCATCCCGTCCAGTCAACCATGCAGCGTTGTCCCTAACGTTAGTCCCCCCGGGACCCTCCCGAAAACGAACGTATCAACGTCCAATTGGCCCGGGAAATCTCTTCAACCGCCATGAATCATGGCGCGATGAGCAAATCACTGAAACGTGAATATGGAATTTGGCTTTTTGCCAGTTAGATTTGTCTAATTGATCTGATCTCATTGATGTTTATGATTGCCCTGTGGTATTGGAAACAAAAGGGGGACCCCATCATGGCATGTTGTGTCAGCTGTTTCCTCACCCAGACGGTAAAAAAGTCATGCCAGAAAATCAAGCGATTGCGCGCCTATTCTCCCCTATAAACGTATATGTGGACCCTCGTCCAAGTGGCACAATGTCTGACGTCGGAACAGCCTCATTCACCACTCTGGGCCCTGGTTTGATTGCATTCCCGTCCATACACGTCTTTTGATAGTCCCCAATCGACACGCATTGCCGAGTCCAGTGAGACAAGGGAGTACCCGACCGTTCTATCCTCTGGCTGACGCCTGTAATGCAAATCGCTCCCAGATGAATCACAATGTTCTCGGATCGCGAAGAGGGAGGGAACCCAAAGTCGTGCCACGCCGTGCTTAGCGTCGTCAATCGACGCCCCCCGTCCGGTCAAACCCCGGGCCCGACACCGTGTAACCTAAGCGCCCGTTCCCAGATTGCATCGTGAACGACGGGACACGGGACAATCCCTCTTGGGAAACATCGTACCAGAACCCTCTCCAGTCGCGGGGCCCCCACGCTCGACACAGGCCGCTGCCCAGGTGCTGCACAGCATAGCATCTTGATAGGTAGTTTCCTCTCAGCCAACCTTAATCTTGCGGCACCAATCCCGCCCGTGAACAACCTGCCAGTTGCAAAGCTGTACCTCCATGACGATGCCGATGAACCCGGCAATGCAGATACCCCCGCTGTCGCTCACACTTGTCGCACTCAAGCTGAATTCTCTGTCCTCGCTCGGTACCTTTTCCATAATCTCCGCAAAGGTGTTGACGTACACCGCGCCTCCCAGCAGTCCCTCCCAAAACACAATCAAAAACACCACGTACACTGTAGGGATAAAGTCGAACAGGGCGTGGCACGTCAGGAGCACGAGGTTGGCGATTTGCAACAGCGAAGGTAGATAGAGGCGGTGAATCCGATAGAACGGCGTCGAAGACCGCGAAATGAAGACGCCCAGCTGGTACAGGAATCCGTACATGGGGTAGAACTCGCGGAATTCCTTGAATGGTGATGAAGCCAGCGGGAAGAGCAGCGTCGGCGCAACGCCCTGGTTAATGGTATACTCGGCAATGTATACCAGCAGCAGCGGCAACATATACGGGAAGAAGAGTGCCTTTGCCCTCTTCAAGTTATGTTCGAAGCTATGCGCATCAGCATGTTGCACCGAATACGCTGTCGAAGTGGTCGCGGGCCCCGGCGCAAGCAGAGCCGACGACGCCGCGTTCTGCGACAGCTCCTCGACGTCCTCCTCTTCCAAATCCTGCTCCGGAACGACCGTGTATTCCTTCCGTCCCGCCTTGAGCGGTCCCTTGGGCAATATGACGAAGAAGCTCACAAACATGATGGACGGCAAGCACGCAGAGAACAGCAAGCTATTCCTCACGCTGAAGCCCCACCACTCCGTGAGCACCACGTAGAGACCCGCTCCGACCAGACCCGCCGCGCCCGTCCCGCTGCCCCAGCCCGCGAGGCTCATGGGGCCGTAGTAGTGCGTCAGCCCGAGGAAGCTGAGCTCGCCCCCGCCGGAGCTGAGGCTGGCGATGACGACGCCGACCATCTTCACGGCGACGGATTTCGTGGGCGGCGTGAGAGCGACAAGGAGCATACCCGAGCACGAGAGGGCGATGAGAACTAGCACGCGCAGGGAATAGGGCACACGGTGGATGAAGTAAGGGGCGATCAGTTTCGTGAAGAAGGAGGGGAGGACGTCGGCGAGGAGGACCACGCCTTTCGGCACGGACGAGCCGACGAGGTCTTGGGCGGCGGAGAGGATGATTACGTAGAGGACATTGTTGATGAGGCCTACCCTACACGTCAGCACATATAGACAGACACAGCATAACCAGGCCGAGAAAGCGCACCGAGAAGCCAAAAGGCCACGATCACCTGAGTATCAGCATTTCGAAAAAGGGCAGATAAGCGGGCGCGGTACATTGCCCAAGACGACGATGGCGATCCAGGCATGGGAAGAAGGCCGGAAGACGAAGGCGATCGGCCGGTCATAATTCCCTCGCACGGCGCTGTTATTGAATCCAGAAAGAAGCCGGCATCGAGAGAACGGAGAGGCGGGTCAAGTCGTCTTGTCGCGAGCGGTCGTTCTTGGGAAAGGTTTAGGTTTGGGGCGTTGGCATCCGACGGTTTTGATTGTCGGACGTCGGTCACAAGATAACCGCTGTCTCAGTGCCTCAGCGCAGCACTCGACCGGGGTTTGCCGCCCACGTGCCGTGCAGCCAACCACGTTCTCGGGATAAGGTAGCCGAAGGTGAGAGAACCCACATAACCTCATGGACTGGGAACCCTCGTCTTAGCCACGCGACTCGGGCACTGCGCTGTGACGTCGTTGCGTTGAGCACCTTAGGTAATTACACTGCTCACCTGAGAGAAACAGCTCTTGAAGAATTTCGGTCACAACCTCATGAGGTGGATGTGCAAGGCAATGGAATGCAACCGCATCTTTTTTCTTCGATTATTCTAGCCTCTATTCCGAGGTATAAATCGGGTATCTCCTGTATCATCCATCATAAGCACAACATCGCCTCTGCGAATCTGCTGCCTGCCGTATGTAAGTGCTCAAACGTGATCAACCCTCGCTTTTTTACTTCAACTACAGTGTTGTATAGTGTTGTGATTCTTTTCCAGTATTTTCTCATCGAAAGAAAATCACGCATTCTATCACAAACCTGGCCCTTCCCAGGCATCCCTATTCAACTTCATTAGATAGGACTGCTTGTGAGGGAACGCAACCTCGCGTTCTTTGGCAAAGCCTGCATATTGAAGATGTTGCAGGAACCTGTGACTCGAGAGTTAGCCTGCTGTCTTCGTCCTCTGTATTCTTCGAGCGTCTTACCTCGCGTTGTCTATCCGTGGCTCCAAACAAACATGCATCGTGCGATAGTCGTCAGTAAGGCACCAGTGCACCAAGCTGGTCAGCCACGCCGGCACCCGTCCTCGAGCCCACTCCTCGCCAACAAAGACATGGATGCCGCGGTCGTAGTCCCCAGCATCGTTACCCAGCTTCTGGCCCAGGATATCCTCTTTGACCCAGTAGATCTCGAAATACCCAAACGGCACTCCGTCCCACATGCCAATCACCGGGAACGAGTGCTTGGAGCTCAGCGCATTACTCAAAAAGTCTGGCGAGTAGTCTCCCCAGAACTTCTGTACTCGCGGGTTCGCCAGCCACGACTGCAGCAGCTCTGTGTCAGATAGGCTGGCGAGGTGGCTATTCTCGACAGGCTTGGGGCCCAAGGGTCCAAGGTAGGGGACAGGCTCTGGTGTAAGTGACGCCACACGGAACGACAGATACTGCCCAACGCTCGGGACATAGCGCGAGTAAAAGACTTCACCCATCCGGCCTGGTTTCCTGCGGATGGGATGGCGCATGCCATTGGTGACCGTATACATCAAAGGCGCCGGCGGATAGTACGTTGGGAGATGTGAACTGGAATAGAACGGTCCAATAGGGAAGTTCAAGGTCGTGACCATGGTCATCGGCGGTGGCCCTCCGGGGAGGTCAACATCGAAACGGCCCCCCGTGGATTGGTGCGGAGAGTGTATGGGTGTGTGATGCCTTGAGTGAATCGACTCGGTTCGAGCAGGCGAAGTCGGCCTGCTCCCGTTTGGCGATTCGGGGTTCGTTGTCGATGCGGCGCTGGTACGCTGCAGGGTGAACAAGAAGAGTCGCCCCGGTATCTGCCAAAACATGCGCCGCGAGACAAACATCTGCGACCATTCCTCGCCGTTATCCTTGAGATTCGTCCCCACCGCGGAATCCAGCGATGCAATGAGTCCCATGCGCTCAAGCTTTGGGATAAGGTTCCTACCACGGAGTACTCCATCACGCTTGATATTGATGCGCCACTCGCCCTTCGGCCGCGCTTCTTCCGGCGTTAGCCTCGATGCATCGGTCGTGAGGTACGGTGAGGGTTGTGGTTGATGGAAGTACCAGTAGAGCGTCACCCAAAGCATCATGGCGATCTGGCGTGTCGGGCTCGCGGCGGGCTTAAACTCGGTGCTCGAAGGCTGTGATATTGATGAGATGAAGAGGTTATCGCCCTGTAGTGTAGGCTGTTTGAAGCTGTGTATGTGTCGCCGGTGGGCGCGGTCTTCCTCGCCTTGCTCACCGTCGACACCGTCCACCTCGAGTTGCACATCCTCGGTATTTAGCACGATCGTCCAGCCGATGGGGAAAGGGTTGTTGTGTGTGTTGAGCTCGTGGGATTTGAAGAAGAGGCCTGCAAAGACTGGCGTGACCGTGAACTTCTGTCCGTCTGGGAGGTGGATGATTTGGGGGGCCATGGCCGTGGGGTGGAGCTGCACCGCTTCTATCCGTACGGATACCTTGGTAGCCCGAGCTTTAGCTTCTGGTGGAGGGGGACGAGACGGAGGGCGAGCACGCAACGCAAGGCAGGGTACCTACGGAGTACTGTGTAAGGACCCGGCGAGGTAGGACAGACAGACAAGAGAGGAAGGCGTCTCTGTTGTCCAATCGGGGTAGGGTCGTGGCCGTTTGGGACACGCCTGGAAGAGGAGAATGGCGGGGTCGATCAGCTTCTCAGAGTGATATCGAGCGGTCGTTCTTTTGTACTCGATCATCGGACGAGGCCTTGATGTCCCCCAGTTGATGCAGAGGTATCGTCAGATCTGGGGATGGATTCTAGTGCCCCTTCTCGAAGGTCAACGTAGCCATTCAGTGAAGGGCCATATGGAAGGTTGCGAGATTCTGACAAACAGAGACCTGTTGGTTGGGTGGTGGTGTGATGATGCGTTAACCAAGTGGGGTGAAGCTCTCCCGTTGGCGTCGGCGGCGGGGATGGTGGTGTTGGGCAGTCTGGTGTCTGGGCGCCTAGGGGTCAGAGCTCCCCTCCCTTTCAAGGCCTTCCTCGCTCCCTTGGCCTTGCACGCCTTGTGGAATTGGCATGTGGTGGGCCGTAGCGTTTGAAAGCGGAGCATGTCGGTGAAGCCGATCCGTCCCGTCTCGGCAGGCCTTACCGGAACACACCGAATCTGCTGTTCGGTCACCCGATGGAGCTCGATAGCTTGAGAAAATCTCCCCCCCCCCCCGACAATCGGTGGTCGGTCCCCGCCGTTTGACTCTGGAGAAATGCAACCTCACCACACGACAGCTCTCCTGACAACAGATAGATCTTCATCGGAAGGCATTCCTTCACCATCATATCCTGCATCTTCTATGCAATAGTCAGTCATGACCATAACAACTGTGGGGTTATGCCAAACGATGACAGGGCTTCAGGGGCTCCCCGTGAGTTCTCCACAATATGCTTGCTTTAAATCATGCTAGAATGTGGCTATTATATTCATACAGGGGGTATCGCACTTGAAAAACTTCTAGGAGCTTGCTATGATGCCGACTTGTTTTCGCTCCCATCATCAGAGTTTTCCTTCTTCTTGTCTTCTTTGCGTTTATGTTCTGCTCGCTCTTCTTCTGCATCGTCTTCGTCTTCGTCGTTCCTGCGTCTACCCTTCTTCTCTTTGTCTAAAACCTCCATGACTTCCTCGCCGCCAAGATCCTTTGTTTCGTCCCAATCCACATCGTACTCAGTCGCCACAAAGCGGACCTCGCGGCGCAATGAGTTGGCTTCGTGGACGAGCGCTTCCCAGGCTGAGGGATCGAAGCCCCGCTCCTGATACAATGCCTGCTGTCGCTTGGAGACGGTAATGTTCAAGGCGGCCTTGTAGCTAAGGTCTTTGCTGATGTATAGGAACCACAGGTAACCGCCCATGATGGTTGTCAGACCAGCCAGGTACGTGACTGGCTCGACAAGATCCCAGCCGGCATCGGTGTGGAAGGTGACATAATACACGACTCCCCACCAACCGGCGAGGAGGCCGAATCCTCCCTGTGCCATGCGATGTGCTCCACGGTGCGCAAGGGTATCGCATTCTTGCTTGAGCTTCGCTAACTCTTCGACACGGCGAGACATTCTCCGCAATCGAACGCGCATGTAGTATGTGCGGTCATTGAAGCTCGGCACAGCTACCCGCAACTCTTCTTTGTAGCCCTCGATGCCGATTGCAAACTCTCGACCGCGAGCAGCGTCTCTGATGAAGTCGCCAACCTCGGTACTGCTGCTCCATCTGACCCAATTGGTCTCATCGCGATCCTTCTTTGGGCCCTTGTGGCCTAGACCCGAGTAAGAGGCGACGTTGCCCTCCTTCTTCTGCGATGCGCTCTTGTCCTGTTTGTCATCCTTGTGGTCTCCCTCTGCTCGGAAGTATATCTTTGGGATTCGCTCTCGGCGACCATCGTCGATGGGTGGGATTTCAGCCTGGAGGAGTCTTTCGAGGTAGGACAACGGCTGCTGAGGGTGGACAAGGAGGGCAAGCGGGGCGATTGAATCCCTGTCATCGTCCTTGTTATCTTTGGAGGACTGTATGTTCCGCGCTTGTTCAGCGTGGAAGGGCAACGGTAGGATGAGCTTCAAGAGCCTCGTTGGTGTCGTGAGTAATCGTCCTGGCTAACAGTAAGTCATCATGCACTGCACGTGTGCTCGGGCGCAGGGAACATTAGAGCTGGCATACCGCGAGTCTTGTCGCCGTTTGTGGGATCTTTGCACAACTCCCGCTGTTCATTCTCGTCTCCAGCGCGGTGCCATGGCCTTTCCTCTTGCTTTCTCAAGGCAATCTGCTCGTCACGCTCCAGCTTCTCCCTTTCCTCCTCCTTGGTCATGTCATCTCGGTTGGTCTTCTTAGACTTGGCATCATCGAGGTCGCCTTGCCGTCTCGTGGAGAGCCCAAACGCGCGTCTGTTCACCGGGATCTGCCTTGTGACAATGCCGGGCCCGGCTGGGCGGAAAGCTTGACGCAGCGGACCATGCTTAGGGCCGAAGCTGGCAGGAAGTTGCAGGCATACGCGACGGAACGCGTAGCTCATTTTCGACGTCTGTTTCTGGATTGTAGTGTTTAGTGTGCGCTCAACTATGGAAAAAGAAGCATTTCTACTAAGGAATCTAGGGAATAATGACAATGAACGGCACCGACAGCAGAAGAAACAGCTCTCTGCCGGGCCAAATATCGTACTTTCCGCCAGTTCTTAGCCGGACCTCGTCCACGCTGCCATGACGTCAATGGGTGATGACTGTCACGTGTAGCGTGTGGCTGAGCTCCCCGGAGCTCCAGCTCCAGCTCGCCAGCTCCAAATTTCTTGGCAGATTGCTCCAGCTAAGCTCCGTGACATCTCCACCCCGGTCTCGCCCCAAGCTGGGCCTCGAATCTCGCAGCAGCATCATCATCGTACCCCAATTTCCGTGGGAACTAGCCCATGCACTCCAATCAGTACTATCTTGTGTCATGCCGGCAGCATCTAAACCTGGTTTCCGGACATGAGGTCTTGGCGATCAACTGAAGGTCCTATAGGCTACAGCACCACCTAGGTACCTTACATCATCAAGGAATGACAGTTCGAAAGGTCATGCGCTCAACGGCTTGTGGGAAATTTTATCTATTCACGTTGATTGCACTCAGACATCTACTCGAACCCTTTCAGCTGATGTACCGCCATTTCACGCCTTCCCATCCCTCTCTCCTCCGAACTCGGACTCCATAACCCTCGCCATCGTTGACGGGTTTAACAGCGGCTCCAGTCATCGAACACCCTGCTGCCTTGGGCACCTTGGCCGTCGATTCCATGTTCCCGTCCAAAGGCACGACCTCAAATCCAAGCAATAGAGACGCCACGAAGCCGAGATTTTCTGCAAATGCGAAGTTGCGTCCAGGGCACAAGTGTCTCCCACCACCAAAGGGTATGAACGCCGCTCGCTTCAGCTTCTCCGTCTCGGCATGTTCCTTGCCAGTCTTAACGATGAACCTGTCCGGATCAAACGATTCCTGATCCTGTCCCCACGCTTTCTCTAAGCTATGGCTGACTTGAGATGACATCTGCACGTTGCAACCCTTCTTGAGGAGATACGATTTTCCACTACCATCCGATATTGTCGTATCCTCCAGCACGCGTCGGTTGCCCATTCCCTTACTCGACACGCGAATCGCCTCGCGGTAGCAGCGCACAAGCAAGGGACAACGGTCGTCAAGGGTGCCAATGTCAAGCGTGACCTCCCCGTCACCACCATATTGCGCCACCGGCAAGAGTTCGTCCCTCAAACGTGCCACAAGCTCGGGACGGCTGAAGACGTGCACCATGAACCAGAACAACGTCGGGATGGTGTTGGAGGTGGCCACGTGCAGCAGCGCAACCTCGAATATTCCCACCTCCTTGCCCGGGATGCCGTGTTTTCGCAAAACATTGGCCCGGTTCCTGACGATCTGCGATGCATCCTTGTGCGAATCCCCATCGCTTCCGTAGTACTCGCCCAACGCCGCTTGAAGCCGTGCTCTCGCTTTGAAGCATCTGCGTGCCGTGATGGACGGCGCGATGCCCAGCATCAGCACCGGTAAGTCCGATTCGAAGATCCTGTACTTGTATGAGGCCTCTTGATCGTTGCACATAGTGTTTGAGATACTACTCACCAAGTATCCTTCATCAGGCTTGCATCCTTTCTCAGCGGATTTCCAGGCCCGTACAGGGCCTCGGTAGTCGCCATAGTCATCAAGTCCCGCACCCATATCCAGAAATTAGTCGCCTCGTAAGCTTCGTTCCCTTTGCAGAGGTCGTCCAGCGCATCAGACACGTATGTGAGGGCGGAAGCGTTCATGCGATGCAGATTGTCTGCCGCCATGCCAACATGGATACCCTCAAAGAACTCAGGCAACAAGGCGCCGTTTTCAATAATCTTGAGCGTCTCGTTGTTGAAGCCCAATTCCCTCTGCGCAAACTCAACTGCGAATGGCTCGAACGACAAATTACGGTTTCGGTACACGGCCTGGATTAAAATCGGGTCCCAAATGCCGTACATCTTGCCGTTCAGGATAGGCAGCGTCGCGATGTTCATGTTCCGGCGTCTGCGTCAGTGTCAGCATCACGTCCCTGTCTACGTCTTTCTGGATGCGGTTGGACCTACTCCAAAACCTTGAAGTACCGGCTCTGGTGTTGGATCATGCCTATCAAGTGCCCGATGACGGGGATCCGAGACTTCATCGCTGGCGGCTCGCGGCTGTCGAGCTCAGGCGACGAGAACTTGTGGACAAAGATCGCAAAGACGAGGAGAATCACTACCGTAGCGTACGAAGACGTCGACTTTTGCACATCTTCGACTAGGAAGGCGAGGAAGCTTCCTGCTTTGGCTGTACCGTTGCCGGCCATGTTTCCGAGCCCTTGGCCGACTTGACTCGCCATCTTTCTTGGCCGTGGTTTTTGAGTGATGCTCAGATCTGTGAAGACCAGCTTGGTCGTGAATTGGTCGTCAATCAGAGCTGCAGACCAGCCAGGGTGATTAGGAGAGAAAACGTCTCACTGGTAATCTGCTAGAGGAATATCGTCTTTACATATCATCCCAGGCAAGCCCGCCCTCAACGTGGCGCACTACACAGGTCCGGGAAAAGACTCAGAAACTAACACCAATCTGGTCCAAGGAAAGAAAAGTTGATCCACCATCCTCTGCGGGCGCGCCTGTCAGAATTTAGCGTGAATCCTCCTCAAGGGTTATCTATTTGCGCCCAAAAATCGTAGACGAGGGGCTTCATCTGGAGACCGGTTCATCTAGGCTGACTGGAGTTCGTTAGGGTCTTGAATCATTCGTTCTCCAATCAGGTCGTTGATGATACGTTTGGCCGTAAGGGGGGTTTTCAACTGTTGCCTGGTATGCCGCTATGGTCTGATTTCTGGAATGCCGCAACGGGGCGCTGGCTCTTCGGGTGGAGACATGCCGATGCATCCTCCGGGACTACTACCCCCAGGGTCCGTGGCTTGAGTAATTAGGCTCTACTGTCCCTTGATTATTCTGCAAAACATGAGTGATGTGACGATGGTTGTTGGCTATTGCAAGAGTTCTGGCACCATTTCGCATGCAAAGACTCCGGCCATGAAACCTTAATCAAGCATTGACACCACAAGACAAGTAGGAGGACATTGATCGACTTGATTCCAACCCCAATGCGACGGCAGTTGGATTTGGGCCTGTTTCTATCTCCAATCAAGTCGAGATGAGTGTCACACGTTGCTTTCCATCAGACGCAAGAAAAAGGACGTTGGGTTGCTTGGTAACCGGTTTGAGAGGTCTCGAGTGGGCTTTCCGATATGGCCAATCGCTGCGATTTGGAGATGCAAAATGATTTCTGTGTTTTGGGTGAGGTTGGGAAACAACTGGGCAAGCCACGCAAGTAAGATGCAAGGTACAGCGCTGATGTCAGCAGCCCATCCCGAGAAGGAGGGCATGGTTATTGGTACATTTGAGGTCAGCCAAAGTACAGACCCAGAGTCTCGAGGGTTCCGAGTTGTACCTTTTGTCGTGTCCTAAATTGAAGATTCGGATTTCTGGACAGAGAATTGAAATCCAAAACGAAAGAAAAAATAGACATCAAAGACATCAAAGACAGTCACCTAACAGAGGAAGAATTGGTGGAACAAAGCCGCAAAATTTTGATGCTCAGAGGAAATGCTTTGTAGGATTACATTGTCAAATATAGAGACATGACGATACAGAAGACTGAACCTAGTGCCTCGTTGGCCATTGCAGTCACTCATGAAGACAAGTGAGAACCTAGTTCAGTCTTGCTAAGAGTCAACCCCACAAAAGTCCACCAAATAAATTGTTATGGGCATATGAAAAGGTCCAGATAGAAAATGTATTGCATGACAACTTTTGCTCCAACGCCTTGATCTGCCAACCCTCATCAATTATCACCGTGCTGGTCGATTGTCAAATACCAGATTCGTGAGCGGGCACCAACCACAATGGGGCCGTCATCCTTCCATACCTGTAATCCATTTAAGATCATTGGGACACGTGGGAATCTCGGCACCAGAGATCTCGTCAATGTACCAGTATCGCTCTGCGCAGGGGAATCGCCGCTCGTAGTAGTTTGTCGGGCGACTGCACCGGATACATCTCTCTGTGCAGCAGTAGATGATGCACATCTTTGCTATCTTAAGATGTCTTTATGGAGAAGTGTTTTCACCTGTTGGTTGTGTGTTGTATGTTGTGTTGAAGTTGCTCGTGTTTGGTGATTTCTGAAGTGAGCTGGGCGACAAGTAAAGAGCGTTTAGATACACCTAGACTGGCCTGAGGCTGTTGTATAATATGGGTGCAATGTTTGTGAATACTAGACCTGTGGTTGAGACTCGAGTGTCCTGGTACAAAGAGTCACAATAGGGTCAAAGAAAGACTGTGTTCCAAACAAGTCCATAGGTCGCAATTTGTTTGGGCAGGATCGGTTGCGTTGACACAAAACCACTCTAGCCCCTTGTGTCCGTAATTCACGTATCTTAGATCTTTCTTGACAAGTGAATCGCCACAAAGAGAAGGCAGAGCATACCAAATCAATACAAAGCTACGCATTTTGAGAAATATTATGATCTATGCGTATCATCAAGTGTTCAGATACGTTAATTGAATTGCATCCCCATACTTAATCTTGATTCATGGACACTAGACCAATCTCCAAGACTTGCTGAGTCTCAATCACAGTTTAAGGTAGCTGAAGACAACTTGAATGGGAGCTCGCCTACAGCTCATCTCTCAAACATCGAGTTGCCTCCAAAGTGATTGGTGCTACGTAATTGGGCTGTACTCAAAGATACGAAGCCGCAATGCGACAGACTCAGCTACATGTGCAGGTCACCTACTACCTTGTAGACCTATACCAGTTCGGTGTTCCATTTCGCGATTACTTGATCAAATTTACTGTATACGCCGACAAAATACGCGTATACACACGAACGCCGGCAAAGAATATCGGCTAGTGCATGGCCAATCACGTTTTCCTGTAGCTGCTCAAGCTCAATTCCGTGCAGTAGTGTTGCAGTGACATTTGACTTCTTGCGGGGAACCATGTCGCCCTACTCTGCCTGTCTACCTACTGCGGGATCAGAGACAATCACGAAAACACAGCGATTTGTGGGAATACAGCTGAAAGCGACTGTTTGAAGGGTGTATTCACTCGTGAACCTACCATCGATACTGTTCATTGTCTCCAAGATGGGTTAGTTCTCATTGCACGTTGGCAGGATCTTGACATGACGTATCATCGTTCGGCTGGGTGTCTCGGCAAACACCTTCACCAACGTGTATTTAAGCTACTTACGATGTCCTCTCAAAGTTCTATCTTCTATGTTGTTTACATAGACCGGCGATTTGCTTACCTATTTCTCATCTTTTCCTCCGAGCACAGCCGCTGCATTGTGCAAAATGTCTATACCACTAGTTCTCCTCATTCTTGTGGGTAAAGCATTCGGCGACGGTCTAGAGTATAATCTCAATCTACATTTGCCAAGCCGCCGACCAGAATGGGCCGAAAGGCTTTCTCCTCACCTCGCGGCTTTCAGCATAGAGATGGACCGCTGGCCAGACTGGGCCGGCCAAAAAGTCGGCAAGCCAAACGAGTACTTCAACCAACTTCTCTCCAACCTAGGAGAAAGGACCGGTCATATGCCATTCCTTCGTGTAGGAGCCAACTCGCAAGACAGAGCCACTCTAGACCTAAGCCTCGAGGTCATGAACAAAACCTTTCCGGAACCGACTGAGACTGTCCCCAACCCAGAGGCAGACCACATATACATCGGCCGTGACTTTTACGCCTTATCGGGGAATCTACCGGCTGGAACGCCCTTCATGTGGGGTCTAAACCTGAAGTCCTTGGACCAGACTGAGACTGTTGCTCAGGCCCGCTTGCTTGCCCAGACCTTTCAAGGAGACCGGGCCAACTTGACCAAGGATGTGCGACTTGTCAATGTCGAGTTGGGCAATGAGCCTGACTTTTATGGCTTGACGCGGACGGGGCGCAATGGGCCCTATGGTGTTGAGTGGGATGTTGCCAACTACACGAATACTTGGACACAGTACGCCCAGGCAGTGAGCAAAGAGATCGAATTCGGCCGTTCTAGTTCAGATGGACCTACGCTGTCACCTGGAGCCTTTACTGGTTTCAACGCACCAGAATGGACGCCAGCAGGACCCTTGCAGCTGGGCATACTGAGTGATCCGATGATTCGAAATGCGACGACTCAGTTCTCGGAACATGCTTACTCTGGCGGCTTCGATCCACGCCGTGTTGTCAATCCCGGCGATCTGATGAATAAATTATATGTGCGCAGCAACATGACTGCGAAGATGGCCGGCATTCAAGCAGTAAGATCCGTGGGTTTGGATTATCTGTTGGTATGAGCACCCGTACGTACTGTCTCGTCTTACCAACTGACATATGAATAGGCCGAAACAAATTCTTATGCAAAGTAAGTCTCACTCATTTGATGTGGAGAATATTCTGATTTGGTGCCCTATTGATAGCCATGGCCAGCCAGGGCTGAGCAATACCGTTGAGAGTGCACTCTGGGCTGTCGACTGGCTCTTACTCGGCGCCTCTTTCGGCATACAAAGGCTTCACTTCCACCACGGTGTAGGTTTCAGATACAACCTGATACAGCCAACAAGTGACTCTGATGACGGTCTCAACATCACTCGGCCCCATATTCTTCCATCATATCACGCTTTTTTGATTGTTAACGAAGCTATTGGGAAGTCTGACGAAGCGTATGTTGCCGAAATACCAACCAGTAATTCTACTCTTACAGCGTACGGAATATGGGAGCAAGATAGACTTGCAAGAATTGTTGCCTTGAACACGCAGGTTCATCTCGGTGGACAAGAGAAGCCGACCATCAGCGTCAGTCTGAAGGGCCTTGACTCAGGTCTATCAACTAAGATGAAGATGTTGCTCTCGGACAATACGACTGCTAATGCTGGATTGTGAGTTGACTTCTCATCTGACAATGGTTTTGAAAGCTTACTGAATGTTGTGGATAGGATATGGGCGGGACAAAGTTTCGAGACTGTGTCTGGGGAGCCGGAAGGCGATGTAAGGGAAGATGAAGTCCTGAACCAGATTTTCCGTTTGCCGGCGTCTTCAATTGCTCTCTTAACGATCCGATGAGTCGACAATTTTCCTGAATCATCCTTACCTCTGTATACTTTGGGAGGTGATGGCCATAATCTTACGTGTTCGACTATATGTCTGGCAAAATACTACCAAGGTTGTTTAGAGAAGAGCCCCCGGTCACTTCATCATCCTCCACCTCGCATTGCTGGAACTTAATAGCACCCTCAAGCCAACTTCCAGGACTCCTATTACCTACATAGTCTGCCTAAATCTATCGTCTTGATTAGCCAATCCAGAACTATGCAATATCGAGATCCAAGCACGCGCTTATAATTGCAAATTAAACCAACAGAATTCCTCCCAGTACCCTTGAATCTCATCACCTACTTACCTATAGAGTCGTATCGTCATCAAAGAAAGAGTCAGTATCGTCAAGGCGTCTAACACGAAATGAAGGGACATCAAGCCACTGGTTAAACTGCCGAAAAACCCGATGTGTCTCCAATCGAGCCACCGAGACGCCCAATGCTACGTCAAAATCATAAGAGGGCTTGGCGGGATCGAGTTGATGGCCAATATACTTCGTCTGGGGCTGCTTGACAGCTTCTGGCAGTGCCTCGGGCCAAGCTTCGAAATGCTCCAAACAACAAAGACTGTCACATGCCTCATTCTGACACTGGGGCTCCTGGGTAACTACCTTCCCACGTCGGATGCCTAGGTCGCTGAGGCGCTCTACGCGTTGGGGGCCAGAGGGCGGTGGTTGTCTCGCTGGTTGAGAAGTCCAACGCGACAAGGCAGCGGTATGCGAGGCGTCGTTACATGGATGGCGAGTTGGAAAGTATGTCTCGTGGATATTTCTTGTGATTTTGCCTTTGCACCAGTGAGCCAGAGTTCCAGTCTTGGTTCTGACTTGGATATGGTTCTCACAAGGCTTCATATCCGTGACATGGCGGACTACTTTGCTGCAGCGAATACAGCTCTCACGGATTTGCTTGACCTCGCACATTTTATGCTCGGTGCTGTGTTGTGTCTGGGGATGGCGGACGGACAGACCTACGCGATTGTTGAGATTTCTCAGTGGATGGATCTTCGACACTGATGACTCTTGTGTTTGGTTGTTGTTTCGGCTGCGATGAGAATGGGGGACTATGTCTTGTTTATTTGACGGATGATGCAGCCGAATTTATGTATTATATGACTTGGTTATGGGGAAATGATTCTATTCACAACTTAGCACCTGTTTTGAACCTGCAGTCTTGTATTCACTGCCAGACTGAAAGACACAGTTGCACAAAGACTACAGGACAAACTTTAGTCAGAATAAAGAATGCACAAAGAGAAGTTTTCCAGGTCCACGATCATAACGAGTTAAACAAAGCCCTTGTCACAAATTAACCACGGATTGAAGGCTCGATCGAATTGTCCCTGACTTCCTACGGCATTTCCATGGAATTGATTCCGCCCATCTCGACTTTGGCCGGGCAGCCCAGTAAGGTCAGTCTGAGAAAGCCACAAGTTGCATATTACCATTGGAAAGATCTTCAAAATCTCGCAGTCGGCTACTTGTAGGTGGTAAGTTGGCTCTTCTTCAATTTGGAAGCTGCCTGGTGCACTGGCCCCGTGCACGCCCGTCGTTGCGTAGGCGACGGCTCAAGTCTGAAGAGGGGAGTCAGTGAACACATAGGAATACAAATCCTGCCTCATTCCTTCGCTCGGTATTGTACACAAACACGTCCATGCTCTCAAAGCCGAATCAGAGCTCACATTGGACCACACCATCTCCCACATTATAATGCCATCTAGGGTTTTCGGATGGCAGACGAAGTTTGTCTAATTTCGTAGTCAATGCGTCTTGCTGCCCCTTAAGGAGGGTCTTACTCCCAACATCCGATCATCGGATAGCGGGGGGAGGCTGGAAACCTCGGACGGTATTGCGCGAACAGGCTTTGAAAGTCAGGAACGCTTGTGCAAGCCGAACAGCAACTCACCATGTACGGCAAGGTTTGTTACCCAGGTAATTGAATATCCCACACATCATGCAGTACACGATGGATGGCTTGCGTGCCTATCCGTATCCGAGGACGAGGTTTGAGGCTTAGAGAAATGTGATCCTATTTGACGGTAATCGCGGTCTAGACCGTCTTACTCGAGAATGATATTCCAGAGTGTCTTTGAGGTCAAATATCATATATAAGACGGCGACAATGCCATTCCAAGCAGTGTCATCTGCATCTACTCTCACACAATTCGCAACCAGCCTCCATCTCAGGCAATCACTCGCTCAACTGTCATCACCATTCGTTTTCCTCTTCAGCTGCCCAAGCAAAGATCTCGGACTCCCATTAATTTAGTAACAGTCATGATTCTCAAGTGGAACTCGTCCCTCGCTTTGTGTGCCGCGTTGCTCGCTGGTGCAGTCGACGCCCAAGGGGCTAACTGGGGAGGTTTCAACACAATCCGCAACATCTGGACAGCTGGCGCATCTTACGACTATATCGGAAGTGGTGCTTTGTATGTGTCTCAGCTATCCTTTTGGAAAAAATTTCGCACAAGCTGACTGAGGGTGATGGTAGGAGCTACAGCACGACCTCAAACGGGCCGAACCATATCAACTACATCGCCAACGCACGCGGGGCAAACAATGTCGTCCTCAACAAGTTTGCATACCCCGGGGCCGTAACAGACTCTCGCTATGCGGTGCCCACACAGGTTCTTCCTGGGTTCAGTCCTATCATCAACTGGAATGATCAAATCAATGAGATCGTTACCGCTTTCACCGCAGCTCGTACGGCAGGTACTGCTTCGGCCAGGGATTCTCTCTTCATCTTCCTGGCGTCGAACACCGGAAATGATATTCTTGGTACCTACAACACCACCACTAACCAAGCCCAAACTATCATCAATTTGATCGGAGTTATCCGCACCAAGTTTGCCCAGGTAAAGAGCTACATTTATCCGCCCCTTCGACACAGCCGCTGTTCGTCATGACTTGAGAGCGAGATAACAACTGAACCAGAGGCTGACTTTGACCTCTCTCCCTAGATTTATGGCGCAGGAGCTCGCAACTTTGTCTTCCTCTCTGTCCTACCGGCGGAGCTCATTCCCCGAATTCAGGTATTGCCCCAGGCAGACAGAGACAAGGTCACCGACTTCGCAAACAACTACCGTGTAGCAGTGAACAATCTCATCACAGAACTTAGAAACAACAACACGTATCGCGGGCAGATTACCATCTTTGCGCCCGATTTCACCCAGGGCTTGAGGTCCATCAAGGCTGGCACGCTGACTACCGGCCCCACCGCTGGGTACCTTGATCGGAACGGCTATTGCGCGGACGCTCTTCCCATTGGCATTGTCGTGTAAGTAGTGAAGTGCTCCGGCACAAGGCTCGAAACATTGTTCAACAGGTTGTTTTTCAAACAAAGACGCTGACTGTCTTATTTCCTTGCAGACCTCCGAATCCTGATTACAAGTCGACCAACTGTGCCTATACTGCACGCAAGTACCTTTTCCACGACACGATTCACATTACCTCGCCGGCTCATTGCGAGTACGCTATCAACACTCTGGCTACGCTAGGCGTCACAGCAACACCGCAGCAGTTGGGTTGTCAATTCGCTTAGGGGGGCCGGCAATGCGGCATAAACATGAGGCTATGTCTGTTTAGAGCACGCTCCTCTAGCGACCGTGGGATAAAGGGTCTTTTCGTAGTGTAAATGATGTGCATATTATATCGCAGTCAGTGTGTATATTCCAAGATTCATTACACTTAAAGGGAAATTTGTGTCATTCTAGCAAATGTATCGGGATTTACCCTCATCAACACTCTCCAACGTTATAACAGTGCAAGGTGGCTCCCCTGTGTGCAGTCAGGTGCTCCATCATGGAGACCGAGCCTTATATGTCTTTCAGTCGCATCGGAATGAAATCGAGCGTAAGAGCATCACTGCAGCTCGAGACGACACAGCTTTTGAGTACGGAATGCGTGAATGGCTCCGGCCACCCACTCCGATGTCAGACCATCCGACAGATTGGCTGCCCAACAACGGATGAACCGTCTCCATCCTGCCCCTTACACGATTCAAGATCGGCGGAGTTCCCAAAGCTTCGGGAATGAGGCAAACTCTAATCGCGTCTCAGACAAATTGGAAACCCATCCCACCGGCAACTACCGAGTCACAACTTAGTATGCTGGGGCTCTTCTCCCGCCTTATTCTCCGCCAACTCCGTAACGACTAACAGCGGAAACTTCGTGCTAGAGCGAGACCGAGCCGGATGAAGCATCATTCTCCCTATCCACTCCACAACCCCCGTCAGCAACTCTCTTTAACCCATACTGGCATGGCCATGGCCTTGTTGTACTGACCAATTGACGAAGAGAGGAGGTCTCTACTCGATATCGTAGGCCGGTGGGATACTAAACACCCAAGTACTTATAGATTCGCATGCGGCTACAAGCGTCGCCGCTACCATCTGAACTGTATTCTGCTTGGCCCTGTACAAATCGTCTGTTGTGAAGTTCTGTTCCATTCGCTCAAGACTCTTAGTCATTTACACTCATTCTTTAACAATTCCTTTTGCGACACTCGCTCCACTTACCATGCACTTCTCTTCCTCTACTCTTGGCGCCCTCGTTGCGGTCGCGGCTGGTGCCGCCGATGCCGCAAAGTGCCCTATCCAGTTCGATGGCAGGATCCCAGCAAACTTCACACCCGCCTCTTTCGATACCTCTGCGAGTCCCTTCAACAATGGCTTTGTCTTTGGCAAAGGACTGAAGGCCAGTGATGTAGTCTCTATTCCAACAGGCCTGTCCTCGCTGGTAAGCTACGCATCGATCTTGTTTTTCTGGCTTTCTTTGACCGCTGTTCCTTAGCTCGACGGCTCAACAAACAAGCCTTTCCAAGTAAACATCGACGACAGATCCATCTTCGCCCCCACCGAGGCCAACGTGCAAACGGGCTTCCGCCGCGCAGAGATGCTGCCCATGAACAACAACGGCACCGACCCTTCCACGTCCGGCATCAAGACGGTCCACTGGAGCATGATGAAGGACCCCAAGAAGCCGCTTAACTTGACGCACGAATACCAAATGGTCTTTCTGGAGAGCTCCATCTTCAGCTCGAACCAATTTGCCCTCAAGTACGGCGATCTCATCGGCATTCACCCGGCTGACCCGGATGTTCTCCACTTGTTTGGCAACTCCAACACCAACCCGTCGCCGGAACTCTTCAAGACCAAGTTCACTGAAGGCGTCTTCCACAACTTTGCCCTGACTTTGGACTTTGGCAAGAAGTGAGTGCATGATTCTACTTGTGTGACTGTGGCCGGCTTTACTGACATTGATATCGCAGCTTGACCCAGGTGTACTACTCTCAAGGGAATGCCCCTCTTGTCGCTCAGGGCCAGCCCATCGAGAACGATATCTCGGGACAAGGACAGTTCCACTTTGGTGTTTTGAAGAAGTCGATCAACGGCACCGGTGATCTGACCAAGTCTGGTTTCCACGAGTCTGGAATCAACGAGGGCATTATTTTCGGTTCCATCTTTGAGGAGGACAGCATCGATGGCTGTGTGACCTTGTCTCTTTGATTATCAAAGGATCACCTTCGAGTCCCTGCATTCACGCAGATCTCCAGCCTTGGATTTTCATAGAATATGGCTTCCAATTCACATTGGTTTCAATTAGGGGTATACGAGACTAATTCAGTGTAGATACACTCGAGGTCATGTGCCAGATCCAACGCCAGTGCTTCCGATACTGCACCCGTAAACACAAAACCAATTCCATCAGGCCATCTATCAAAACCAATGTCCCATTTTCGAATCGCCAACCTCAAATCTTCCACTTGAGCTCCTCCAAGACCTCTCTGGCAGCCCTTTGTCCCGCAAATACCGCCCCCTCCATGTACCCATAATGCTTCGTCGAGGTCTCGGTGCCAGCCCAATGAATAGCCCCAACCGGCTTCCGAACCCACTCCCCCAACAACGTCCACATCCCCGGTGCCGGTGTTGCCATCGGACACCCGAGAGCCCACTCCTCCTCCATCATGGTGTGAAAAAAGAACTCTTCTGGGTCGAGCGCCTCAGGACCGAACGCGGACGCAAAACCGGCGAGGGCGACGGCCCGTTTCTGGTCCTTGCTGAAGCTGATAAACTCTCGCGCCTTGGTACCGACAATGAAGCCCGTGAGCTTGGCCGGGCCCCCGGACTGCGATGTCGCGTCGTAGGTCACGCTGAGAAAACCGGTCGGGTTCGTGCTCTCTCCTGTCAGGCCTCGTTCCCTCCAAAAGGGGGTCTTGTAGGTGGCGTAGACTTTCATGTAGGCTCCCATCGGCATGTGCTGGAGTAGTGTTGCCTTTTCTACCGGTAGCCTTGGCTCGAAGTCAATCTTGAGAACATGTGGTGGCGGGATGGCGGAGATGATTCGTCGTGAGCGGTATGTTCCTTTAAGCGTCCGGACAGTCGCAAGACTCTCGGTGTATGTGATACCGCGGACCGGTTCCTCAAAGCGAATGCCTTCGTCTCCCAGATGTTCTCTTAGCTTTTCAGCAATAGCTTGCCCTCCCCCCTGAATGAAATGTTGCTGAGCTCCGTTTTCGCAGCTCAGGCCTGACGTGAGACTGACCACGCCCTTGAAAAAGAACATGGCGTGAAGCATCGAGATGCAAGACGTATTCTGCCCGATCGTTCCTTCGAACGCTAAGTTGCCCAGATCAATGGTAGCTTGTGTCCAAGCCTGCTTCTTCAACCACTCATGCACCGTCATGCGGTCAAGCTCCTCCGCGTTGGGTGTCTGCCACGGCTCTTCCACGTTGACCGTCTCGCACAACTTTTCGAACCGGCGGATGAACAGACCGGTATCCAGAACCTCCCACGGCCTCACCGGCGGGATCAGGCCCGCATAGCTTCGCGCCTTGCCCCGATAAGCCAGGACAATCTTTCCCTGGCTGGGTGGCTTAAATAATGGCACGTCGAATTCCTTTGCCAGGCCGTACATGAGATCTTGCTTGTGACCGAGGAAAGATGCCCCGACATCCCAGTAGTCGCCATTGTCGAGCGGTATTGTCTTTGCGCGTCCACCGACGCGATCGCGCGCCTCGAGTACGAGGACCTTCTTTCCAGCATCCTTCAGGAGTCGTGCAGCCGCGAGACCGGAGTATCCGGCACCGATCACTACGCAATCATATGTGGGCGTGGTGTCTGGCGTATCTTCCATCTCAGATCCGCCCATTATTGCGAGTTGTCGCGATGAGCTGGGCAGAACAGTCTTTGAGAAGGACCCAAAGTTTTTCAATTTGTGCCAGACCGCAAGAAAGTTTGGAGCTTTCGCTCACGGAATGCGTAGTTCTTAACCTTCTCAGTTCTTCGTCTGTACTCAAGTACTCGTCCGATGATTGCTTGGACCTGCCAGCGGGAAGCTCTCTAGCGCTTACAAGAGATTGGGAGGATTGTCAGCCACGCCTGGATTGGGGACCAATCACAACGTCTCGCAATCTCCCTTGGGCTCCTTTGTCTTCCTTCGCCCTGGCTTGCTTGGCTCTTCAATCTCACATGTCTGTGAGTCTGGCTTGACTTCATAAGCATAAGCCACGGGTATTGGTTTGCTGCGTACGTGGCTGATTGGTCGCCAATATCAGGTTGCACTAGGAGGAACGATCAACTGTTACGATGATCAATAAGCCTTATGATCACTGAAGCGTGTACCATTGAATATCGGCGACGACTCTCAGGAGTTCCAAGTATGGACGAAAAGTGACGATTACAGCAAGATCAATTGTCTAAATGTTCTGTCACTAACAATTCGAGCCCCTGAGCCCCTATTTAGCATCTCCGCGATTCAAAAGCTGCACTGGTCTCTGACCTCTACTCCAGATATCAAATCACTAAAGTGCCAGCACCCGAAGCTTTCATTATAGATGTCTTGTCTCAAGTTTATGATAACTAGTATTCTATAACATTCTCGTGTATTTGCATGAGAGCGTGGTTCTGAATTTCCTGTCTTGAACCTTACCTTCGGGTCATGAGCACAGCTTCAAGCGTTGCAGTCTTGAAGCAAGGCCAAGAAGCCCTTTGTGTACTTGATGGGCTTCATACGTGTGCCGTAGAGCCATCTCCCACGGATCTGGGCTGAACATTTCCTTCATCCTTGGCCGGCTCTATCTCCTTCTTTGCAATCCATTCCTTCCATTCATGCATCTCGCTCATGCCCTGGTACGGAACCGGAGGGTTTTCCTCCTTCGGCTTCTCCTCGCCTCCCGATTCTTTACCCTTACATTGCTCGGAACCCTTGCATCCACAGATACCCTCGCAGACAGGCTCCATAATACCCTCGGGTATCAGCTTCGAGATGAATGGCATCTTGAACCCGACGCACTTCTTGAAGCACTCTCCATGATCCTTGTGACCCTTGTGACCCTTGTGACCCTCATGTCCCTTTCGCCCCTCATGACCTCCCGCTGAGGATGCGCGTGTCCCATTTGCCTCTGCGACGCTTCTGACCCACTGCATCTTCTTAGGCGGCAGATGCTTGGTGAGATGTTTCTTGCAGCGCTGCCAACCTGGCGCCTGATAGCCCTTTGTGTCTTTTCCCCCCTGATGTGTGGGATGCTTCATCTTATGATGTGCTGACTTTGTTTTGTGATGGTGTTTCATAGAACAGGACCATTGTTCCCAGGGCGTGAGCTTGCCTTTCCCAGTATCTTGGTCATGGTCTTGATCGCCCCCTGTAGGCGGCGGAATGTTGGTGATGTTAAATGAGGTGGGCGTCTGGACGGAAGCTGTAGCCACGGCTGTTTGGGTGGGAATGGCGATGGCTGCTGCGGTAGACAGGAAGAAAACCAGGTGAAGAACCGTACGCTTCATGATGAGAACTGGTCAAGTATTATCAAATATGTGCAGAGAATGAGAAGGCAGAGCGTACATGGACAAGCAGTCAAGCACCGAGTACTTGCTTTATATCTCTCTGAACTCAACGTTACTATTTACATGGTCTAGATAAAGCCAACATTGATCCGACTTCTCTCAGCAGAGGTATTCCGTGCCTGAATGCGAGCTTTCTCGGATTTCCCCTGCACCATGCGCATTCGTAAGACACGGTCAGGTAAGGTTCAGTGCCTGCGTCTACACTCTTCGGATCTTGCCGTATGCACATCTTTCGCGATATCGGGTGAGAGGTAACCGGGTGGTATTCGGCTCAAATCGACCGTTCTGGATGTCTATTGGTAGGGCTGTCAGTTCAGTAGACATGGGATGGTTTAGCGTTCCGTATGTGCTGAGTCGGGACCTGCAGAGCTTCTGTTTCTTCTTAAGAAATTGGAGAATACGGCTTCTCTTCCTCGTGTCTGTAATTGGCAATCCAGTGAAAGTGCAGCGATTGAGAGACGGATGTGGATTCCACTGCTTATGTATTGTTGAATGTGGATTCACCTTGAGCCCTTGGGTATCCAGCATGAAGACGCCTATGCTCTGGAGTCGATTCAATGACCGACATCTGTATCGTACATCTCTTTCATGAACATGAGCCGCAACGGCAAGATCCTCTAACAGCGAGTGTCTCCGGCCAAGCTCCACCTTGGAAGCACATGGCTCCTGCCATCTCACTTCTCTTCGTCGCCTTCACCTTCACCCATCTCCTCGTCGCCATCTTCGCCATCTTCCCCAGCATCATCATCTTCATCGTCATCATCGTCGTCGTCATCATCGTCGCTCGACCCAGAGCCCTCGCTCTCTCCCTCGCTGCCAGGGTCGTAGTCCTCTTCGTCTTCATCTTCATCCTCCTGGAGCGCCTGCTCAGCCTCAAGGTGGGCTTTTTCAAGCTCCGTCATGCCGTTTGCATCCGCGTCTCCATTAGCACCAGCGTCGGCACCGGCGCCCTTCTTCTTGAGGTTCTCAGTCAGCTCCATCTTCGCCTTCCTCTGTTCGGCCATACTGCGGTCCTGTAGTCCGTGGCGCTTGACATAGGACTCGTCGATACCACCGTAGTCTTCCTGGTCCAACATGCCGAATTCAATCTCCTCGGTGGCGTCACCCTCGGTAAACACCTCCACCACGATGTTGAATGTGCGCTGCAGAACGCTTGTGTAGCTCATGGCCACAACGCGGTCGATGGGCAGAAATACTAGAGGCTTTTTGAAGCCGTAGAGAATGCCATTGGGAAGGAAGAAAAGGTATCCATCTTTGGAGCCGCGGAAGGCCTTGACGTGCACCGCCTTCTCGTTCGGTCTGTGCGGCTGGCGGACGAGACTGTGGAAGATGTTGGGGTCGGCTGCGACGATTTCGGCAGGATTGCCAGCGGAGCTGAGGTGTGTCGTCAACGCCCAATCAAAGAGGCCGCGGTAGGTGTCGGAGACTGCTGATGCAGCGTTCGCTTTTGGGCCATCGATAGTGCCGGCCTTGGGGGCTGTGGCAGGCACTGTGAATACCAGAGCTTCCTTCTCGGGTGAGGATTTCGTCGGGAGACATGTTCCACGGGGAAACAGGACGTAGTTATGCTGCACCTGGGTCTTCTCGGGTACGGGGAGGTAGAAGAGGTATTCTGAAGCGCAAGTTAGCTTGGCTGGGATGTTAGGTTCCTGTCTGATTGGAGACGCACCAATGTCATCCCAGGCGTAGATGATGCCCTCGACGGGTGCAGTGGTATTCGGTAACCGCGCGTAGAAGAAGTTCGCCGTGAAGCAGAGCTCGTACTTCTTGCGCTGGGGCACGGAGACGGAAATCTCCTTAATCACAAGGAGAACCTCTTCATCGGCAGCGTTTCCGGTTCCTATGGTTGTCGGTGCAGGCTTTGCAGCCACCCGGTTTGTGTTGGACGCCTTGAAACCGTTCGTGGGGCCTTCTTCTATCCGTCTGCGTTTTGATGCCGGTTCGGGTCCGTTGATCTGCTCGTGAACGAAACTCGCGATGTTGTTGAACAATGCGACTCGATCGGGGGTGTCTGAATAGTCGAGGGTTAGCATTTGAGAATTCAAGAGAAGAAAATTGCGCAATTGAAACAGATGGTCGTACTGGCTGCCTTTTGAATGCCCTGCAAAATGTCTGGTCGCGACTGGAAGACGGCTTCCAGCCGCTGGCTGTCAAGGCCGGCAACCATTTTTTGTGAAATATTTACTTAGTGCCCCCGGAATTTCGATGTCTCCTTGATGATGGGCTCGATAAAATCAACGAGATGGCGGCTGATTCGAAAAGTCTCGGTAGAGGAAAGCGTCCCTTTGAATGTAGTGAAATTTCCGGATTGTTTTTTTCTCTCTCGACGCGACGCCGATAAAAATTATGGGATGTGACGTGTTGAAGCTGGCCGCTGGTCGCTGAAGCGGCTGTTCCTGGTGCACTGCGGCACGGACTTACATAATGCAGTGGTTACAGGCGTACAGCAGATTTGTACGGTGAACACTCGGACGGGCAGCGCCCCTTTTTTGTGAGGGGCCACTGATTCATTCAAGTCTTCAAGGTTCCAAGAAGACAAAGCGATGACAATACTCGGCATTCATGGCCATAATTGTCAATCACCTCGAGCCCCGTGAACCGAGGTACTCTACTAGTTTGACATGTGTTTGGTCTTCCCAATGTTTCTCCGACATCTACAAATTTCAATGTAGGGTGGTCGTTTCTCATTGCCAATTCCACGCTTCCGACCAATCCAGAACCGGCTCCAAATTACCACAACCAGTGGTTGCCCCAGAACCCTACATCATTACTGTTCTTTCCAGTATCCTTACTTCGCCAGCTGGCTATAGGTTTGAGGCATATTCCAAACAAGCCCCGAAAAAAGCGAGTTGCTCATACTGCGTAGAGGAGCTCATTCAAAATAACATAGGTATTTGATTATCAGAAGTCAAGTCGCGTGGAGGGAAAAATTACAGGTGCGAGGTCAGCCTTGTCTTATCTTTCTCCTTATCGCGAGCTAAAGGAGCTTGGACCATCCTTGGGGGACTTGAATTCCCCTGGCTGCCCCTGAAAGATGCGACGTCACAGTGGAGGATGCGCCCAAGGCCCCAAATGCAATGGCACTGATTTGGCGCGCATCTTGACCCCGCGGTTTCCACTCATCTGCTAGCTGAACAGCACATTAGGTAATTTACTGCTGGGTGCCCCACAGCTTCCTTTCCTCGGAGGTCAGGCAACATCACGGGCTTTAGTCCTTCAACCTCAAGTCTTGCCAACGCCAGTTCCGCCTTTGGGGTAGGCTTCGACCACCGAACACACAACGTCACGCTGGCCCTCTCAAGAGGATCATAAACTCTTTAGCGGCATCATGTCATTCTCCAACATTTACACCCACCGCAAGGTCGCGGAAACGGCGGCCAAGGGCTGTGATGTCTGCTATCGTGCCACAAGTAGCGTCCTGGTCGCCCCCGAGAATAAGGTTAAACCCATAATCTCTTTCCTACCATGCGCAGCTAACTCGAGCTTCAGGACTTTTTCTACGTTTGCCCAAGTCATTTGAAAGACAAGAACTTCTGTTCCCCTATCATCGATAAAGAGGCCGTCGAAGCGAAGAAGAAGAAGGCTCTCGAGGACGAGGTTGCGCGTGTGAAGAAGGAGTACGAAGACAAACAAAAGAAGAAGAAGAAGGAAAAAGAAGAGAAGGAAAAGGAGAACGACAAAGATAAGGAGAAAGAGAAAGAGAAAGACAAAGACGACAAAAAGACAGAGGACGAGAAGGAAGACAGCTCAAAGGCAAGCTCTTTGATACCCGCTTGTTGCTTCTTGAATCCATCGGATAACTGGTTTCTTGGAACACCGGCTAACAAGCTTCAAGGACGGCACGGAAACGCCATCTCTGGCCGCAGAAGAGGAGCCACGCGTGTTCGCACTTCAAAAGTATGAGCTCTTTTGGCGTACTATATGTACAAAGTTGGCTTCATCTAACACGGCTTAGGAATTTTTTCGGAGCCCGAATTGAAAAGAAGCGACAAATGGAGATCGCAAAGAGAAACCGGGAACGTCTTCAGCAACCAAACCTATTCCCATCAGTTCCGAAAGGCATGCCGGGTAGTTGAGAGATATTCACTACCGAAGCCCGAAAGACGGGACCGCAGTATGAGCACAATCGCCGGTTCCGCAGCCATTTCGTGACTGTCAGTCCACTCGGAGCACATGATTCTCCATGCCACCACTCGGACCAACCTGTCCTCATATACCTACCTGTCTGTATATACCCCCAAGTCAAGATGTTAATCATGACTAGGACAGGGATTCTAAAGCAATTCCTGTCCCAATCAGTCCTGCTGCATTAGCTCTCTCTATCTGGAGTCGGCGCCGGCTGTCATCCTTTCTTGTGCGGACAACGCTTCGAGGTTGCATTCCACTGGGAAACAAGACATCATTGTCCAAGGAACAGCTCGTCATTGGTCCATTTACGTCTCTTAGGTTGCGACTGTGGTTTACCTATATGCAGGTAAGACGACCGCAGTGGCCTTGGTGGGCTGGCGAGTTGCTGGGGAACCACAAGCTGCCGTGGAGGACACCTCCGTCAGTATCCTTGGAGGCGATCATGGGCGTGTGACTATGAGACCTAGCAACTTCTCACTGGCCAGGCCAAGGATTACTCGAGAGATCCAGGGCTTCGATCTGGCGCGGAGGATCATAGCGGGTGTTTGCCGAAGGACTAGGGACTTCCGAGGGAGAGAACCTACGATGATTCAGTTTACCCCGCTAACCTCGATACTCGAAGGATGCACAGCTGGGGTCAATTGGGTAGATTCATGTTGTTTGGGCCCTTGCTGTCGGGTGGACGAAAGAAGCCGGCGATAGGATCACGCGGACGACTAAAGGCCGAAGATGCTGCCCCACGGCGATGGAACCCTCTATGTTGCCAACAGCACAAATTGATCATATATCCTCCACTGATTTCCTCTTGGCCATCTCAATCCAGTGCATACTGCGAATTTCTATACGCCCTGATTCGTTCGAGGCCCGAGGAGAGGGGACACACGCAAAGTTTGCCTGGCACCGTAAGCCATGACGCATGTCAGCACTAGGCCTGACAAGGCACTTGAGTGGCGTGAAGTAGACAGCTGGAGTTCCATGAAGCAGCAAACGAGGATGGCACAGGCCGCCCCAACCTGCAGGAAATGGTGTTGATGGTGGCATCTTCCCGAGACACTACTGGGAGACTGGGATTGTGTGCTGCCGAGACGTTCATCGTGGTCCACAAGGCCAAAGAAACACCCACGACACCATGCGGTGAGGTAGGCGGCATGCGTCTTCGTCCAAGAGAAGATTAGGGCTGACACGGACTGCTGGATCCGCGTGCTACCCGATGACAATCGGATGGCGATCAATCGACACGCCTTGGTGAGCACTGCTGCGAAGAGTTCCTGTTTTAGAAGTCTCTCCCGAACGCTTGGTGCATATCGCAACTAGCGCGTTAATACGTCTGCTAAATCCCTCTTCAATTTACTTCTTCATGATTCGAGAAGCCGTAGCTTAGCTCATGTTCGACAGGCGAATTAACAGTTTATGAACATTGAAGGGTGTGATGAGGCTCCTACGAGGCCAATTCTGACTCTCTAGCTGGGCGTGGCTTACACAACGCCAGTCCCCCATATTACCGGCACTTCCCAACCGACAACCTGCTTATGAGGTTTCAGTCATCTCTCCGTAAATCCTCGGGGCATGGAGAAATGTATCCCTGCGATTTGCAAAACCATGACAACGGTAAGTGCCGCGAGTGAGCATATACAGGATCAGGGCAATTTGCTTATTCGGGGAATACGAAACGGAGAGGGCCCAAAGCCGCTCAAACCAACGTCGTCTAGGGCTTTCTGCCTCGGGCGGCCGCCACAGACATGCATAAGCACGCTGACATCGGCAAGGGGCAAGGACAAGGGGCAAGGGACGTGGGCTCATACCGTCAACGCTGCAGACGAAGATAGAGGCGGGATTCTGCAAGGTGCATGTAGGCACCATAAGTATGCCAACTGCATGGTCGCAGAAAGCCTTCTGGTTTGAACCCCCAGGTCCAGGTCCTGACTACAGGGTAGCAAACAGGCCAGGCTGCATGAGATACACAGCTACATGACAGGGCCGGTGCTGTGCCTCTATTCGGCGCTCATTTGGTACTGAACTGTTTGATCCTTACTCGAGGCAACCCAGATAGGCAAATTCAGTGGCTCTGGAGTAATCAATATCATTTCAGAACTGCTTCATGCCCCGCGCGAAAGCTTCAAGCCTTTGGTCTCTTATGACTCAGAATCGCTACTCAATTGGTCAACAATTCATAATCTGTCCTGGGTTAATGATCAGCAAAGGCTTGATGGGACTTTGGGAGCCCTTGTCAGCCCGAGCCTTTGTCGGACACAGCCAGCCGAGCTTAGCCACCGGGGTTGCGGGCGGCACTTGATGCTGGTACATGGACTAGTCAGGCAAACTACCTTGGATAGTGCCAGCCTTACGCCTGTGTGGTGGTCTGGACATGGTGGCATGGCCATGGTTTGGCGGAAGCCTCGTGTGGCTTTTGTTGCCTTTTTAGCTCTATCACCGAAGAATCCTAGACCGTGGTTGGATGAGAGCTCGAAAAATCCTAGGTAGTTCCTGGGCCCAACTAACACCCTCAACGCCTGCCAAGTTTGACAAAACTTTGGCAAGTCGATCACCGGTGGCTTCTCCAGCATAGAGGTGGGCTCTCCTGTGACATCAAACTCTACATACGAAACCTTCACACAACACCCCTGGGCGATGCAGACTTACAGGAGGAGTATTGCCCGTTGCAGGAGGGTGAACTAGAGTTGGTGTGAGGCTCACACTCTTTCCCTTCTAAGCTCTATGCCATCCCGTCCACTTCCCGTACCCAGCTGAGATAAAAGTTGCGCAACAGATTATAGCTCTTACATGGTATCAACAAAGATTGCATTCGGGTGAGGGAGGGGTGAGCCAAACACGATCCTTCACGCCATAGGTGTGTCTACATCTGAGAAGCTCGCGCCTCGGTGTCGAGGTAGAGTGCATGGCGCATGGCACGGAGGGGTGTAAGTGCCATGCAGCATCATGATGAGTGATTGTGAGGAAGACAGGGGGCGGAAGAGAAACGAGAGGGCGAGAGGCAGAGGAGGTACGAGTGAACTCTAGCGGTCACTCTTATGCGGGAGTGTGTGCTGATCATTCTGCCTGCCGGAATTTCGGATTTACAGGCTGACCCGTTTTAACTGTGAGAGAGATCTTGGGTGCTGGGTTGAATCGCTGGAGGTACATGCTCACAGCTGTTTGCCAGGGGGCTGGGAGATCTGATATCTTCATCCGAGCTCGTTGTTGTCATTAGGCCTGTGATACTTAGAATCCTCGATATATGAATGGTCAGAACGTCATAATTATCAGATCTTTTACTTCCCTTCAACGCCAAATGACTTATGGTAAGCTGGATTCTTTACCTCCTTGGACTCAACATCATCGTTAACTCTTGTAAACTTGAGCATAACAGCCCCTGAAGCGGAGGTCTTCCTGAAGAACACAAAACACGCCGATGGCTTAATTTGATCTCACGGTATTCAAGAGGCAACCTCTCGAACAAATACGCCACTTCTGCTTGTTGCCGTCCAAAACTGCTGGGATCCAGACGCCTGCTTTAGCGAGCATCTCTGCTTACAAGCCACTGTAACTCATTGGATGCCTCGGACTTGGCACCTCGGAAGCCATCCAAGTATCTCACAGTTCGAGCCAGGGTAAATCTTACACTACATATAGACAAAGGGGAAAAATTGAGCTGCGCTCGATACCGGGGATCAGAGGCCGGCATTGGTGTGGGTTAGGGCTGTGGGTGAATCACGGCGGGTGACAGGGCTCCGATGCGGTTTCGTCGATCGTGGTTTCCACATCTTGTCAGCTTGTCAGAACGATGGCGCCGGGTCTAGCAGAGGAGGATAGTAGGCATGCACATCTACTACCCCTCCTTCGATCTGTCGTCACATATTCTACAAGCCAAGACGGCAGTGGGATTGTGATAGCTCTTCCTCGCCGTGACTTTGCTGACATGAGATTTCGGTTGTTTCATGATAAGAATGTAATCATTACGCGGCATGGCATATCGAAGCGCTTGTGACTGGGCATGAAACAATGGCGATTATGTCTTTCTTTTGGGGTGCATAGCCTACCATGTACCTCACAGGAGGAGAACCAAGATTGCGTGGTCGACGGAGGGGATATCTTACGTGAGAACTCTATCCATCGCCCGGCTTGTCAGTCAGCCACAAATTGCTTGAGCAAGTAGCGATGTTTGTGTGATGTCGATCACAAGACCTTCGTTGTCTGTATGTGGGCTTTTTTGTAGAGGCACAGGTATCATGGATGCTGACAGCTTATTTGTTACAGCTCAGGGCTCGCTCAGTTGATGTGATCGTGACACAATGGTGATGAGGCGTCAACCTGTGGAAATGACGACGCAAGCCAATCAAGTTCAGCTTGTCACACCTTGTATCTATGGCCATCGGTCGACATCCATGTTTACCCATCGTTTCGAGAGGTTGTTATCAGTTTTCCTGAAGTCGCGCGCTTCGTCACAGTGATGTGTGTAGATGATATGAGCACGTTACCTTAGCCACGTATGATGAAAAATATAGCCGTTGCAAATCCAGCTCAGGGATTTCCGAGTGACGAGTTTGAGATATGGCAAGCATTCGTCTTTTCTTTTCTTAACGCAGTAGCGACTTGTAGACGGGATGCGAAATCCTTCTTAACGAGCGTTTTTGAAGCCCCAATATAGTCGATCTCTTGAGTTGAGAGATCGTTTCGCGCTGAAGGACAACATGATATCTCTGATTTGAGGATGCGATATCAAGGAAACATATTATAGGCTCATGGAATTAGGGCTATAGCCTATATAACCGAGGGTAGAACTGTATATTTCATTAATGGAACTTGATGCTGTAATTTTAGCCCTGAGGTATACTTAGAGGCTTTATCTTCCTGAACTGCTGCAGCCTGCGTGCTGTAACTTGATATTGAACAACCCGAACGGCTCTCTAGTTCTAGAGGTCAAAGCTTGCTACCACGTATCACATGTTGAGTTCAATAGTATTCCAAGTAGACAGCTTGGTCAATAGCAACCAGACAGTCGGTAGGTCCAGTCGGTGACAGCATCAACGGCTGAAGCTTTGGTGCCAAGTGGAGACACAAGTATGCTGCGAGACTGCATCAAAATGAGCAGCTAGGTCAGCTAGATACGTATTAAGAGAGGTCAAAAATACAGTCCTCGTCAAAATTTGGAATTACACCAGGGGGCTAGAGACCGAAGAGATGGATACCCACAGCAGCTAACCAGATTTACTGACATCGAGCCTTGAACACTGCCATCGTGAATACGTTGAAGAGATAGATATTTGCATTAGAAATACATGAAGAAATCAAATCCACCTATTTATTCAACTCTCAAGGTAGCCTGAGCTTTGAAGTTCCTGCTGCTAGAGCCAACGTAAATCGTGTACTCTCCGCTTTCAAGCTTCCACTCTTGTCCGACAACATCCCAAACACTCAGATCTCTCCGCCTCAGAGGGAAAGACACGTCAACTTTCTCTCCAGGATGGATCATAACCTTCTGGAACCCACGCAATTGCTTGACTGGTTCCCCGGCTGCTTCAGGGAAGGAGATGTACATCTGAGCTACTTCGGCGCCTTGGAGAGAACCAGTGTTTGTGATGCTTGTAGAGACAGTTACAACAATGTTCCAGAGGTCCTCACGACCACCGACTGCCTTGTCTCCCGTCGCGAATCCACTAGTAAGATTGGAGGAGGCTTCAGCCTTGACATCGGAAGAGTATTCGAAAGTGGTGTAAGACAAGCCGTATCCGTATTCGTACCGAGGCGTGATGTTGTATTGGTCAAAATACTTGTAGTCAATATAGTTGCCATCCGAATAATCCAGGTCCAGCTCCGTCTCACTAATGATTGTGTCTGGGTTGTAGTCGCTCTCGTTTTTAGCAATGGTGTGGACGAGTCTACCAGAAGGGTTGACTACACCGAAGAGAACATCATCAATTGCGTTCCCGGATTCTTGACCTAGCGCTCCAGCGTATAGCACACCGGTGACGTTCTTGTGTTCAACCCAGGCATCAACTAAGCGGGGACCAACAGTGTTGATCACCACAATAGTGTTGTTACAGACATCAGCAACGGTGTTCACGAGCGTGTCTTGGTCAGCATTGGTCAACTCCGTGCGGTCGGCACCCTCACCGCCCCAGGCATTGAGGAAGACAATGCAAGCATCCGAGTCCTCGGCTACACCAGTGGTGGACTCGGTGAGCTCGGTGCCGGATCCCTGCATGCCGCTGAAAGACGTCTCGGAGGTGTCATTCAGCCACCATCGAAGCATGAAGCCATCCTTGGCGGCACGCTCGTTGAATAGCTGAAGAGGCGTGGACAAATATGCCAGCGAACCCATGGCGGATCCTCCCACCACAGCCATGTGGCCTTGCATTGTCGAAGGCTCGCCATCATAAACGCCAAGAGCGGTGTTTGCACCCACGTATCGGGGGCCAGCATGGGATCCGAAGATACTGATGCTCGTCTTGTTGACCAGCGGTAGCGCGCCGTTGGTGTTCTTGAGCAAGGCGATAGACTCAGCAGCAAATTGTCTTGCCATGGCGCTATGATTGCCGCGGTTGTCAATACGGCCCGTTACGCCTGCCAGGCTAGGATACCCGTCATCTTGCCCCAAGTGGAAGTAACCCATCATGTTACGGATCGCCATGTCGTCGAGTCTTTCAGAGGTGAAGCTGCCGTTGGTGAGTCCCACGCCCAGCGTCTCATTTGACCAGTAACTGCTCGAGGCGAGATCCATGCCTGCGTTTGCGGCGTTGATGCCCGTCTTCTGAGCGCTGACATCGGCAGAGACTATGCCAGGAAACCCGAGCTCGACCTTGAGGTACTTGGCGAGGAGATCCTGGCTCTCACATGAGTATGTTCCGTTAACCTTGTTCATGGCACACATGGCGCCACCCATGCCATTGTACACGGTGTCGTAGAAGGGCCATAGGTAGGTCTCATGGAACGCCTTGTCACCGATGGTGACGGTGTAAGAACCAGAGCCGTCGGAGGAAGTCGTGCCATTCGTTGTAGTATTTGTTGATGATGCCTGGCGAGCCGTCAAAGTCGAGTTGGTCGATCCACCAGGAGGAGATCCGCCTCCTCCTATTCCGCCGCCACCAGAGCCAGTGCTCATACGATTGGTCTCTTGCTCGTTGAGGATAAAGTGCTTGGCACTGGCCGTTACACCAGCAGACGACATTCCCTTCACGACTGCACCAGCCATAATGCCGGCCTGATAGCTATCCACGCCGTATGTCTCACCGGAACGACCGCCCCAAGCTGAGCGTCCAAGAGGCTCCAGTGTAGGTCCGTACGCCATATTGATACCCTTGCCCTTAAACTCCTGGCCAACGCCATGTCCCTGTCCCTCTGCAGCTGCTGTATCCCATGTCATAGCCATCGCCAAACCAGCGGGCCATGTCGTGACGTAGAAGTAGGTGAGAGGGTTGGTAGCGGAGTCAAGGTTGTGCAATGCGGTCCAGTTGCCTCCATCACCACCGGCAACAATGGAGATCTTCTCCTCGGTTGTGAGCGAGGATACAAGCGCTGATGCCTTGTCATAGGCATCTTGCCAGTCTCCGAGCTTGACTGTTAATATGTTAGTAAGCGTTTGCTCGTCATCGAGAAAGCAAAGTCTATGAAAGAGACATACTTGTGCCTGAGCTCAGAAGCTGCTCTGTGTAGTTGGCCGACGCGTCTTCGGCCAAGGTGCCAGTCACGAAAGTGAGTATAGCTAAAGCGGTCGATGGGCGGTACATCTTTGGAAAAGGTGCTGTCCCACCGAAGAAGAAAAGAAAGAGTGACTCTGGCGAGTTGAAGATGCACGTCCTTGATTTTACCAAACGAGTGTCTCAGAGACAAAGCAAGAGAATGGACTAGGCGATCACCACCAACGGGTCAGTAGCTATAACCTATTCAGAATCCGAGCTCAGCTCTGTAGTTTGTATAGACAACAGCTGCCAAAACTCAGCTCTTATAACAACCGCCACGTTGACTCTCGTCATATATCGGTGTTTCTCCGGCCCAAGAAGTCATAAGACATTGGGAAATCGGCAAAAAGTGGTGCAAAGCTTACGACGAGCCATGTCCACAGCCTGGTTCGTGGCCGGATTCAGACGCCGGGGGTTCAGTGAGCATGTCCGTGGCATGCCGGCGCGGCTACAAAATCCGAGGCTGCGAGCTTGTATGCCGCCCAGGTCGGAAATTATGCGCTTGTTCCGTCGTGTGAGAAAGATGAGTAGACTGCGAACATCGGGCAAGACAGGTATGAGTGACCCGAAGAACGAATGGCATGGACAGCAGCAGCCCATCACCGTTCCCTCAAAGATCCATTCTAGTCTCCGGGAGACGCGTCCTCAGATGTCCAGCATCCGCTTGTCATCCAACCAAACAGAAACGCCGAAGACTCGATGAAAAGAAAACCACGCATTGCGGCTTGCGAAAGGCTTGAACTCCGCGCCGAGAAAAGGGGCGGCAATTCACGTTTGTGACGTGGGTCAGCCCAATGCCGACACCGATATGTAGATCCGATGAAGAGCCTGGGCGATGGAAACAAGACGGAGCCAAGAAACCAATGCCATTGGAGGTTTCTGCTGTCAAAACGGAATATGTGGGCTCGAGTCTGAACTTCCCAGGTTTGCTGGATTGTGGGCGAACGCCGAACCGGCACTTGGGGGTGGGGTTTCCACGTGTCGGCGTCTACCGATGATCCAATGTGACCCAAAGTTGGTCAAACCGGGGCTGGTATTTCGTGGTCTCATCTCTTCACTTGAACAGGAAGCTTGTTTCTTCCCGACAACACTCAAAGTAAGGATTGGCGCTAAGCGATGTCTGCCCACTCCAATATAACTGTTGCTGTCAAGCTTGTAGGCTTTGCTAGGATCCTCGCTGATTCTTTCGAGCCCAAGGGCTTAGGAAAGCAAGCCTTGAGTCTCGGACTTTGCTATGACCCACTCATGTAGTTGGACATAAGGCGATTACTTGACAACATTGAAGTGTTCTTGATTTAAATCACGATACCTGGAAGTGTCCTGGATTCCGTTGGAACGCCCGAATGAATTCTTTCATGTAGACGACAACTGTGGGGGCAAACGGAGGTAGATGGACGGAGTAGGTAGCTCCACTCGGTCCGTCTTTCGCGGCCGGCCCTTGAGTTCTGCCATCTGAACTCTGATAAGACGGACGATCCAACAACATTTGCTGTTACTTGTCGAGCAGTACTTCATGTAGGAATCCTCAAGGACAACGAATATCTTTTCATCTTTAATTGTCGCTAGAGTTCAGGGGAAATCGGAACCACTTATTATCCAATCGAGAGTTTGGCACGGAATTTGAGCTAAAGTTGGGCTTCGTTCATAGATGACCAAAACCAACTACTCAGGTTCACAGGTACGTCAGACAGTTTATCATTAAACGCAAGACTCAAAATACTGCATGTATCTTCGTACACCATCAAATGCTTCTGGCCCACTCAGTTCTACCGGAATGTCTAGCTTATTCAAATGCAGTGTTCAGTTCTTCTCGTTGCTCATCAGTCAGTCTTGACCTATGAAGGCCCAAGTCTCGATCCCGTAGCGTCCCTCCGCTCCGAGCAAGTAACACGGATAGTTTCATTCTGTCAGCGCCCAGCAATGTCGTGACGAGGCAAATGTCTAGCGGCGATAACCCATCAACATTCCGCAAGTTAGGATCCGCACCGTACTTCAGAAGGAGTGACAATGTCTTTGTGTCCTTCGCGCCTCCTTCGACCCTGAACCTTGAGTCAACGTGATGGTGTAATGGCGTGTTTCCGGCAGCATCCGTGATATTGGGATCGACTTTGTTTTCGCAAAGGAGGAATTTCACCAGCTCTGCGTTGTCATAAGCAGCTGCTTGATGAAGAGCATGAAGCTCCGCAGCTTCGTGTGTCATCAACGAAGAGCCTGCCTGAACAAGAAGCCTCGCCATATCCACCGTCTTTTCGTGCGCTCGCATTCTACCTGTCCCTAGGAGGAAGTATAAGGCGTTGGCTCCGTGAGAGCTCACAGGGTTGTAGCCCATCGTCGTCTGCAGCGCCAGACAGGGAAAGCTGGCATTGTATTCGTCGCAATAGTCCTCCACGTACGGCAGAGAGCCGTAGTTTCCTGCATCCAATCCCGGCTGTACTGCTGCCCTCTTGTTGGGACCCACGCCGGTTTTGTGGTTCAACAAGACTTCAAGGACATCCTTTCTTCCGCACAATGCAGCCCAGTGCAATGCACTCATGTCGAGTCTCCGTGGCTCCCTCCACCAAACCTGGTACTCACAATGCTCACAATACCGGAAGCATTCGTTCGTCCATTGCAGCGGCATTGTGTGATCGTCTGCATCCGCATTTGCGCCGTTTTCCAACGCAAGTTTCAGGGCCCGGAGGTTACCTCTTTTCGCTGAGATGAGCAGAGCTGAAGAATGATTCTGTTCTGCGTCCCTCCGATAAAGCACAGGCGTGATGAGTTCGTAGAGTGCACGGCATGAAGCTGCCAAGTTTGCAACGTCTCGCCAAACGTCGAAACGAGGGAGCATGCAGAAGGGGCACATCTTGTCGGTCTCATATGGTAGACAAGATGACTCCCAGTACTTTTCGTAACCTAGAGAAACCTCCTTGGCGTACAAGTCGAACAGTGCATCCACGATGCAGAGGATAATCTCAGAGGGCAGACGTCGCGCAATGCCAGCGGCATTCGGCTTAGCCAGCGCGTGGTGGTATCGGCGCTTTTCTTGCGCATCTCCGTAGAGCGGCACATGGCTCCATACACATGGACATCCGAAGAGTGCCGGTACCTTTTCGTTGGCCGTGGCGGGAAAATCTAGTCTGAACATCAGCTACGTTCCGAAGATGCCGGTGGGCGCGGTGAGAATTGCGCAGTTGGGGCTGACTTACGCGAGTGGGCCATTCTGAACTCAAGCACTAGAAGCCAAGCATGGAACAAGTATGAAGACGAGCGTTCTATAGCAATGCTTTCTATTATATCGCAACTTATTGACGAACGTCGTGATAACGAGTGTGGTGAGGAAAGAAATCAACGCTTACAGGAGTGAGAATGAGAATTCCACCATCTCCGGAGCGGAAATGCAT